GAAAATTCGTTATCCTGAAATTTCGTCGGTTGTTTATCCGGTAAAATATAATATGCATACAACAGTTCCTTTTTTTAATAGTTCGCAGCGGGAAAAATTACATTGCCAGGACAATGACAATATTGATCTTGAGTATCATCCCGAAGAGGATTCGCCATTTATGTCATAAGAGCAACTAAATGACATAACCAGAAATTTACAACTTTCATAAAGAAAGTCCGAATTTTTAGCCTCAAGGCTTAACGATTTTAAAATTTAAAAAAATGGAGTTCGAACTTCATACCGATTCCGTGGAGCACCGTTTAAAAATTTATTCTCTTACGAAATTTTTTTATACTATTCCAACAATCTAGGTCAACTTTTTTACAACTTAATATTGAATTGGTGCCCGATGAATGGCGCTTGTTCATCGATTCAAGCAAAAACAGCTTGAAAGCAGTTTTGCTTTATAACGGAAATTCTAAGCCATCAATTCCCATTGCCTATTCCAACCAGTTAAAAAAATCATATGAAATATTTATTGTCAAAAATAAATTATTCCATTTACGAATTTAAGATATGTTGTGATCTCAAAATGATCGCAATCCTGACGGGCCTTCAGTTAGGCTACACCAAGCATTCGTGCTTTCTTTGTCTCTGGAATTCCAGAGAAACTCTAAAACATTATACAGTATCTGAATGGGAGGATCGTCAAAACGTTCTTGAAAAAAATCGCGTAAAGTAAGCTATATTAAAATAGATTTTATAAATAAAGGGAAATTTAAAAATTATAGGTTGTTTAAAAATTGGGTAAGGATTTTATATAAAAAATATATAATAATAAGGAAGGTTTGCTGTAAAAATTAAGATATTTTTTTAGTTGTAGGTATCATTAGAACCGAAGTTATAAACCTTCAAAAAGTGCTAAAAATGACCTTTTTGGCCACTTTAACCTAAAATAAATAAAAAACCTGACGTGCTAGAAAAAAACTGACAGCGGATTTAGAATATGCATAAAAAACTGTCTTAAAACATGTTTATTTTATTTTCTCCCAAAAAATCAAGTCGAAATTTGTCACAGTGTTATTGATATAAATATTATTTTTAATTATTCGAGATATATATATTGTGTGAAAATTAAAAAATAAAATCATTATTAGTTTTATTTTAACAAAAACTTTAGGATATTGTTTGATATAAAAAACTAACAGCGAAAAAAAAAACCAAGGTAAAAATAATAGAAGATAAACCAATATTTAAATATATATAGACTTTAATAAAGAAAAACCTACTCGAAATTAAGAAGATTTTTTATAGACATAGTGCCCAGAATTTTGGGGAAAACGATTTTAATAGAAAAACTTATCGATCAATTTAAGTAAAAAAATTGAGAAGTAATTTATAATGCTACTATTAAATGTTGCATAAAAAATTCATATGCAATATATTTAATAAAATTAAAATGCAAGTGAACCAAATTAAACACTTTATGATTTTTTTGCTAACATTTCATTTTATTTTTTGGAATTTATTATCTAAATCGATAACTATTGTAAATCATCAAAATATATAATATAACTGTGAAGCCGCCCCAACTTGTAATTCTGGCAATTTTTAATGTCACGGTGGTACCTGCCTTAAATTTAATTTAAATATATCTATATTCTTTTCAGTTCCATTCATTCACTTATAAAATAAATTATAAAAAACTTAAACAGATCAAAATACCCTGTTTATAACCAGGAAATAACAACGCTCTTTAATAATAAAAACAGTTATGTGTGATACTTCTGTAAACAATTTTGAAGAAAGAAAATAATTGGTGAAAAAAATGGAAAATCAGATGAATATAATTTATATTAAATTATTAAATAAAAACGTGGTCTAAAATTTCAAAATCTGAAGATTATCACAAATGTTTTGAAACAAATTTTGCACCATTTCAATTTTTAATTAAGAATTTAACTATTATCATGGATTAAATACAGGAAAGGACAAATTATAGATAAAGCTCAAACATCAAGCTTATATATTGCAAAAATAACTAGAAAATATTTCAACATAATATACGTTGGAATTCATTGTAAGGGAGGATAATTAATTATTTTTTTTTAATTTTCTAATAGTTATTTAAGAGTATTCTAAGTATTAATAAATTTATATAATCGGCGTATAAATCATAAAATAAATGTCTCGTTAAAAAATTAAAAAACATTTTAAAAAATACTCATGAATTATTACATGTATATAAAATTACAAATTATTTATGAAAATTAATAATGGGGGAAAAATATAATTAACCCCTCAATACTCCGGTGAAAAAAATGACGTTATCACTCAGGTGGGGTTTAATAGACCCCAATTTCAAATGTATATATCTCCGTTATATTCATTATTTTCATTTGATATTTGGATATAAGATAGATCTAACCTTAAGCTTGATAAAATATTTTTATTTCTTAAGCCTAGATTAAAGATGATGAGGATAATTATAATTTGTGCCAAATACTTTTTTTTAAATTTCAAATACAAAATTAAAAAAATAACTTATCCATCTATCATGATAATTCATAATATGGATCTTTATTCTTAAATATAAAAAAAAATTACACTAATACATTCTAATATATAAAAAATATAGAACATTGAAATATGCTAAATTTGACATGCAAAACATTTATTACAGAAAATAATAATGTGTTACAAACATAAATTTATTTTACATATTTGACAAAAATATTTTGTTTTTTTTATAAGGAGTATAGTTTTATGCCATATTTTGATGGTTTATTTGGCATGTATAGCCTGAATGGGCATTAGGGTTGCATATTCTGATATTGTATAAGATATGTAGCAGTTATCAACAAATTCTTGAAAAATATTTATAATGTGAGTTGCTTTGTCTACCATTTTTCTCTCTTCTCTTGTTAATATGTCATCAAATCTTATTGTATGAATTAGAACTCTGAATCTTTTGAGTGTCATTGTTGCTCTAAATATCTCAATACAAAACCCATCAGATTTCCATAATTGAGTCACCTTATTTTTAGCTAATTTTACAGAGAAATAAATATGATAAATAATTTCATATTTACCTAAATAATATTTAAATTTATTGGCTCATCTAGCATATCTTCTTCATCTAATTCAGATTGTGTATCATGTTCACTATCATATATATAATCTTCATCTTAACTATAATTACATACTCATAATAACCTAAAATAAATTATATTACATCTTAAATAATTTTATTTACTATCAGAATCTGCAAAAAGCATAGTATATGATAAAAATAATTTGAAAAATGAGCCATATGGTTAAAATAAGAATAAAATAACTCCACCAAAAAAAATATTTAAGTTTTCTTTTTCATATATCTCAATCAAAATAAGATACTTAAATTTTGTTTTAATAAATTTTATAATAAAGTAGTATTTATAATTTTAAAAATTAAAAAAAAAATTTCTTAAAAATTACTAATTTATTCTGGTAGGGTCTCACAAACCCCAATCAGTCACAAAATGATTATATCTTAAAAACTACTCAACCGAAATATATGAAATTTGGAATATAGGTTCTAAGATATATTTGATGAAGCTACTGAAGAATCCAGATCATAATATTTAACCGTTTTTATGTAATATCATTTCTAGCATGCCTAGGGTTTCATATATCCCACCAGAGTATTGAAGGGTTAAGAAGCATATTATAAATTTGCAATGTGAAATTTAATCATTTAGGATCGAGCTAATTTTTCAATATTCATCAGTGATTGGTGTCAACTACCTATGTATATTAAGAAAAACTAACCCATTCAATTATTTTCAGTTAATATTTAACAGTAGTGTTGTTAAGGCTCGATTTGGATTTTAAAGAACGGTCGACTCAATATTTTATCCAGAAAAACATTACGCAAGACTGAAAATTAGCTCATAGATGGCAGGTTTGTACATCTTAGCGAAATCTGAAAGCTTAGGCAATATTTTATATTCTTCCCAAACGTGGTATTAATAAACTGTTCATTCCGAAAACAGGCTAAATCCATAGTCAAATGAATCAGCCAAAAGAGCCTTAAAATAACTTCGAAGGCTTTTTTGATAAAACAAATCAGCTACGAAATTTTACGTTAAAATTTAAATTATTTATAGATAGAATTTTTTAGAACATTATCAACCATAAATATTTTGCATTGCCAAATATTTAATTTTTTCTATCAAGATGTGGATTAGATTCGGAAGGATACTGCGGTAATAATATTTGCAGATTTATAAGAATTTGCTTATTAATCAAGAACTGGACATTCATTTGAGTCATAAAAATATTTAAGAAGGGGATAAATTTATTTTATAGTATTCTTCCACTAACCCTATATTAATATTGGTACGATAAACAATAACAAAATATTTTCTATGAATTATTTTATAATATTTAAAAAAATATTTTTAATCATATCATTTTATGGCCTTGCCCTGATTTTTAAAAATTTTTTTAATTGGTGTAAATTTTTTCAAAAGAAAATTGAAAATGTGAGTAGTAATTACTAAAATTTCCCAACTGATTAATTGATATAATTTTTAAATCTGCCCAGCGTTTATAAAAAAAAATTTAGGCCCAGTCCGGATTTATTTGTTAATAATTTTTACGGCTTTTGGCTTAAGCCATATTTGGGAAAAAAAACGCAAAAGTATCCAAAAAATATAAAATAATAAATAATCTACATTTTTTGGGATCATCCTTGACCTTCTTAAGTTTAGGAAAAATCATATTGAGAGAAGAAAACTCTTTCCGAAGAAGTGGAAATTGATGGAATATTTATAATCATATTCATGCCCACTCACGACCCATTTTTCTAAAATTTACGATCATCTTAACCAAAATTAGGAGCGGAAGCTAGCTCCTTTTTAAAAGAGCGTTGTTATAAATATTATATTTACAAAAAACAAATAGGTAAACATAAAAATTTAAATTTGGTGTCATATTTTAGAATAAGACAAAAAACACAAATGTAATCATTATAATATAAATAGTAAAATATAATGTGGTAGTAAAATATAACATAGCATCTATTTTTAAGATATAAATTCTTACTCAGATCATGAATAAAAAAAAGGATAAATTTTTTTTTAAATATAAAATATGGAAAAGAATCAAATATTGGTTAATAAATAAATTCATAATAGCTGATTTTCATTACAAATCGTCAGATCGACTCCTGGCGCTACCAAAACCAACTCGACTAATATCTCTTTCCGTCTCATTGATGTTCATTTGATAACTAGAACCGTAATTATCACTGGTTCCTCTGATATTTTTAGGTATCAAATTTGACGTTTTACCAAATGAGTTAATACTATTAGAGGTCGAATCGTCATAAACATTGTTGGCTATTTTGTCTTTGGCATCCCTAAACACGCGTTGGAGTATAACTGAGTGTTCATAAATCTATTTTTATAATATAAAAGTAGGGGAAAAAAATGTTTACAATTTTTCCGTTAAGATTATAATCATCAATTGGATAATGTATTATACTTTAAAACTATAATATTCACTCTTTTTAATAGAGGCCAAAAATTGAGAATATGAAACATGCAAAAAAATATCGTGGTACAACAAAGCTTATTTATATTATGCAAATTTTATAAGAAAATTATCTGTTTCTTTTAAATATTAACGTAGCTGATAAATATTAAAATTGAAAATATACATAGTAAAATCTTTTATTAATTTTATACATTAAGAATAAACTTTACACTCATTTTTCAATAAATGAGATCGAAGCTAGTAAATATAAGCTTTATTTATCAATGTATTTAATAAGGTCAAAATTAGATTTATTAATTTTTTTTAAATCGATAATTTGGCGATTTATGCGTGCCATTTTTTGTCGCTCGAATTTTATTAACGCAAATAATACATTATTGTAATTACCATAGATCCTTCTATATTATATATCTGGGCGTTGTTACACATGAGTTCCAAATCTTTACACATATCGGACATAGTTCTGTACCTATTTTCTTGAATTTTAAGTTTGATTCTCTTCAAATCCATCGGTTCCTTTATAACCTCGTAATAATCGGGTCTTTCCTTTTTAGAAGGCAATTGCATGAACGCAGAGCTCAAAACTATGCCATTCCTAATATTAGAGTTAAATATTGTAGTTAACGAGTTGTAATAATAAAAATAACGAATATTTTAGTAAAAATGGAATCCTACTAAACAAAGACAGGCGTTATATCCATAAAAAATTGAATCGAGGTATAATCAAATTTTGTATCCTCAGAGTTAAGTAATTTCAAAAAATGGACTAATTCGGCTCAATCCACATGTCGAGAAAATTGGCTATGCATTGAGGCGTGAGTTAATTAATATAGGCTTTCTTCAAAGTTAAATTATAATTTCTCAATTTTGAGTATAAAAACTAGGAAAACAGACGCTAAATTGATAGTTTCTGGTCAAGGAATCAAAGTTAGTGTTGTTATTGGCATAAATTTATACAAAAATCATCGCACATATAAATGAATCTTATAAAGAAAATATCAATTAGTGAAATAGTATCTTTACACCAGGCTATACCAAACCTGATTACTCGTAATTTTTTTTTACCCTAATGTAATGAATTACAACCGTTCACAAGTTATTTTTTACTTACCAACTTATTTACGCGTGAAATTTTATGAGAGTAAATTATGCTTTACATGGATCAATTTCTTCTTACTCGTACTTTATCTTATTAATATTCGATCGTTAGCTGTTGAAAATATCGGCAAATTTTTTTTGATTAATTATAAATTTGTATATATTTAATTATAGGTAATGAAGTTAGATCCCACTTCACTAAACTTAGAAGAAAATTCCAATCTCTATTTAGGCAATATGAATAACAGGAGTGGGGGCTGCTCCCTAATTAAAAATACTTTATTATGAAAATAAACTTTATTTATATTTAAATTCTATTATTTAGAGATTTGTTATACATGATCCCAATGATCTCATGGCTTTTACAGGAGGAATACATTATATATTTAATTATTTGGTTTAATCTAATTAAACTTTAAAAATTATTTAAACTAATTTATCGGAAAAATGTGATTGGCGTAATTATTATTGTATTGGACACATGGAGTAATTGATCAGTAATATTTATTATGAGTAACCAGGTTTGAACGTACCTATAAAGAGCAATGAATAAAAGTTGCTGAATAATAAAATTAACAATCTTTATTTTTCCAGAAACGTTTCTAAAATAGGTAGGCATAAATGCTCATCATATTTTTTGTCATTATTTCCCCAATTTATCCTAATTCCCTGATCAATTCCCATAATTTACATTTCAAATTAAGAATAATCTTATATATATTTAAGAAAGTACGATTATTAGTTTATATAAAATTATGTAATAAAAAAATATTTATTAAATTAATAAAATTTAGACTTTAAAAAAATGATTTTAATACGAAGAATATCAAACATGGCCCTACCCGAAATCCATACCTCTAATATAACAATGTCATATATCAAACGTCTAATCAAAACTTGAATTAATATTTTAGATTCAACCATAATAATTGATAAGTTTAAAGAAGTAGACTCAAAATAATAGTTTTTAAGGGAAGAAAAACACATACTCATCTGTATAATTGAGAATCAAATCCAGTATAATCCTTAGTGACTTCTCAACCTTTTTATTGTTAGGTGCCAGTTTTTCCAAAGGAGGGCGCCCGCGCTTTTTCTTCCTATCGCTACTACCGGCTTTTGTAATAATGCATATATTTTTTAATTTAAAGTTTTGTCGTTTAATTGAAATTTGTAAAATAATATTATTTTGCAATGAGTTTACTTATAATTCACTGATTATAAAATGATGTTTTATATATTTTTTTAAAAAAAAGATAATTTACTATTAAAGATACAAAGCTTCCATCCTTTTCATAAATATAATGACTTTTTTAATAGAGAGGGGGAAAAACACTCTGTTTTCATATCACTAACTTTCTGAAAAGATTATTTGAATAGGCTAATAGAAAATTATTCGATTCGCAAATTTTTTTTTGAAGGATAATAAATTTATTATTTGTAATATTCTAAAAAGTGTTTATTTTAATAAAATATTAGAGTTATTGATTTTAGAATTATATAAAATTATTGGTAATTAAATTTTTTTGATTGTTATAATGACTTCTTGTTTAAAATTTCATAAAACCAGATTAATATTTAGATAATTACTATATTTTATAGCCTTTTCAATATTTTTTTAAAATGTTTGTCTTATTCTTAAATTATATTTTAAAGATGTGAAGAAGGTATATTACAAGTAGCATTGAGTAAATAATCCTCTTTACGTGATATATAAGTGCCTGGCAGATATTCATCCACCTTCAGTTAGGGATTGATTAGTTATCAAGATCTCGAATTAGAGTGGGAGTTGGTACTATTGATTTGTTGTGCTTTCATCTCTTTCCCTTTTTCTTTTATGACTCACCGATCCTATAATAAAAAAGATGAAAGCACAACTCACAACAAATCAATAGTACGATTCCCGCTAAAATTCGAGATCTTGAAAATTCTAATCAATCCTTAACTGACGGTTGATGAATTTCTGCCCGGCATTTCTTACATCTCAAGCAAAAAGGATTATTTATTCAGTGATACTTGTGATAAAATTATATGATAAGTTGCTTTCTTTACATCTTAAAAATATAATTCAAGAATAATGCAAACATTTTAAAAATAATGAAAGAGCTATAAAATATAATAATTACCTAAATATTAATTTGTTTTATAAAATTTTAAACAAGAAGTCACTTTTACAATCAAAAAAAAATTAATACTGCAAATTACAAAAAAAATTTAATTAATTACCCTATTTGCATATAATTCTAAAATTAATAATTCAATTTTATTAAAATGTTCGCTTTTAAGAATAATAAAATAATTTAAATTTATTATTCTTCAAAAAAATTAATACAAAGTGATGCGATATCTTGGGAAATAACAACTAAAAATGAAATTCAAAAACGGTAAATACTCAACTTGATTCATCAAAACTGATTTTCTTTTTATGACTACTACTAGTACCACCAACGCTTGTGGCTACGCCTATTCCATTTTTCTCATTCTCTTGAGTTTGTTTTCTTTCCATAGCTCTGCGATTGCGAGACTCGGATGTTCTATCGATATCCTCTTCGCCCTCTTCATCTTGGCCATCGTCAGATTCCGCTTCTAATACCTTTTTTTAAATTTGGAAAACAGCATGTGTAATAATGATTATAGATCTTTTAAAACTCCTTACAACTCCTAACTAAGTTCACTGATGTGAGAGGAAGGGGGAATTGTTAAAACTTCTCTATTAATAGTAGTTAAATTTTTCAAATTTGGGATGGCCCCAGTAATTTCGGTCTTGCACACATTGGGGCTTATCGAAACCATAAGAAATTAAAAAATATGCTTGCGTAAGCGAAATTTTAAACCATTAATAATGATAGAATTTTAAATTAACCCTTGCATTCGCGCTAGGCTAAAATATAACCCACCAATTTTTATAAAATTTTGCACAATAATACAAAATTTAGCCCACTTTTAAAATGGATTTATTTCATTTTTTTTTATAAAATAAATAAAAAAGTCTCTTTAAAATTCGACATATTGAGATTTTTATTAGTATTTTTCCAGATTTTTCCCAAATGGATATTTTAAAAATTCATATTTCTAAAAGTATTCGGTAAGTTAATATTATATATATAAAGCTTATATATTAATTTATATATGTATATCATTTTTTTTAAAATAATCACACTATGCAGAATGTCGTCAAGGATGAAAGTGATAATAGTTCCGATTATATTGATGAATCCTTTGACTCAGAAGATAATATGCCTCTTGTAAATTTTCACTGGCATTAATTTATTTTAAAAATTAGGGCAGAGAATGATTTATGCATGTGGCACAGTAAATTAAGACGAAAAGTCTACCCACCTTGAAAGCAGAAAAAAATGGTTACAGGCGAGCATGTTTTGGGTGATAAATGAAGATGACATCGTTGCCATTAAATGGATAAACGATCTGTTTAGCTTCTCTTGAATTATCATAACCCAGCTGATGACGTGGAGATTGAAAGGAAACAGAAAGATGCAATATTATTAAAATAAACTGTCCCAAAGCTATATATGATTATAATCGAGATATGAATTGTGTTGATATTTTTGATCAATTAAAATCATATTATGAAATGAAAGTAACAAGTAGTATAAAAAAATAATCTATTATTTCATTGATGCAGGTATTATTATTTTATCAAAATTACACTAAATTATCTTTTAGCCATAGTTAACTCATATGCAATATATAAAATGATTGATAAACCATGCCATATGCCTATGAAAAACTTTTAAACGGAATTAATAACTGGTATTGGCAGAAAGAATAGTTTACAGCTTACCAGCAGAGCCCAGCCATCCAACACTAATAAAAAAAAAGTGTCCTTGGAGATTAAGTGATGTGCCGCCTCACATTTATCAGTAAGAACAGTGCAAAGGAGAAGATGTGCTCATTTAAACAGTTGTTAATGAACATCGTTCAGATTGGACATGCTCAGTATGTGATGTGGCGTTATGTCTCTCCAAAAAACGAAACTGTTTTAAACAGTATCATGAATAATAAATCATAAATATGTTTATTTGCACAGTGAGATGCCTCACTTTAATTTTTTAATATCTTATGAAATATTTATATATTTTTAAAAATAAAATTATAACGAAATTATATGAGATTTTTACTATATATTTTCATTATTTTCAATAAAAAATTTTACCTGCGCAAAATTGGACTCAATTTTCAATTTCTGTGCATGAAAGAGTTAAGATTATTATAAGACCTTCTATAATTAAGTTAAAAAAACAAACAATTCATACAAATGCGAAGAATAAAAATATTTTAAAATATCAAATTTAAACCTTGAGCCATTGTTTATCACTGAGAGCATCCGAATAATCGATTTCTTTACGTTGGCGATTGCCGCGACCAAATATTTTATCTTCGTCATCCTCGCAAGTTAAACGTTCGACCTTATATACCAAATATAAAAAACATAAATGGCTAAAACCTTAAGTTTTTACATTACTAAACTATTAAAAAGATTATATAAGTATAAAGGTTATGGCCGCATATTATAATTGCAATAATTTTATTGAATTGAAGTAGGAATTTTTATACAAACCATTTATCTTTAATTGATGGTGATATTTGTAATCCAAAAATTATCTCAAATAGTATTAAATTAATCATTATATGTTTATGATTTATAAAGGATGTAAAATAAACAAATAGAAATATGAATTTTTATTTAAATTTTTTTTTTAATTTTTACATGTTCAAAAACTAAATTTGTTTTTTGTTTAAAACATGTTTCATTTTAATTATATCTTCTGAATCTATATAAAATTAGAAATGATTAGTTACGTAAAAAAAACATACCATATGTTTGACCTCTGCATCATTTTTTATCATCCAAGTAGGTAGCTCTTCTTCTGTCAGCATTCTAGTCGTATATGTATGAGCCAACGTCTCTCTGTTCCGTTCAATATCCATTTGCTAATTTTTATTAAAGCGATATTACAGATAAGTTCATTCCATTAAATATTATTCACAATAATTGATTTTTTTTATCAATTAATAATATAACGATTAAAGCTCTGTTAAAGCAAATAGTAATTAATAATTCACTTAACCTCATAGAAATGTTATTATAAAAACTATGATCTTATAGCATTGCACAAGATATACTGTGAAAAAAGTAATAGTGATAAAAGATATGGACTGAAAAATGTAAAAAAATCATTTCCACTCTATAAAGATCAGGAAATGAGGACAGCAAATTTATTTATTTAAATATACAGTTAATCAATTTATATAATAAAATTAAAAAAATCAAAAAGCAAAAATATAAATTATAATACTTTTCTTTTTTTCCTAAATTATTACATTTTCGATCTCCCTATTTATATAACTTTAAAACACTAAAATTTACATATCAATTTAACAAACTTTTTTTTTAAAAAAATCTTTTTACTATAAATTTCGCTAACTTTAATAATTAAAATTTGCATACTATAAAAATCCTTCAAATATAGTATAATCAATTAACATTTTTATAAAACCTTCACTACAATTACAACAACTAATATATACATAAGATTAAGTAAACATGAATTAACATATAAAATTATTTAATAATTTTACATTTTGTAATGATAAAATAGTCACAAAATTATTTGAAGAGATAAATGTAATATAACTTTACATTTTAATAATTCAAGCTATTTTATTGGCTAAATGTAATATAATATATTCATGTTAAATTTATAATTCATTTGTGCATTAATACATATACAGAATGAAACAAAATTTTAAGCCTTGTTAATAATATATTTATTAAAATACAATAACACCCATTTTTAGTATATATTAACCCTAATTTTACATTCAACCCTAACCCTAACCTTTTAAAATAATTAATTCTATATTGCATTAATACATATCGAGCACATAATTTTACTTGAGCTTATATTTTCTATGCTAAATATTCCATTAATATTTGAAGCAATGAATATAATGATATTACTATCATCATAAGTATTATTTAAAATATTAATTTTATCATGAGTATTTAGATTTACATTATTCTAAAATGGCCCCCAAACTATTTGAAGCGATAAATGTAATATATTGCTTATGTTTATTATTTGTAATAATAAATTGGTCCCCAAATAATTTAAAGCAAATGGGAATAATATATTATTAATATAACAGTATTAAACTTACGAGGGCACACTGGGCTAAGACCCAAATTATTCAAATACAGGCCAGGCCATGCTCATGAAAAAAATAATTAAGATTGGCCTTTACTTTAGAATGACTATTTTGCGGAAATTCGAATTTCAATAATAACATAAAACAGACTAATAAAAATTGTGAAATTAATTTTTTTTTATCTTTTGCTGATTTAAATTAAGTTATTGATTTTATCCCTAAGAAACTTCATGATTTCAAAAAAGCAAAAAGTATCTCCATAGATAAAATCATTTATTTTTTTATTCAAGACTATTTGGAATTTTTTACTATAACAAAAAAAATGTGACTAACTTGAAACAATTCGAATTCTTCCTCGGATCGTGCCAGCATTTGGTTAAGAGTCTCATCGTCGGGTGTTTCATCTTCATTGACAGTCTCGTCTAAGCCACCATCTCCTATATTTGATAAAAATTTTAAATAGGATAAATTTAATCTAAGAAAAAAAAATTTATCAATGAATATTAATCACTAGCCGTAGTTTAGTCATCATCTTATAGATCGGGTCTTTATATAGTAACTGTAAAATGAAGCCGATACTTACAGTTCATTGATCTGAATAAATTTGAAAACATTCATCTAACTAATATTTGCATTAAAAATTCAGGTACTTAACAATGTTTGTATAACTGTTTAATTTTTTTGGCTAAGTGAAACTTTAAAAAAAATGATGATAGATATTTGCAATCAATGAAAATTGATTTATTTAATACTAACGCAAATAAAAAATGCATATTTTTGACAGGGAGTAGTCGTTCAGGTTTAGAAAAAAATTAAAACAAACTAACCATGAGTAGCAGAACCGCCTCCTGTGGTACCTGGAGTTGTGAGAATGGCTTGCAAAAATTTTCTTCTATCGTTACTAGTCGATTTTTGGTCAAACATGCCAGCTTGTATGACTTTCTCATCCACATTTAATTTAAATCGGGCAGCTGCTAATATTTTTTCTTCTACACTATTGACGGTTACTAGTCGAAATACACGGACTTCGTTTTTTTGGCCGATTCTGTGAGCCCGGTCAGAGGCTTGAAGATCCTTTAAAAAAATACTTTAAATATTCTGATAAAAAATATGGTATTCAATATTTTTGCAAATCTGACTTAATATAAGAAACCAGGTCTGTTAAAAAATTAATATAACCTTTTATATCTTATAATACCTGATGCGGGTTCCAATCAGAATCGAATATAACGACTGTATCAGCAGCTTGAAGATTAAGACCAAGTCCACCTGCTCTTGTACTGAGCAGGAAACAAAATATATTCAGTTCTGTATCGTTGAATTTTTGGAGCAATATACCCCTGTCATCTGATTTTGTTGAGCCGTCCAGTCTAAGATATTTGAAACCTTTTTTGTGTGAGAAAGATGATGGAAATAAATAATATATTAAGCTCTTGATAGGTTAATCTTGAATAAGAATGAGTTATAAAAGAATTATTCAAATTAAATTATCATAATCTTCATCTATATAATTAAAATGAAACCAAAGATATTGAAATTACTTCTAACAATAATTATAATGTATGGTTAATATCTTACTTTATAACAAAATATAATGATGGAAAATAAATTAAGTTACCTCTAAAGTTAAAGTAATCTTCCATTATAGTCATCAATCCTGTCATTTGACAAAATAGTAGTACTCGATGGCCAGATGTCCTTAATTTAGGCAACATTCTGTCCAGAAGTTCAAATTTTCCAGCTGCTCTAAATAGGTCAATTCTTGAGATTAAAAATGTAAAGATAGTATAATATTGACACCAGAATTTAAAAAGGAGGCATGCTGACAATACGCCTTCTATAAAGTTCATTTAAAAAATCACATATCCAGTAAAGAATAATCTTCTTAATAGAAAAACTGTCAACGAAAGGTTTTATAATATAATTTAAGAAAATACATAAATTCTTGAAAGGTATAAAAAATAAAAAATTTTTAAATAATATAATTAAAAAAATTTATAATAATTACCCTTGTACAATGCCATTAGGTTGTCCTATGTGTTCAGCGAAGGTTTCTTCAATATGGTTGAACATGAAGGGGTGATTGCATATTTTCCTTAATTGCATCAATGTATTCATGAGGGTTCTTGTACCGCCTTTGCCCTTAAAAATAAGGAAAATAGCATATTAAATTACGATTAAATATATTAAAATTTAGGTAATAAACAATAAATCGCTTATTGTTACCAAACTTTCTAAATAAATATATTTAAATTATCTACCTCCAATTACATACTGAACATTTATTATAATTATGTCAATGACAGATTTTTAAAAAATATATAACTTTTTTATCTCTTTCAGACCCATCAGTGAGAAGGACTCCCCTTGCTTGCATGTGTCTGTACAAACATCTTTGAAGCGCCGACATTTCGCATTTCACAACGTATTCAATCTTATCTGGAAGTTGACTCTGAATATTGTTAAATAACAAAAAAAGAATAAATTATTAAGATCCTTGATAAAGGCAATTTAATTGGGTGACATTTTATAAAGACTTGGCCATTGTATATAGAACCATGTTATGCAATATAAACAAATAAAAATTCTTTTTAACGCAACTTTTACTGCTTTTAATTTATGGTTCCTTGAAACAGTAAAAAAATTTTTTTTTATAGAATTCAATATGAATATCGGACCCAGCCGCGTAATTTAAAAAAAATTAAATTCTGTGCATCTCTACTCTTTGAAAAAAATATATATTAAGTTACCTCCACTTCCTTCTTGAGTCTTCTAAGCAAAAAAGGTCTCAGAACTTTGTGCAGACGCCTTATAATTAGTATGGTTTCTTCCTCATTCAATTCAACCTTTTCTCCTGTCAGCGCGAAAGGAGCGTTAAACCACTGTTCGAACGTGGAACAACATTTGAAAATGTTTGGGAGGAGAAAATTTAATAAAGCCCATAATTCGGGAAGTTTATTCTATCAAGTAAAAGAAATAATAAAAAACAATTATTAGATTGTAATAAAATTAGTTGTATAAATGATTTGGGATTGTTAATTCTATCATAACCTATCTAGATTAAAATGAACGTCGTGATATTAATTTTCAAATCGGATACAAATCATTTTTTAATAAATAACGAAATTCGTTAATATAAGAATTATTTGCAAATAATAGTAATTTTAAATTAATGCCATTCTAATCAAATATTATATTTATATTAATTTTCCTTGATATTATAGTGCTGATTTCTTGTTTAAAATTCCTTGAAACTAATTAAATTTTAAAAACATTTAACCAATAAGAGAGGAAATAATAGTGCTTTTTTTACAAGTCATGAATTTTGTATAGTCATTCATACTTATGGATTACTAAAAATAACATGTCTCTAAAAGAAGAAACCATTAGAAAAGCGTTATGCCTTTTTTAAAAATTTATTTTGAAATTATAAATAATTTACGCATGATTGTGAATTTTGCTATAAAATGTAAAAAAAAATTATTCCTATTACGAATCATTATTTGATTCAAAATTTAGTACTCGAATATGAATATTTAATGATTTGATTTTCTGGAGTCCTACTTAATCCTAACCTAAATTTGAAAAAAATCCACCACGAAATACCACATAAATAGAGGAGATAAGAAATAAATAGTAATTTATATTTAATATATTTATTCCCATTTATAAATAAAAAATATATATTTCAGGAGTGTCAAATGTCTGGTTTCCTAATCTGCATATCTTGATAAATAAATAATATCATCATTAATTAAAAAATTGAAGACTGAATGATAATTATTTAAATCAGATATTATATATAATAAATATATGGTGAATTCCATGACAAATCAACATGAGTTTGAACCCGACGCCATAAAGATTACTTATTTTGCATATTTATTCATTAATCTTATAGCTATTTATAAAAAAAAATATAGAGAAAATGATCATTTTCGGTTTTTGACATTTCAAATTTTTAAATTTAAATAAAACTTCTCGTTTAATTGTATCTAAAGATATTTATAATTAAAAGGAGTGAATTTTGCCCAAAATGCTCCATTTTCTCGACATTTAGAGCCAGTATCTTAGCCACTGTTTGAAGTTGGAAACTAAAATTTAATTTTTTTTCTTAGTTATAATATATCAGAGACCTGCAGACCCCGCCCTAAGCCCGGGGATAAAAATCGTGTTTTTTTGTTGATTTGTATGAAATTTCAAAAATTTTAATAATTGTTATAGTTCATATTTACTTGTAACGGAGTGCCCGTCAATAAAATTCTATGTGGCGCAATGTAATGGGAATTGAGAGTTTGGGTCAACTTGCAATGATGATTTTTCATGCGATGACCTTCGTCTATTATCATGTACTTCCATTTAATCTTAGGATTATTTTTGTAGTATCGATTAAAAAATATCTAAAATAAACTTGGTTAAATATTTTAATTTAATAAGTTGCAATAAAATAATGAATAAAATATATGTCAAGTTATAACACTAGTATTGGGACCTTTCACCATAATTTTTTATTTAATAAAATTTAAAAAGACTCGTATCATAATAATAAAAATTATAAAGTCAGATTCTTAATTGATTAAAACATGATTATCAAGCCAATCATGTTAAAGAGAAAAGAATGGGAAAAAAACAATATACATTGCTATTTCTACCAACTCTAAATAATCATTATAATAGATAGATTACAACATATCTTCGAAGGAAACCAGATAAGCACACCACCAATTGAAAATTTGATCGTGGCGTACCCATCGCCGATAATTTCTAAATAAAATAATAAAAGTGCCAAAAATGAGCGGCACACAAGTTTAATTATTATTCAAAAATTCTTCATTTCATGTATCAAGGCAAGATGGTTTGCATATATTTTTTTCTCTGTTTCTTATTATTTGATTCATTCATTTGATATTAATTTTTAAAAACACTTTAAAATCTTGGCTAGAAATATGGGGTATGATCAATCCAATAATAAAGTGAAGATATTATATTATGTAATTAGTTATTAAGTAGTAACAATACCAAAACTATGAATTACTTTGGAGAGCACGTGCTTATCTTTGATAATATATTCGTAAGTTGTGAGTAAAACGTTGAATTTGGCCGCCTTGAGGGGCTGAACCAAGCATTTACGTGCGTAAGGGGATCCTTTGTAAATGAGCCTAATTAATTTAATATATTGTTAAAATGTATTTAATTATGCAATATTTGTTTATGAAAAAATTTTGGAGCGAAATTTACAAAAAATATATTTAAAAAAATAAGGGTAGGTTGAGGGTCAATAAATAACAACAAATGAAATCTCGGTAGTGACCATTCAAGGTTGTTAAATTTTTTATCAACATTAAGGAGAATATGAATAAAAATAGGAACATTTAGATTTCAATAATACAATGAGGTACCAAACTATATGGGGTCACGATAATGATGGTCACCTCAAAGAGTCAATAAAGGTATATAAAAGAGAACTATTAAGACAAACCTAATTACAGATGGTGCCCATTTATCGAACTCGTAATTCCAATTAGAAAGAGTGGAGAGAGGGACTATAATAAGGAAAGGACCGTTAATATGTTTACGTTCCATGAGGTAAGTTACAAGGGCTATCGTTTGGATCGTTTTACCTTGGAAATTATGTTTTTTAATATAGGGCGTCAGGAAATATGTCAAAGTGTTATATATTAGGTAACTGGTGCAATTCAGAAATATAATTTTTAATAATTCACTAATTTAAATATAACTTTATTGAAATCCATGTTTTAAAAAAAAATTTCATTAGCTTTTGTATGATTATGTTATATCACTCATTTCAATAAATTGATATTTAAATTGTATAAAATTATTTACTATAATGAAAATATGTGAATGCCGACTAATAGATGGAAATTAAATACACAATTTTATAATTATCTATGAAAGGTGGGAAATTATTAACTTAAAAAAATTTTTTAGAATAAAAAGCTTATAAGTTCTTACATTCGTATTAATTCTTATCAAATTTTGTTTTAAGGAATGAATTTTTATTATAAAAAAAATAAACTGTAATTTAGTGCATTTTAAATTTTATACTCACAATAAATAACAAAATTAAAAGATATTTTATATTTTTCTTTAATACAAAAAATATTAATTTAAGATGGCGAAAAAAAATTGATTTATCGGTCTTTTGTATAGTTGGGTATTCGGCTTAGTCTAGCCGATTTGGGCTAAGACTAAGCCTATTTTTTTTGGCAAAGGCTAAGTCTGAGCCGATTTATTTTGGCTAAGTTTAAGCAGATTTTGATCGGCAAATACTCTGCTTTACTGTAAATTTAATAATAATTTGATTCAGAAGGGTAACAATAGTCATATTTGTTATTTTAAAAATTCGATGATTTTTAATTGAAAATAAATATTTTAAATCTGTTTTAATGGAAATTCAATATAATTTTCATATTCGTCATTATAAAACTTTTCCAATGTTTTTTTTAATGAAAATGGGTAATATAATGAATATTTTAAATCTGTTATGGTAAAAATTCAGTAACAATGTAAATCAGAAGGGTGACAATTCCAATCTTTTTTTAATTAAAATATGTATAAATGAATATTTTATAGTGTAAATTCATTAATAATGATGTAAGTTTATAAAGGTGACAATTGTCATATTCGTCATTTTTATAGCTTTATTTTTAAAGAGAATATGTAAGAATGAATATTTTATATCTGTTATTGTGAAAATTTAATAATAAATTCATGGGTGACAATTGGTATCTTCATCATTTTAAAACTTTTCCAATGTTTAATGTAAATAGATGATCCAAATGATGTTTCATATAGGCATATCTCATTAATTATATCATTGATAAAGTATGATTTTTTTAATTAATAAATATAATTAAATTAACCTATATTACTTGGTTCAATTCAAAGTATTTGTACATATTCTTGTACTGCAAAAAAACTCTGATAGTTTTCCTAATATTATATTTGAATTATTTCTTATTATATTGGAGTGCAATAAAAATTTTAATTTATACTTTTGTAAGCTTTACCCAAAGATGACAATTTTTATCCTGATGAATTTCATTATTATTAAATTTTCATAGAAAAATATACATTTTTACCTATTTTAAAGATTGGTAAGTTTTTAAGATTGCGAATATGACAAGACAATTATCACCCTTAATACTTATATTATTATTGAATCAGATTTAAAATATCCATATATAAATTTCATTAAAAAATATTGGAAAAGTTTTAAAATGACGAATTGACACACTTCTGAATTGCATTGTTATTAAATTTTCACTAAAACAGAGCGTTATTCCAGTCAAAATCAGCTTAAGCTCAACCTTAGCCTAACAAAATAGGCTTAACATTAGCCTTAACCAATCAAAGTCTAGGCAAAATCGGCTTAAGCTTCGCCAATTAAAATCGACCTAAGCTTAGCCTTAGTCAATATAAATCAGCTCAGGCCAAGCCAAAATAAATAGACTATTACTCAACTATAGTCTTTAGTAGTATATTTAATGTAATAAGAAAATGAAGAAGAAAAGAAAAATACCTAATCCCATTTCGTCGGCAAGAATTCCATTCAACTTATTATTATGCAAACTTACCATCCATTCAAGCCCTTTGACCTGATACTCCTTGAGGCTACCATTCACTAATATGGTAGCTTGTTCTGTCACCTTTTCTTGGACATAATGAGCTATTTGGTAATAATTTTTGCCTTCCCCACTTTCGCTGGGTTTACATATGTACTCGTCATCTACGTGTTGACTTCTTTTTTTATTAATTAAGTATTTATATTGATAAATTTAATTGTTAAATAAATAGAAAAGCAAATATTATGAAAAAGATGAGTAACACTGGAAATGACGAAATCTCTTTTTTACAACTAAATTGAATTAATCTAAGGCATTGTTAGAGGAATAGTAAATTTTTATGTTTTTAAGTGTTTATTTTTTGATAAACAATGGCAAATGTTTCATCAAATATTTCTTTACTCAGAGGCATGTGCAAAAAATTGACCATCAAAAATTTCTATTCTAGAATTTTATTATACTAAATTCCCTATTTTTAAACATTGGAACATATATAAGCTCAGCACATTGTTAAAATTTTACAGAATACGAATACTAAATTGTCGGGATTGATTTGCTAGTTAATTAGGCTCAATCTGTCTACAATTTGAAATCTAATTTTTTTTTCTCCATTGAAATAAGAATCTTATGCCAACAGAAAAACGGGCATTCCGGCCCATATAAGTTAATATATTGTGATTTGTTCATCAGTAGTTGAAATGGGTATATTTAAACATTTTTTATTATTCGGAATTTTGCTCCTTAACGCCATATTAATTAGTGTAATAAAAATATAGATTTTTTTAAAATAAAACTTATAAATAAATTTATATATTATTTTGCCCTTGTGATTTTTGTTTGCATCTGAATTTATTTGATATAATTTATTTAAATAAAATTATGAAATACAAGAAATTTATTTATTTAAATTCGAATATAAATGCAAAATTTTGAAGCCTAAGAAAAATTTTTATGGGCCCCTCCTCAAAAATATAGGTTAAGCCATCGATCATGTCTTTCATATCGACTAAATCTTATGCTTTGTATATGCCCATTTTCAGCATGGGCAGATTACTTTCTTTAAGATAAAAATTTTAAGAAGTACGCAGTAAATTATAGATACCAAAATCAGAATTTTAACCTTTTATGGTTGAAAATAATAAAATAAAATGATTGGATCTGAAACGAACGAAATTCTTACTCGAATAAACACACAAGCAAAAAATCAACTTATTAAACATATACTTGTTGATAATAGCTTTGGCATCCTCAGTCTCAGCCAGATCTCCATGATCATCTATTTGTTTAACGTTCACATCGATCACGGGACGATGATGATCAGCTGATCGCGAATCGCCATCTTCTAAAATATATTATATAAACAAGATTTTTATAAAATTTCCCTTTAGTCATTTTATAAAAAACGATATGGTTTTTTCAATATGGCTTCAAGATATAATTATTTAAAATATCTATCAGTATACCAAAATATAAATACGTTTAAAATATTTTATCAAAGCTCAAAATTAAATTGGTATGTTTTCCTAGAACTCTTCATTCCACAAGGTTGTACTCACAGTGGATGTGATTCAACATCTGATTAGTATCTTATTAAAAAATTTTTACAAACTTCATCAGCTGTTAAATCTTGTGGCATTGCGTCTACTGCATGTCCGGTTTGGAAAAAAAATATTAAGGACTGAATTGAAGAAATAGTACGATTTAGAAAAGCGAGGAAAAAGGAGGGCCATAGGAAAATAAAATAAAAATTGGTATTTTTTTTAAAAAAGAATATAATATTTAAATAAGAATTTTAAAAAATTGTCTAAATCTGAATCCGTTCTGAATAAAAATTTTAAAATCAAGGTTTGGTTTACATGTCCGAGAGAATGTCTGTCCAGCCGATCCTACTTTGGTCGGATTGACAGATCTGTGTAGGGTTCTACCTTAGCCTATAATTAGTTGGTAAAATCAAGTAATTTGATGTTCAAAATAGACAAGTACCCCTAAACTAAAATAGGGAGGGATAAATAGGTATAATATTTATTGTTATCGACTCATATATTTGAACACCAAATGGTATTATTATAGTTTTAAAAATGTTTTTAAATGCTACTCAAAGTTTTTTATAAATGTATTAAGATGAGTATTTTGTTTTTTAACTAAATTTACTCTATCCCTTTATTTAAATATAATGCCAATAAAATTACGATTTCTTTCGAAGGTTTAAAAATTATGATAGACATTAAGGGGGCGGGGTGGAATTTATTTTCGGATTGAATTCCTAATCCTAAACAATTTTAACAAGTCGATTTCCTGATCAAGGTTTTAGACCATGCATTAACGAAAATTGCAACTTAATAAAATTTTGCCAAAATTATTCCTCGTATTCCAAACTCAAATGATTTTGAATAAACATATCAAAAAGCGTTTAAAAAAAATTAATCATAAAATTTTTTGATTTTTCGTCGCACATTTATTTATCAAACCTTCTTCCGATTGACTGTCCTCCTCGGATTCAGCCTTGCTGTTAGCCAATAAGAGTTCAGCTTCGTCCAGATCGATTTCGTCCATATTTATTTCGTCTGCTTCCTCATCCGATAAATCGGATTCCGATTCGTTTGCATCAGGTTCAAGAGTGGTGGATCCTTTATCAATCACTAATTCGTATCTTAAGGGAATGTGAATGTTTTAGCGAAAATAAATATTCATTTATGATATATATTTCGCTCAGAATAAAAACTTAAACGCTTGTATTTTTTTCGTTATGCTCAGAATTAAAAATACTTATTTAGTTTGTTTTAAGGGCATTGCTATTTTTCATCTTTTTTTCTTTCTCTTACTTTTTAGGCTGTTTAGTGAAAAGCCAAACCAGGAGATATCCTTAAAATTTTGCTAAGTAATTTTTTAGGATTGGCAAATAAAAATCTTCGCTCAATATTTTAAGTATATTATTTACTAAATTTGATCAAATTACTTATTAAATAGTGAAATACAAAGACTTGCTTATTACAAAATAAATCAAGAATACTAAATTGTGCTATTAATCATTACTAATTAGATAAAAAAAAATTACTTTATTCATTTTGATTTCTATTCAAAATAATTGTTAATTTAATAATTTCATCAATGAACTGAGAAATTATTTATTATTCTAAATTTAAAATATAAAAACTAATCTAATATTAAACTTAACATTTTTAAATTTGTTAATGTAATGTTTTCAATTTTTTTTCACTATAAAAATAATCAATTTATTAAATCAAAAAATAACATTCCAATAACAATAAATACACTATCCATGTCTTAGAAATTGGTAGACTTAAAAAATAAATCCCAATGCTGATTATTTTAAATAGAGGGGATTACTTTAAGTGGAATATAATATTCAACAAGAAATTTTGTATGGTCGAAACGAGTCAAACATTTTTCCTTAAAAAAAATCCACAAAGTATTCTAAAATTTTAGAAAATTGATTGAGACGGGCATATATTTATATAGTCAATTACTCAGTATTGATTGATAACCATTCTTCAATTTGGACATATATTTATATAGTCAATTACTCAGTATTGATTGATAACCATTCTTCAATTTGAGCTGCATTCATGGAGGTAACATCTTTGGTCTCTTCCATCCTAACTCTATGCCTAACTTGATAAATCTTTCCGTTGGTGGTAGCCTGGGCATCTTTGGCGACTTGATTCAAAAGACTATTCATAACATTTTTTACGTCAAACGCGACAGTCGATTCAAAATTCAAGGAGGATGAATCGAAAGTTGATTCCTAATTTTTATTGTAAATTCAACCGAAACTTTTATGTTAACAATGTCAAACAAAGAAAAGTGGTCAATCAATTATTATTATTTATTATTTTGTGTGGACAAATTTTAAGAATATAATCATGACAGCCTTTATTCTTACAATGTAATAAAAGATTAAGAATTTTTTCAAAAGGAGAAATTTTATTTTATGGTAACCATCCACCTGAATCCCTTGCAAATGTATCAATTTTTTTTAAAAATATACTATGTTATCAATTTTAATACGCGAAATGTATTACTGCAAAATATCCATAATTATAAGGGTGGCTCGTTTATGTCCACTTAGCTTAATGTATAGAAGATTTTTGTGTGGTTTGGGGACTTAAAGGTTACTTTAGTAAAGAGATGCATACCATAAAAGGGAGTTTGAAGGTTTATTAAATAAAAATAAAATCATACCTTTCTCTTTTCTTCCTTCCTAGCCTGTTTCCTTTCCTTCTTTTTCTGGGCTAGTAAAGCCAGCAACAACCTGCGTCTGCGTTTTTTTTCTTTGTTGGTCCTTTTGACCTCCTCTATTTCGTATCTGTGTTGCTGGACCATGCTAATCAGGTTTTCGATGTACTCATCGGTTTGTTTCAATAGGTAGGCCAAGCGTTTGTCCTTTTGCTGGTCGATTAACTTGCGATAACCTTCTTCATCTTCAGCCTATTCCGTATTAAAAATAGAAGGGTTAAAGATTAATAAATAAAACGCTATGAGTGGAAGGGAATATTAACATATAAAAATACGCGGGGAAATAAAGGGGCCTATTTCTATCATTGAAGAGTTCTTTAAGAATACATTTAAATGCCTCATATTTTAAACATTTTATGTACATCTGATATTTTTTTATATTAAATAATAATATATATAGTTTCAGTGACCACATTCCTCCAAATAAATCGGCTATTAGTAACAATATACTTATAAATAATTCCATATTCCTTCAAATAAATTGACTATCATTTTGCTCCTACATAGACTATTATATCCATGTAATAAAGATTTAATAATATAATTTTTATTCCAATATGGTGGTCACATGTTCTAGACTGAATTCAGCACTCTTATAATCGATTTAGAATGTTTTTATTGGAGCAGTTCCTTATAAAAAAAAAATCATCATCATGCGATAGTATATCGTAGCTAATAATTTAAAAGAAATCTGCTGATCTTTCTATTTGTGCGGTTTATCCTTAATTTGCGCTAAATCGATCTATTTGGCATCCCTTCCATTATGAAAATTTATCCAAACTGCAGGTATTGATTGACACTATATCGGAGTATCGGTCGATATCTTAAATTCTACCGATACTTAAAATGATAATTAGCCTTCATAAATTAGTATTTTGTATATAGTACACTTTTTTTAAAAGTTTTTATGGGTATTTAATATTATTATTCATTTTAACTGTATTTGTATTCAAATGCATTTTTTTAAAAAATTTGCCTAACCCTGGTTGCATTTTGTCAATTTAAAAATTGAATCTAGTTTCGGTTCCTTTCAATTTTAAGAAAGGATTCTAGATTCTGAGTGCTAGAATTGTTCCGAGTGTTCCTGGGTTCGGTTCCAAACTCTGGAATAAATATATGGGAGAAGATATCAAAATGAAATTTGAATTTATACTTTAAAGATAGTTTTACCTGGAGTAAGGATGAACGAAACAATAAATTTATAATACTCCTTTAAATCGGTTGCAATGTGAATTAAAGAGGAAAATAACGAAAAAAAAAATGAAAAGAGTCTGTAAAATTAAAAAATTTTTACCATCAATCTCCTTAGCCGTTCTTTTTCGATTCGCTCCTGTTCCTTTTTCTGTTCTCTTTCGGTATTTGCGTGATAAGTAATGATTGTCTTGTTCAATTTATACATCTTTTGAGCCACCAGTTTATGGTAATCTTTAAAATCTTTGGCGTGTTGCATCACGGAATTTAAAAAGTCCTAAATCATGTATTTGAGCAATTATTTAAATTTTCATAATTCGAAATTTAAATAGCAATAATATATAAATTTAAATATCAGTATCGAATTGATGTTATGTCAAATATCGGAAAGAATCCGATTGATAGTCTTATTAACGTCAAAATCACTATTCTTATTAAATTTACTTCTAAATCATACATTCATCTTAGTAATTAACAGAGTTGTTAAACGCTACTTTTAAAAGTAGCGCGCTACCGCCATCGCTATTTGTTAAAAAAAGTAGCGCGCTACCGCTATTGCTATTTGTCAAAAAAAGTACGCTATTAGCTACTATTTTTTAAAAGTAGCTTTAGCTACTTGTTAAGCTACTTTTTATAAAAAAATTTACAAAAAAATTTTTATTTTTTGCTTATAATATTATTGTATAGTAAATATATAAAAATCAACATTTATAAATATTAAAATATAGTTAGTTTTGATTATAAAAAATTTTATGTAATAAAAATAAATATTTATGGTAATTTGTTGCATTTTAATAATAAAATCATTTTAATATTATCATCCCCAAGTCTAGAGCGACGATCAGAAAGTATAAGTTTTGCTTATTAAATAATCTCGACACTAGCACTTGAGGGTAAGGGCGTATTTAATCTTATATACATATTTTTAATATAAGATAGATTATCAATAATTTTTTTTGCAAGTGCATCGTATGTCTGGCATCCTATTATCATTATGAGGGCTAATGCCACAGATCTTCTTTTAAAGTTCTAGGGTCTAGTCAATGGCCTGTGATTCCCAAATAAGCTCAAAAATATTTAATCAGATCAATTTATAAATATAAATAAGTTTTTACCTTCTGTTATGTGTTCAACTATCTCCCATGGTACATATATATGATATCTCTGATAACTCTACTATTAGAGCATCTTTCATCATTTTAAAGTTATCTGCTATTTTATTCATTAGTGTCTGGCGGCATAAAATTGTTGTACCAGGGGGATAGAGTTTTAATCATCATGGTAAATGATGGATTATCAACTAAGGACATTGGCTGAACTGTAATAAAATCAACAATAACTTTATCACCCAATTTCTGAGAAATATTGTCATTTGCATTATTAATTAATTTGGTTTGGATTGAATTAGTCTTTTTGGATGTAGAGTCGCCTATACCAAAATTATTTAGATGTTTCTCCATTTCCTTAAAACTCATGAACAGTCTTATAAAATAAATATTATTAGAATGTAAAAATGGCAATTTACCTTTAGGTGTTTCTTGAGGTTATAGCTACTGGATTGATTAGGGAAATATTTTTTTTTACATTTTAAACAAATAAATTTGAAACCAGTTTTGGTTATATATTTATTTAAAAAAATTTTCAAATCTAGGGTAGGGGAAATTTGTATTATAGCTATTAAGAACATTTTCTTCCCTTGGTATCTTCCATTTCATTAATATCATTGTGTGAATCACTTTCAACGATTTGGATATCCATAGGCGATGACATTTTAAATTATTAACACGTGATTTAGGTTTATAATACAAATGAAAATATAAATTACAAATTTAAATTATATTTTAATTTCAAAATTAAATAATATATCATAAAAATTATAATTAATTATGATATTATATTATACTTACCTTCATTATATTTTTTAAAAGTAGCGAAGTAGCGGCTACTTAGCTACTTTCAAAAAAAGTAGCACGCTAAAAAATTTAATAATTTCAAAAAAAGTAGCCACTATTAGCTATAGCTACCAAAAAAGTTAGCGCGCTACTTTAACAGCTCTGGTAATTAATTAACTTAGTAAAAAATAAAGTCTTTTTTTTATATTACTACATGCAATCTTTTTAAAATAGATTAAAAATGGCAACAGTTTTCATAGAATTAATTTCTCTAGAATTTTTTAGTATATAATATTTATTGCTACTTGATGTTTTTGACGTCTCTTTTTTTCCTGTTCCATTTTGTGCTGCTTTTCAAGCCTTTCGGTTGTTCTGGCTTCCCTAAGAGTCAATCTTTTGGCCCTTTTATAAGCCTTTAGGTTCAGGCTCACACTGTAAGGGTCCTTTATATCGAAAGGAGGCTCCTTCCTCAGGCAATCACGTATGTCTCTCCTCAATTGCCTCTGATAATTGAGTAAACGAAGGGCCTTTAATTCTATCAATGCTTTAGTACGTAGGTCAGCCGGAATATCCAGGGGTAGATTTTCCAAGTCTTGAACACGACGGGCCATTCTAGAAGATATTCTGGGAGGGTTGTAATGAGTAGACAAATAAAAATTAAAATAAAAGAGGCAAGAGATATGGGAAAGAAACAATAAAAAAATAAAGAATGTCTGATGAATTAACATTTTAAAAATTTTATAGAATGAAAAGAAAACATTGAAAGTGAGCTTATTATGAAAGGAACATAAAAATATGTAAATAATAAAGCCTGCAAGCGAGCGGCTTTCATAAACTCGCTCAGCTATCGTTTAAAAATATAAACCCACCCACATAAAGTGTTGGATAAAAATTCTCAAGCCCCTATTAAAAATAATTTGATAGAATGGTGTGGTTTTTATTGATTTTGTTATTTTATATTTTTAAGATCACATTATTAAAAATTCAAGGTTTTGAGATTCAAACTTAACCGTTAAACCGGTATTAGCCGCTATTATTTACCGAGCCTAAACAGAACATGAACCGTAAAAAAATTTGTCACCCGAATCTGAACCTCTTAAAATGCCTTGTAAACCGTTTTGAACCTTTTGATATTTAACTCTTTTAGATGATTAATAATCAGTTTTGACTAATTATTTTTAGATATTTTGTATAATGATATTTTACAGTGCCAGCTACCCAAATTTGCATATGGAGGTGTTCTTAGTAATAAAATTTATTCTTCCTTCTTATAGATAAGGAATCTTGAAAATATCTTCAAAATTATTTTTAGTGATAAAATTTAAAAAATGTTCTTTTCTTTACATAATATAATACCTTGTATGTGAAAAGATTTGAAGCGGTCTTTATAGGTACAACCCAAACCAATATTATTTTTTACGAACCGAACCTTTCATCTAAACCTGAATCAAACCGATATTCGTCACTGTTTTAATCTGTTTTTTCTATGAATGAGTTAAAAATAACTCTCAATTCATTAACAGACTATAATAATATATATCCAAAATAAATTGGCAGTATTTTTTTGAATAAATTAAAACAATTGGAATTTAATTAACACAGTCTGAACAAGGCACATTAAAATATAGGTTGTGTGCATTAAAGGTCTGCAATGTGCGGCGCAATACCTGCCCCTCTAAAAAAATTTAGGGCTGGACAAAAAAAATTATTGGGTTGGATTATTGATGAATTCTGATATTTGATAGAAGTGATTATCCATAAAGTGTAGTGTTTTTAATTTAACCACTCCACAATATTATAAATAGTTATTTATGTTGGTGTTCAGCTAATATATTTCGGATTAGGTCCTATATTTAAAAAAATCGAGCTGGGGAACCTTGTTAAAAAAAATTTAAACGAGCCAGTACAAATTTAGAGGGATAGCAAAAGCTGAATTCCAACAAGGCCAGCCCTGAAAATGACTAAAATAACTTTAGTTAGCCATTTATTAGAGTTGGTCAATAAAAATCAATTTAATAAATTTGATTAAATACTTAATTATTATATGAAAGGCAAGGATTTAGATTATAGAATTAAATAATTTTTATATGAAAAATACTTCTACAAGCACAGTTATTACTTATTTAGATAATATGAAATTACTTGATTTATTTTAATTTTCATTGTTTCAATTTTTGACATAATGTATAAAATAATAGTTAATTGTATAATTATATTCACAATGTAGATTTAATATTCCAAATGTAAAACCCAAACATATATTAAACTAAAAATTTTTATTATGTTGTTAAAGTAGTGCTATTCTCTTTACAATAAAAAAAATAATTAGTTTGTTAAATTAATAAATCATTTTAATAATAATAATAGATTAACAATCACAAGCATTATTCATATCCTCGACATTGGTATTTGAATTTAATTCTTTAAAAGAAAACTAGTTTTTCTAAACGATTCCTAGGTTTGGAATACTCTCCAGATGATGGCTGTAAACCATCATTTAATTTTTTTTTAAAGTTGAAATATGTTAAAGAAAAGCTGGAATATATTTTTTGTTCGGAGAACAAGGGAATATATTTTTTTTATACTTTATTTGTATAAAATCCAACCAATGGTCTTTATTTTTATTTCTTTTTTTCTGAGTGGGAAAATGATTGACATTTTCAATATTTTTAAAAATAATATACAAAACTGCAACCTAAAATCTTTCAAATATAAATACGGACAATATCATATTTATTAGCTTCATAGTTTAGTAAAAATACAACTCAAATTTGTGGGTTAAACTTCTATTATAATCTATAAACCTATTTTCTCTTTCATTCAGTATAATCTCTGGGTCTAGACCGGATGGCTTAGAGACTGGAGCTAATCTGTTCACCTTTTGTTGATGTTGTTGAGCTCCCACAAGTTGGGCCAAAATATTCAATCTATGATCAGCATTAACATTGTGACTTGAGGAAATGGGTGTGTTTTGATTATTGAAATTGTATTGTTGTGAGATGGGTGGTGGTTGAATAGATTTGGAAGTTAAAGAAGTTGGCATGGACATTGGTTGCATTTCAGGTTTGCCTTTAATTAAAAGTAAAATAATAAAATTATTAAAACATATTATATTTCGTCCTGAGAATTATGTTATTCTATCCATTTTTGTCAAAAATGATTTTTTTAACATTTTCCGATCCGATCCGATAAAATATGGCGTTTTTAACAAAAATAAAATATTATAAAATTCAAAAAAAAGTTATATCTAAAAAACTATTTATTTTTATAAATAAAATCGAAATCCACTTTTATGTTTAATTGGTATAAACATACTGGGGTCATTCCATGTCAAATCAATCACTTTTCGGCCGACCCCTTTCGATTTCGATAAAAATTCGTAGGCTGGTTATATATGTTCTTATTAGATTATAAACAAAATTTTAGCGCATTAGAAACTATATTAGCGGAGATATTCGGGGTTAAAGGTCCAAAAAACGTCTTTTTTTGCTTTTTACTGATATTAAATAATTAGTTTTTAATTTAAAACTAAATATGATCAAATATTGAATCTAATATCAATAGCTAAGTTAATAATTTATAATTATGGCTAAAACATCAAAATTGATTTTTGATAAAATATGGGTCATCTTATGGTCAGTTGAAAACTTGAAATTAATATTTCGAAATGTATATGATCTCCGATTTTTAATTTTTTTAAGAAATATTATCCGTTTACTATTTTTTTAATAATTTCTTCAACAATTAGCATGGCTGGATATTTATTTAAAAAAATATTGCGATTTTTATACTTTTAAAAAATAGATGGCGCTATATATAATAGTTTTAATATGTTAAAATACATTTTATTGATTAAAAATATTTTAATGTATATATATCATACTAAATCGATTACAATGTGCATTATATATATTTATTTGTAATTCAGATCATAAATTTTTAAAATCTTCACAAATTTTACCTAATTAAGATAGTTTATAAATTAATTAAATCTTACTTTATCTAAAGGAATACAAAGCCTGGCTAGCTTGTGAGATTCTTCAGGAGATAATATATATGTTCGACTGGTGGAAGTAGAAGGATTGACCAGCGAGAGAATATGAGATTTAGGCAACACTAAAATATTATCTTTCAAAGGAAATTTAAATGAGACTGAAGGTCCACGAGGGTGTAAAAATCGGATTTTTACTTCTTCATTTGTATAAATTTTATCGATTATATATCCTAACCACCATTTATCATCATATACACATGTTATATATCCATTAATATTTTAAAATATAATTTTCTCATTTAAAAACGGAACTTGTTTTATATTATATTTTTTGGAATTAGAATATATTTTGGTTTTTAGTTTATTTTGATCAATGGGAATAATCCCGTGAATTTTTTGGGTCCCATGTATGGGCAGTGCAGAATTAAATCTTTTACGAAGAGCTAATTCCTCTTCGATATATTCTTGATTGGATACATATTCAAATTGAATATTAATATTTTCTTTAGCATAATTATATAATTCTAATGGGGTTAGGATTTGATTTTTATTTGGCCTTTGAAGACTAGCTCTGGCAACTAATCTTTTGACAGTTCCTCCGATACCGTCACATGCATTTTTGCCGTGAGCAGTGACAAAGAAATGCCATTCGGCAGGAATTAAAATCGTATTTATGAAGGCATATGTTCAGAAAATTTTTGCGATTCTTGTATTGAGACGCGGCTTCATTCGAAAAATATATTATTTTTTCTGGTTTAGAATTAAATTTGGCTGTTAAGAATTTAATGAATTTTTTTTGATAAAGTTGGACTGCACTAGTATTATGGCTTAATGATTCGGACAAAATAACAAAATTTATATTTTTTAATTCTTCTCCAGATTTATAATATGCTACAAATGGATGTATAGTGGCCTGCACATTGTTCCAATGAAATCCCTGAACTTCATCTTGTAAAATAAGAAAATAATTTTCAGAATAATCCAGAATTGTTAAAAATTCCTCATCTTTTAAATTTTCTTTGGAATTCTTCAAAAATAAACTTTGTGTTTAGCTATAAACGAGTGAATTCGATGAAACCATCAATGGACTTTATAATAGTTTCAAGATTTGCTCTATCCACCGTGATCCATTGTTTAAACGTGACATATTCTAAACGATTTCTCTGAAACAATTGGTATAATTGGCACATAAGAGATTCTATACAAGGGCATTGATCACAATTTGTTAAATAACATTTTGGCTGAGATGGATTACAAATAATTTGCGCCAAAAGATTGTTATAAGAATTTATACAGTAATCTTCTCCTGCTGTAATTTCAGCTATTACATTTGTCATTAATTTCACATTCTGATGAATGGCGCAGACACAAACAGTGTGTGTGCCATCCAACTAAAATTCAGTTTTTTGGTCTAAGTTCGGCAAATTTAGGGAATCCAATTGATATACTTGGGTATTCTTCCTTAAACATCTTGAATATTTCTTTAAGATTATTTAATATAAACCTTTGCTGATTCTTTCTCGCCTTTAACAGATACACAATCTTTTATTCCTGGCATGAGTCGGCTTATTTCATCAGAACTATAATTTTGTTATTTTTATTGCTTAAAAAAATTTTCAAAATCTTTGAAATTATCTTTATCTCTGGTTATTTTAATAATGTAAGATAATGACAATTTCATAACATTATTGGTCTTGATGAGTATGATTTAGTCTGGGGGGGGGGGGAGGGTTGGGGGTAGGCCTAATAATTAATGTGATTTTCGATTTTTCCCTTAATAATTTTCCTGCACCCCTTTAATCCTGCTTTTTTGTTCGTGTGCTAGTCCGATTCTTTAATTATTTTAATTTACATTGAAATATTAAAAAAATTATTAAAATTTTTTATCCTGCGAATATCTCAGGGGAATAAGGTTTACAAAGTTATATGATCGAATTTTATGATATATTATACATTAAAATATTTATAATCAATAAAAAAAATGAATTTTAACATATTAAAACTATTATATATAGCGCCATCTATTTTTTTTAAAGTATAAAAATCGCAATATTTTTTTAAATAAATATCCAGCCATGCTAATTGTTAAAGAAATTATTAAAAAAATAGTAAACGGATAATATTTCTTAAAAAAATTAAAAATCGGAGATCATATACATTTCGAAATATTAATTTCAAATTTTCAACTGACCATAAGATGACCCATATTTAAAAAAAAATTATTTTTGATGTTTTCGCCATAATTATCAATTATTAACTTAGCTATTGATATTAGATTCAATATTAGATCATAATTAGTTTTAAATTAAAAATTAATTATTTAACATCAGTAAAAAGGAAAAAAAGGCGTTTTTTGGACCTTTAACCCCGATTATCTCCGCTAATATAGTTGCTAATGCGCTAAAATTTTGTTTATAATCTAATGGAAACATATATAACCAGTCTACAACTTTTTATCAAAATTGAAAGGGGTCGGCCGAAAATCTTGATTTTTTTGCTCATTTGACATGGAATGACCCACGCCATATTGTTATTTTTGTTCACATTCTGTTTATAAAAGTGTGCAATAATTTCTTCAGAATCTGTTTTTAGTGAAGCTAGTGATATTTACAGTCCTCATCACCGCAGATTGACTTCTGATAAATTAGAAATTTTGGTATTTCTAAAAAGAAATCTTCGATATATTAATTTTAAATATAATTTAAATATTTATTTCAAATTTCATAATATATTTGTTTATTACTTATTATAACTAGATTAATGTTATTACTTATATAAATAAGTGATTTTCAATAAAAATATTTTATATACTTATAGAAGCAATTGAATTGAATATAAACTATAACTGATCATTATAATATATTTAAATGACATATGTTATGGTATAATTAAATTATAGATGTTATACTAATAAAAAGTATATTAAAAATTAAAGCCATTGGTATCTTTACAGAATACAAAATTAGATAAGATATTGGATTGGTAATAGGCCGATATCAATTTAATATCGGGAATATCAGATCGGCCTCCAAAACGGAACACCTAATATACATTAATTTTATCCATTCCATTAAAATATTATATTTAAATTTTTTAAAATTTTAGTCTTTTGTCTTGTTTACATCAGTAATTATTATTCAATAATATTTTTAAAATAATAAAAATAAAATTTGGTATTTATTCTATCTACAGTTTTAGAATAAAAAAAACACTTTTTGAGAAATATATCATGGTATTGGTATTTTATATAATTAGGTGATGAGGAACTAATAAATATACACATCCTAAAATTAAAATAAATAAAATTAGGAAAGCCTTTCTATTCAAAATACAGATAAGGAATGTTTAAAATTGTTATCCTGTAAAGTTGGAATATAATTCTAAGGCGACGATTTGCAAAAATATTTTGTAAAATATATTATATTTGCAAAAAATCTTTATTTTATCGAATTGCTATTACATTGTAAATATAAAAATAAACAGAAATTACAAATCTCAACTCAACAAGGTATTCCTTAATTCTTGAATGTGTGAATGCTAAATTAATAATATTTACTTGGTATCATAGCTGATTCCCCTTCATAGCTCATGTTTTCATTTTTTATAGATGAAGTGTTAATTTTATTCAAATTGGTAGATGGTTGATAAGTAGAAATGTTAGATGTTAAGGATGAATAAAGCAAGTTGTTATGCAGTCTTGGTGCCATACTAGAAACAGGTCCCATTTTGAGTTGGGATGATGTACTACCTAAAATAATTGATGGTATAACAGAGACTTTCCTATATTTTAAGGCCTGGCTTGGATTTGAGCAAATTCCCATTAACCAATCTGGCCCAAATTTTTTTAATATAGCTTATAGCAAATAAATAAAGTTTCAAAAACTTAAATTTTCCCCACCTTTATCTCGAGGTGCAATGATAACAAAATTTCTAATTAATTTTCATAAATTTTTAAAAAAAATTTATTTAAAAAATCATACAAATTTTTAAAAAAATAAATGCTGTTTTAATTTCCTAATTTTTTTTAATTTTAATTTTATTTTATAAATTTCATAAATTAATTATGATAAATAAATATGCATTATTATCTTTGGTCATCGTATCACCAATACTCTGTTAGTATCAGTAATACTCTGCCTTTATCTGCTAGTTATAAATATAATTCTAAAAATATAGCATTTTAAAAATAAAAATTCTAGCTATTTCAAAAGACGATTCTGGAAAAATAAAATTTTCGAAGGTGCATAATCCAAATAGTAATTAAATATTTTATGAGTTCTCCAATAATATTAAGGATGTATAACAATATAAAAATTTTTTTCCAAAACATAAACAATGGGGAAAAACGGTGCTAAAACAAACCTTAAAAATAAGATTAAATATTAAGATGAAAATGAAATATTGGCAGAATATATTTTCCATAAGGGATTGTAGTATTAATTTTAAAAAAACTTTAAAATAATCGTTCATCCCTAAATAATATCCATTTCAAAATAATTTCCAAATTTTTTTTTACTAGCGAAGGAAAGTGATTCGCTTTTCTCAATTTGGATCATGTTTTGATCTTAGGAATCGGTCTGGTTCGGAATTTGCAATCGATCTTTTCGGTCTGTTCCTTTATTAACTTCCCTGAATCATTATTATACCCATGCAAATTAATTTTTTCCCAGAGCCTGCAAAGTTTGTACTAATTTTAAAGCGCTAAATTTTTTATTTATTATCCGAAGCCAAAATTTTATTAAAATATAAATTAAAAGCATTTTTATGAAGCTAAAAATTGTTATTTCCTTCAGATAAATAGCACTTTATTTTGAAAAAGATAAGAAAACCATTTTCGTATGTTAACTTTTAGATATTTTTCAAGCCATAAACTTGGGCGATTTTTTTTAAAATTAGGTAAAAGCCTGGCCGGAATTATTTTTTAATTGGGCTTTGGACAGACTTGTAGAGACATTAATTTCCCCACCATGTTTAGTAGAAAATTAAGATTATCAAGAAATATAAAATGTATCATGTGTGATAGTACTAGCTTATAAAAATGGAATATTTAACAAAGAAAATTTTTAGTCCTAGTGAGGCTGATCTTATTAACATTTGAATATAAATATATGAATTGCTACCAGAGGCATCACTGAATATTTTTATTGGGGAGGGGGGGGGGACTTATTAAAAATTTAGCTTTTTAATGATTGCAATGCCGATAAAAAAGGTATTTTGTTTTGTTATAAGTATGTGATAATATTGCGGCAATTAAACTCATCTAAATTTATTTATATTCGCAAATAAATAAAATATTTCATTATTAAAATGTTACTTTGTTTTATATGGATACAAAACGAAAAAAAATTAGTCTTGACCACCACTTTATTTTATGGTATATGGTTAAGTTTGGGCCTTGCATTGTGACTTATGGTTTGGGTTTTGAAAATTGCACAAAACCAAGATCTTCACTAATTTCAAAATAAATTTTGTTTTTGTAGTTTGTGACAAATATTCCATAAACAATAAGAGGGTTAAAAGATTTATCATGTGAATAATTATTTACATTGCTTTTAAAAATAGGTGGGTTGGTATTTTCTTTTGATTAAAGCCTAAACTAATGGTAATTAACCTGCTTACCTTGGCCAACATAAGAATAAACTCTAATTCTAAAAATGATATTAAACTCACAGTGATTGGGAAATATCAGTTCACACATTGGTGTTGATTTTGCTTAGTTTGAGGTGGGCCTAAAACCTGCCTGAATTATTAAAATATGAGATGTGCCAATATCATATCAGAGTTGTGTATTTGACTGATCAAATATGAATCAGTCAATTAATCAATATGTGACCATCAAATATGGTCATTTAAATAAATGTAAGATTATTTTGTATATAATAGTAAAATGAATCTATAATATTTTTCAAATTCATTGTCATTCAATAAATTCCAGCTCTCCATGGCAGAGTTTTGTTCTATTTAATATTATCATTCTCTTATTTTTAATTAATTTTCCTATTGTCGAGATATTCAGTCGATTTTTGTTTTAGTAAGAATATTAACTCAAATCAACAATTTCTTTGTGAAGAATAAGTAAAACATACAATTGTTGGTAAAATGTCACTTCTTTAAATATAATGGTGGACAATGCCCATTCCATGAATTTGAGGCAGAAATCTGATTGTTTCTTATGGAAGTTACTGTTTTCCACATAGTTTTCTATTAATATAAAGCTTTTACTTCTGAAATTTTTATCACTTAAAATATTTTGATCACCACATTGTAAAATGCCTATTCTTGTATTCTTCAATCATTTTGCTATTAGTAAGATGCTCCCATTGATATTGGGTACCCAATAAATAAGCAACTTTGTCACATGTATTTCGTTTTTTTTCAAACATATTTTTTAGAGTATTTGACCATATTTCCTCTGGTCAATCAAAATTTGACCAGTTAATTGACCAACTTGCTAACTCTGCCATTAATTGTATCAGTATTAGAATGATACTCATGGTATAGGGATACTTTAATTTTCACTTGATAATACTCAAAAAAATTCCCCTTACATATAAAAATTGCAAAACCCATAAAAAAATAAAAAGAAGGTGCTATTAATCTTTACTTCTTACAATTTAATTTTATGATTTCATAAATTAATTATAAATATTACTTAATTATGTCGTTACTTTTTTTCAATAAATGTAAATTATTATTTTTGGTATTGGTGGTAGATGTTGGCATGAGGTGGCCCAGTCTGTGAAAGTTATTGGTTTTTTTTAGCTTAACCCATAATTATTATTTACTATTCTGACCCAGGGTTGCCAGGTCAACATTTTCAAATTGTGGGAGAAATTCGGTATTTTGTGCGAGTAATATAAAAATTGTGGGAGAAAAATGAAAATTGCTATAAAAAAAAATTTAGGGGCCGAAGGCCCGCAAAGGACCGGCCTGCGGCCGGGATTTAGAATTGACTTAGTTATCCGCTTATTATTTTTTATAAATATAAAATCGAATCTATTTCCCAAAATAAAATAGGTAATTATTTTTCAAAATAAAATAGCCAACTATTTTTCAAAATAAAATAGCCAACTATTTTTCAAAATAAAATATCCAACTCTTTTTCAAAATAAAATAGGTAACTATTTTCCAAAATAAAATACGCAACTATTTTTCAAAATAGGTAATTATAGTACGACACAAAATTTCTTAAATACTATCTTTATTATTAAAATAACATATTGATTTATTATAATATATTAATTTTGTTTAAAAATAATAACCAACGATCTTTTTTAAATACAAAAGAATGCAAACAAGATAAAATTTTATAAAAAAATTGTAATTTTACAAAAAAATTCTAATTTTACAATGTAAAAAAATATATTTTATGCTAATGTTAATGTATAAATAAGATTTTATAAAAAAACAAACAATTTTAAATTTACAATGTAAAAAATAATTATAATCACGGGGAAGTTGTTCTACAGTATTTAATTAATACAATGGGGGAAGGGAATATGATAATTTGAGGCATCAAAAATCAAAGCATAAATCAGTACAAGGCAGTCTATCAACATCTATTGCAAAACAAAAATATTCTTCAAAAATAAGAAATAATACAGATGCAACTACAGTTGCGGAAATGGTAAATACCTATCATGCAGTACAACATTCAGAGAGCTACTTAACATCACAATGTTGGTAGAATCTTTCCCCATAATATTTAAAGACTAATATAAATGAAAAGTATACTTTGTAGAACACAAATGAGCAAGGCTATCATCAATGTTTTAGGATATAAATCCAGAAGGTCAATTCCTGACGATTTGAAAGATGTGCAAACATATGCAATTCTAACAGATGCATCTAATAAGGAGATATCAAAACATTTCCCTTGATCCTCCCCTATTTCAACAAAATTAATGTCATTTCAATAAAACTATTAAAAAAATTTTCTCCAGATATGAAATATCCAAAGACATAGCTAACCATATATAATGGTAAATATGGCAGATTTGGCATTACCAATGAATTGCATGGCAGCTTTCTGATCTGATAATTCCTCAGTGAATTTGCAAAAACCAAAGTGTATTTACAGAATTGAGTCAGCATAATGTTGGTTGACAGGTTCCTCCTAATACGCGCCATCGTAGAATTTTAAAATTTTACAAACCTTTAAAAAATATTTATATTATAAAAGCTGTCCTAATATTTTGAAAAAAAATTTCAAAAATAAATGGCCGAAGTATATTTAGGAATTTTACATATAGGAAATCTACTATATGCTGTTAATATGCAGTTGCAATCATAAGAATATAATTTAATAAAGGATCACTAAATTATGCTGCAGAAATACCAAAATAAGAATATTATAACTATTATCGGATAATTATTAATAAGATTTAATATGATGTCATGTTTGAGGAGATTGTAATGCTTCTTTATTTTTATGATTTGCCAAAATATTCAAAATATTAATTTTACAATGTAAAAAATAAATTTATTTGATTTTATGCAAATGTATAAATAAGATTTTATAAAATATAGAAAGTCAAATAGTTATAGTTAATTATATTTTATTTGAGATTTAAATAATGGAACTAAACGTTTACCGTCGTTATTAAGATATTTATAAAATTCCTGGCATGACATTTTATAATTTTGTTTAACCATTAACTCGGCCTCTAATGTTGTTAAAGCAATTCGATTTCTCTCCTTTCTCCAGGCAGTCCTCATCAGGCTAAAAATGCGCTCCGATGAGGCATTAGAATGAGGTAAGGAGAAAACATACTCGCAAATTTTTTCCAAGCATGGGGATTTATCGTTATTACGAAAAAATTCCACCCATTTCTCCTCTGCTTTTAGACCATCTAACTTTAAGTATTCTGGCGAATCATAAAAAATGGAAAAAATTACAATCTCTTCAAACAAGGCTTCATTTTCTATCGGTAATTTTAATATATTTATTAAATTACAAAAACCATCAAATGATGGTTTCTGTTCCAATGTTATAATATTTATACACTTGTAAATAGAGTTATTAAAATCAAATCTTGATTGTAAATATTCCAAAATTGTATTAATAAAAATATTTGCTTCATTTAAAAATACGTTAATTATAGTAATATTTGAACATTTTAATATGATATGCGCGCCATAAAATTTATTATCTATTTTTAACTGTAGAGATGAACAGAGCTGTAGCATAATTTTGTGAATCTTTATCAATAAAGAATCTTCTGATTGCAACTGAATATTAACTACATGAAGTAGATTTCCTACATGTGAAACTAATCCCAAATATGCTTCTGAAATTTCATCCTCGAAATTTTTTTTTAGCAAAATAGAACATTTTATTACTTAAATCTGTTTGGTATATGGGATATAATATCCACTTCTAAAAGTTCTATTCTTCTAACACAAAAATTTCGAAAATGTCGAGTGGAGCACTGCAATTCTAGATAACGATATAAAATATATTAAGTAATTTAAAATATATTTATAATAATTATACACACTGTTTTAACTTCTATTCTTTCTAACACAAAAATTTTGAAAATGTCAAGTGGAGAATTGGAGAATTAAATAAAAAATATATTTTAGAGCGGAAAAATAAAATAAAAGAACTAGACATATTTTTCGAATAAATATTTAAAATTTATTTTAAAAATATAAAAATAATCAAATACTGTCTCTCAAAATTATTATTTATATTAAAAACATTTAAATGCTAAAAAAAAAAATTGTGGGAGAAATTAAAAAATTGTGGGAGCTTTTTGTGGGAGATTTCTAATTGTGGGAGTTTTGTGAGAGTGAGATGTATGTGGGTAAACTAAAAAATTGTGGGAGACTCCCACTGATGGGGGAGACATGGCAACCCTGTTCTGACCCCTAAAATATATTCTGCCGAAGTTGTCCAGCTTGGCATATAAATCTATTTTCCATACCAGCCCATGAATCAAGCTTTGCTGGGCTATGCCAAACTATAATCGGTGGTATCAACCAATACCATGTTTATTGGTAAGGGTATTCTAAAAAGGTGGTAAAAATGCACCTCTAATTAAAATCATATTTTATGCCAGGTAGGGATAAGGTTCCCAATTTGCAGGACTCTCTTGTATAATAATCCTAATAAAAAAATCTACCAAATATTAGTTACTAGATATGTTTCATGTTATATATATTTTGAGAGTATAAAATATAATTTATAAATAAGATATAAGATAGGCTCTAAATGTGACTAAATATATTGGCATACTAATAATCTTAAATATAAAATTTGATTATTGTTTAATTGTTACATATAAAATTAAAATAGTAGGGTCGCAATTTCAATATTCTGTGTGAAGATCTTATTTTTTATGAATTTTACATTATATTAAAATAAGTTAAATAAAAAGTTTGTGAATAAAAATACCTATTAAAGATGGAGGAGGTGCTCTGGTAAATGGCAAATTCTGAGAAAAAAAATTCATGATACTATCTGGTACTGGTTGGTTTCTAGCTAAAAGTTTGTAAGCCATAATTTGAGCTCGCAATAAATGTAATTGGCCATTTGAAAAATTAACATTTGGATTATTGACATTAACAGAATTTTGAAGATTAGGATTATTACATTGTTGGTTTACTAAATTGCTTATATCTGTTTTTGTTACCTTTAAATCTTTTATTTCATTATCGAACATATGCTCTTGTATATTATTTTCAATTTTGTTAACTTCAATATTTAAAGTTGGAGTCTTATGTTCATTATAATTATCAAAGGTGGGTAGAGATGTCAACATACTATTTAAATTTTGATTATCAAAATTATTCACAGAATGCATGGATACATTAGATGGAACAATTTGAGATTGAGATGTTGAATGTGACATTGTATGAGTATTATAAACCTGGGGTGAATGTGGATTAACACGATTATCAATTGAACCTAAATGAAAATTAATTTTGGGATTTTCAATGTGAGGATTTGAATAAGCATTTGGATTATTAACATTAAATTGATGTTGAGGTCTTATAGGTTGATTAACATTACCAGGATGAACATTTTGCTTAGGATAATAATTATAATTGCCATGCATATTATTTAAATTTGGAGAATTTTGATATTGATTTGAATATGGATACCTATTGTAATTATGTGACTGCACATTCCAATTAGTTTTTTCTGGACCATTATTTATAGGGTATGCATCATTTGTGTAGATATGCTGTGGTCTTGGAAATGCATCGTAGTGAGTTACATTAATAATTCTTGGATTATATCCCATATTTTGCATATTATTATAATTATTTGAATTTGTAGCATTATTATAAGCAAAATTGTTATAGGTATTTTGGGAATTAGGGCGTTTTATATAATCAATGTTCACATTTGGAGAATTTATCATACCTGGCATAATATCATTCATATTTGCTTTTTCAATGCCATGTACCATATGAGGAGGATTTTGATGTTGATTACCATATGAACCTATAATTGTTTATATCATTTCATAAAAAAAATATATTACCTGGATAAATATTCGGATTATTGATATGTGGATTTATTCTAATATAATTTTCATTACTAGGTGGATAGTTTCGATTAAATTGATATGCAACTTGATTAATATTCTGATAATTTATATTCTCGGGATAATTATTCATATTGGATTGATCATAAACCTATAGAGTACTTATATATCAGTTTAATTGTAAAATTATTTACTTTTCTACTATCTTCGAGCTCTTTTCTCTCATGTTCAAGCGGTCTATCCATATTCAATACAAATAACTAAAATATAGTTTAGTAGTATCGCCTGAAAGTTTTATTAATCATGTGTTTTTAAATAATAAAATTGAAAAAGAATGCCTCAAAATTTAAAATATTTTCAAGATTTTAATTTCATAAGGAATAGTATTAAATATAATAAAATTTTACAAATTTAAAAATGATCATAAATTCTAAAAAAAATTTAATAAAAATTTACTAGGTAAAATAAAATTTTAAATGTACAGAATTTTTTTAACCAATTTAATATGGTATATAAAAAATTTATTATTTATATATATATATATATATAACCTTCTATGGTGCTCTTAACTGATAGTTATGATAAGCAGTAATTTTTATAATCATATGCTTTATAAAACAAAAAATAAACCATATAAAGGAATTAATAAGAATATATACTTTATTTATATTACATACAGTAGATCAAGATGGGATATTGTCTTGCCATATTGACCCGTAGAAAACGGGTATGGAAAAGTTTCTTTGACCGTCCTTGTTAAAACTATAACTACAGGCATAGGTAAATTTTTCGCTCTTGTTCAGGCAGTGAAAGGATAGAGGAGATTATAGAACAGCTTGCAGTTCCATGTCAAACAAGATAGAACCGTTTATATTAGTGATATTGCTGTAGTCCTAAAATTTGCTTAGAGTAAATTGAAAAGAAATTTTTTGTATATTTTTTCAATAGTTTCTAGCATAGCATTTCAATTAAAAAATAAAATATTATATTTCGCTATTTAAAAAGTTATAAAATATTTTTATGTACATATTTCAAAAAATATATTTCCAGATGTAGTGCTGTTAAAAAGCTCAATTTGGGTAAGATTTTTAAAAGGGTTCGATTAATATTTCAGCTAAAATAATAATATTACAAGCCTGAAAATTTGGCAAATAGATTTCCAAACTTTCTATTTCCTATGAGCAAAGTCTCCAGACTGTTTTGGCTATAATCGTTTTTAAAAATCGATCCGAATCGGGCTTTATTAACACGTTATTTTTATATTTCATAAAAAATGATATAATCTATTAAAATGTATTCAATATATTATATTAACTAGTCTGGAAATAAATATTAGCACAAATCAGTGGCCCTTACACTTTTTGAACGATAGAGGCAGATTACCCCTCTGAAAAGTACCCCCTCCCCCTCTTTCCGAAAAACAGTGAATTATGTTTTTAACATGCTTTCGGCAGTACATGAGGTAGAAAGCAGAAAATGTTTAAAGTAAACGATGGTAAAATAAATAAATTCCAGTCTGAATTATAAGTCTCAGAATTATCTTGATCAGAAGAGCTAAATATTGTATTAATATAAATATTTAATAAAATAAATTTAAAATTCTTAGAATCTGATAAATCTTTATTATCTCCAGATCTTAGGTTTAATTACATTCCTCATTTTAGCCATAATATATTTAGAAATGGGTAAGATGTAGGCTTGGAAACACGAGTATGAACAAGGACGCGGGTTCAATCCTGGTATGAACCATAAACACTTTCAAGTTTTTCTTCGATGACTGATGTGTAAAGACATATGGTATGATAAATTTCGGAGCTTAGAGATGACACCCCTGTCACTGACAGGCCTGGACAGCCGGGTGCTAAGGATACCTGTCCAATAAACAAAAATGAAGGACACAAATGAAAATATGAATATGAAAGCTAGGGCGTTCCCTCCATGCGACGCGCTGGGTGTAGACCTCCATCCTGTGAAAAGTAAAGTAAGGTCAAAGCTAAGAAGACAAGATTAACAAGTTTGAATATTGGGACGCTTAAAGGTAAGACGAGAGAATTGGCATCAATGTTGAACAAGAGAAAAGTTGATATAGCGTGCATACAAGAAACGAAATGGAAAGGACAGAAAACTTTGATGATTGGAGATGGGTATAAATTGTACTATGATGGACTTGTTAGCAATAGGAACGGTGTTGGCATCATCCTCAGCCAAGACCTAACCTCTTCAGTAGTAGAAGTCAACAGGATCTTTGATAGACTAATGAAGATAAAACTCTGCATTGGTCAATCAATACTACACATCCTATCAGTATATGCTCCTCAAACGGGTTGCAAGGAAGAAGAGAAAGATGACTTTAGAGCTATCCTTGATGAAGCTGTAATGGAAATCCCTAAGGATGACCTAGTCATAATTAGTGGTGACTTAAATGCGCATGTGGGGAAAGCAAGAGATAGCTACAAAAGGCATCATGGTGGTTTTGGATACGGAGAAAGAAATGATGAAGGAGAGCACGTACTGAAATTTGCGCAAGCCTTCGACCTTGCCTTAACCAACACCTACTATAGGAAAAAAGATAGTCATTTAATAACATATGAAAGTGGTACTAGGAAAACACAGATAGATTACATGCTAATCTCTCGCAGAAGATTAAAAGATGTAATAGACTGCAAAGTCATCCCAGGAGAAGATATCGCCGCGCAACACAAGCTACTAATCATGGATTTACAAATCTCAAATAAATCCACTCAAAATAAGATAAAACTGGAACCATGCATCAAATGGGGCAAATTAAAAACAATGACAGACGCCTTTGCAATCAATGCAAACATTGAAACAATAAATTGCTCACAAGTCAGTGAAAAAATCTGGACAGACCTTTCATCCAGATTAATAGACACTGCAAAATCGACGCTAGGCTTGACAAGAGGAGGCAACAAATCACACAAAGAACTATGGTGGTGGAATCAAGAGGTACAAACCACTATACAGGAGAAAAAAGCCCTTTATAAAATATGGTACAAATCCAAAAATGCAGATGACAAGTCAAGATACAAAAAATCCAAGAGATTAGCTACAAAGGCGGTGGCTAGGGCCAAATCTATGGCATACGATGACATGTACGAAGATCTACATACCAAAGAAGGGCAAAATAAAATATACAGATTAGCCAAACAGCGAGAAAAGAACTCTAGGGATATAAACGGAGCTCCGAATGTAATCAAAAATAAAGATGGGAAATTGATAATAAAGGAAAAAGAAATAATGAATAGATGGAAAGAATATTTTCAGGAGCTTCTCAACTTTAATTCCCACATATTGCATCTCGATGAACACTCCCCTTGTCAAAACCTTGTACAACCTATAACAGAACAAGAAATAATCACATGCCTCAAGCATATGAAAAACAACAAAGCTAGGGGTCCAGACGATATTCCAATAGAAAGCTTTAAAGCACTAGGAGATGATGGAATACATCTCCTCACAAATCTGTACAATAAAATACTTGGAAATGAAGAGGTTCCCCAAAAATGGAGGCAGAGCTATCTAGTTCCTATCTTCAAAAATAAAGGGGATCCACACAATTGTCAAAATTACAGGGGCATAAAACTAATGTCACACTGTCTAAAACTATACGAAAAAATAATAGAAAAAAGATTAAGAGATATAATCGAAATAGGAGAGACACAGTTTGGCTTTATGCCTGGAAGATCAACAACCGATGCTATCCATGCAATTAGGCAAATGAGTGAAAAATACAGGGAAAAGAACAAAAAGCTACACATGGTCTTTCTCGATCTAGAAAAGGCCTTCGATAGAATCCCAAGAAAACTTATCTGGTGGGCGCTACGCCACAAAAAAGTTCCCGAAAAATATATAAGAATAATACAGGATATGTATATGGGACATACAACAATGGTCCGTAGCACAACAGGTACTTCAGCAGGCTTCACAATGGCCGAAGGAGTTCATCAAGGGTCGGCTCTTAGCCTACTTCTCTTTTACAGTAATAGATGTATTAGCACAGTCTATACCTCAAACAGTCCCGTGGAATATGATATTTGCAGATGATATTGTGATACTTGATCCAAGGATGAAATGAAAGAAAGGTTAGTGAATTGGATAAATATCCTAGAAACGCACGGATTAAAAGTAAATAGAGAAAAGACGGAGTATATGGTGATAGGAGGAGATGAAACGGAGAGTATTGATATAAATTATTGGCAGATATCCGCATTTGAAAGCTGCAAATATTTGGGCTCCACTATACAAACAAACGGCACAATAGAAAAAGAGATAAAGAATAAGATTAATCAAGGGTGGTTAAAGTGGAGATCTTTATCTGGAGTGCTATTTGACAAAAGAATCCCACACAAATCAAAGGGAAAAATCTACAGTTCCATAGTACAACCAACTATTCTATATAGTTCGGAAACATGGCCAACCAAAGAATCAGACGAGAGAAGTCTACAAACTATGGAGATGAGAATGCTGAGGATGATTGCTGGGGTAACAAGAAAGGATAAGGTGCGCAGTACAAGAATACTAAATAGTTTAAAGGTAGTGCCCATTAAGACTAAGTTAATGGTAAACAGACTTAGGTGGTATGGGCACACAATGAGAAGGCCTATGAACTACATAGTGTTGTGAATGTTAGAATTTGCATAAAGATTTCTTTTGGATTTTGTTGTACTTTATGTAATTTGCATAAAGAATTTTTGTGGATTTATTGTTATAACGCGTGATAAAAAGATTATATTTGAATAGTTATAAAAGAGTATAAAAAGGCAAATTTTTACGAGATAAACAATCTTTGTTTTTTTTAAAATTATTAATTTTTTTAATTATATTTTATTTTATTATGATTGTTACTATTATAATTTTGAATAAAGAATTAAAGTTGATTTTATGATTTCGTAATTCCTAATTATTATTAATTTCCTTTTATATATATATATTTGTTTTCTATTTTTATATTTAGGTTTTGATGCACAATGACAAATACTGTCGTTGTGACAATGGTGCCGAAGAGCGGAGGAGACCGGCCCTTAATAACCTTCAGTCTGTGACCGGCAACAAGGAGATGTGTCAAACTGTATTCTAATACAAAAAAAAAAAAATTCCAGAAGAACGTAAGAAAAATATATAAATAAAGATGAAAAGGAAATATTATGTTGTTAAGATTATGTTTATGTAGGATATAAAATCTAAAATTAAAGACAAAGGTAACATTCATAGTAGATAGAGATAATTGTGTTTAGTTATTTAAAGGTGATAATTAGGAATTTTATATTTAGAAGTTACTGGTAAACTAAAAACCAATGGAATTTTGAAACTAATAAAGACTATGATATTTTAGATTTTAGAATTATTATCTATTGTTAGGAAATAGTTGATTTTATTCTTATTGAAGATTTACGTTTAACTTTTATTTTAAAGGCTGCGAGAGATCAAACAGCCTCAAGGATGAATTAGTATATTAGGTTGTAGATTAACCAAAAAATCTTCATAGAGAGAATCGGCTTTTCGTCATTAGAAAATTTATGCCGCAATCGAGCTCAATTTGAGATCGGATTTTTATTTTTTTGAATCATAAATAAGATTTGAGACAATTATGCAACATTATTTTAATAATAACAGAAAGAAAAACATGCTTTAGAAATATACATATCAGTTTTCAACAACGGTTGTGCGAAAAATTATAATGATTAGATTTCATAAGTTCTTCAAAGACGTGGGGTGAAAACCATAGTGATTAGAGTTAAGAGGTTGTTCATAAACGTAAGTATGAAAACTTATATGATTAGATGTCATTGATTTCTCAACAACGTATGTATGAAAAGAGATTTATATATTTCAGCAGTTTTTTTTTTAAAAAAACTTGAGTAAAAGAAAGAATTTGATATATATTAGAATAGGATTTTTAGATATAAATTTAGTAACATGGCTGAAAAGAAGATGAGGATCAATAGCTAAAGGAGGAGTACAAGTAAATTTTTCAATGAAAATATGGGTCTAGGCTTCATTAAGGGGAGAGGGGTGATAGAATTTGATATATTTATATAATTTATTATATTTTGCTACGTAATTTAAGATTTAGTATAATTTACGCCATTTATTAAAGGCAGAATTAGTTTAGAGGAGATAAATGTAGACATTAGGATAAGGTTGGTATAATTATATATTTTATTAGTATATTTGTATTAGGTAGTTTATATTTGAGAATAAATATAAGAAAGTGATAAAATATTTCAGAAGTTATTTAAATAGATTATTTTAGGTAGAAGTAGATTAGATGTGATTACCCGATATCTCAGCAAGGGCAAACTGTCGTAGAAGACCCAAAAGTCTGAAAGATAGATACGATTACAAGAATTAGAGGCAACAACCAAGCAATTACAAGAGAAAGGGGGAAAACAAGCAAATTGATAGAAAAGAGGGTGAAAACGTTATGCTACAATCGTTAATCGCGGATCAATAATAGCCAATTATTATCGAGACTTGAGTCTAAGATATGGAAATCGACAATCATAGGAACAAGAATTCGTGAAAACCATCGTTTATCGCAGACCAATCGTTTTTCGAGATAAAAAGCTAATCGTGGATTACAAGAGAATGATAGAAAACAAGCAAGCTACGATGAAACTGGATGGCATCGATAATCGTTCATCAAGAGTGGATCGTGGAAAACAAGCGTTTATCAAGTTCGTCAGTGGCCTACAGAGATAAAAAGCTGATCATTTCCCAGGGTGACAAGCACAGATAGAGTTCAAAAATTTCAAGCGACAAAGCCTTCGTTAGAACTTAGAAGACAGCAAAAATTAAGAAGAATAAGTCGAGATCGAAAGAAGATTGATCATTCGCAGAATGTTGGGTCTAATTTAAGTAGGGAGGTGTTGTGAATGTTAGAATTTGCATAAAGATTTCTTTTGGATTTTGTTGTACTTTATGTAATTTGCATAAAGAATTTTTGTGGATTTATTGTTATAACGCGTGATAAAAAGATTATATTTGAATAGTTATAAAAGAGTATAAAAAGGCAAATTTTTACGAGATAAACAATCTTTGTTTTTTTTTAAATTATTAATTTTTTTAATTATATTTTATTTTATTTTATTTTATTATGATTGTTACTATTATAATTTTGAATAAAGAATTAAAGTTGATTTTATGATTTCGTAATTCCTAATTATTATTAATTTCCTTTTATATATATATATTTGTTTTCTATTTTTATATTTAGGTTTTGATCCACAATGACATCTTGTCGTTGTGACACATAGGAAATAAAGTTGAAAGTTTGGAAGTGATGGGCAAACGTAAAAGAGGAAGGCCAAAACTTCAATGGGGCCATAAAGTTAGAGCCAATATAAAGAAGTATAAAATAGATAAAAGAGATTGTATGAATAACATAAAGTGGAGAGAGATGTTGAAGGAGCTTACCACCAGAAAAGGTGGAAGCTAAAGAGAAAAAAAAATATATTTAGAAACTTTAATATTTTTTCAAAATCTTGACTTGAATTTAAATGGTAAAATACAGATATCCTTAATATCATTCTTAACGAATGTCTTTTTCACTCATTCTCTTTAGTGTGAAAAATGATTTCGATTTTATATTTTCAATTCATCATTAAATCTATCATTAAACTGCATAATGATCAAATAAATGCAGCATAACTGATTTTATAGCTAAAATAAAACTTATTTTATAAGGAAAGTATATTTTTGAATTGTAATGTTTGAAGTCTAGATTTTTCAAAATCAAAAAGTAAATCTTCTTCAGTGTTATTATTTATTAGGATTAAAAATAATTCAAGACTATAATTTAAATTATACTTCTCAAATACCAGGCAATCTTTTGCCAATTGAATTTGATTACAAACCTTATATCCTTCGAAATGGTTTGCAAATTTGTCAACCCAAGCTTGTTATCGACAGTATTTTATCCAAAACACAAAGCGAAAAAATAAAATAAAGAGTTTCTATTCTAAATACAATAGAATAGCATTAGCCATGGTAAAAGCAACAGAATCCTTTAAATTTGTCAAAGCTAAAGCTTATAGTAGGAAAAACGTTACAATAGCTTTATTTGATGATAGCCAGCTTCTATAAATATAAAATAAACATTTTAAATCTAAACCAATAAGATAATATCGAGTTTCTTGATGTGTAAATATTGTTGCGATTTTGTCAGTACATCACTCTGACATGCTTAGAGCATTGCATATCTTTTAACACTATTGAAATACATGTGAATCTCTTCTAATATTCCTAAAACATTTCTTAGTTCTTTTATAGATTGGCATAATTTAACAATGATTAGATTTAATCGATGACAATAGCACCAAATAAAATGAAATCCTAAACTTAGGTATTAAATACCCCACATTATTCATTCACCTTTTATTTATGGATTTAAGCTTTCTATTTATTTTAATATAAATTTGAAAAAATTATTACATATTTTAAATATACATAATATATTTAAATACGATTTTAGCCATTCGACAATCAATTTTTAAGCTTAATAACTCTTAGGCGAGTATACTTGTCACAATCTACGATTTTTTAACAAAAATAAGATAGTATATTTTCTATCCATATAATTTTTTTGAAAAAAAATTAAAATTAAGAGTGTATTTTGAGATTTTTGAGTTTTTAAAGGTGACAATGTCTCAGGAAGTGAGCCAAATTGGAAATTGAAATTTTATATCTTTATTAGTTCATACGAATACTATAATCATGCAAATTTAAAAAAAAATTGAAGAGGGCTCAGTGGATTGGATCTTCAATTGATTAGACAAATACATTTTTACCAATTTTGCGAGAAATTTTAAATATTAAAAACGGGTAGTGGGGTAAATTTACACTAATGGCCGCCTAAGGTACTTCCTTTTAAATTTAGTATTCTCTCCTTTTTTTAAATGACTAGTCAAGATAATTATATTTAAACAAGGGAAAATTAAAAATAACATTTTACATTATACAAAAACATTATTATAAATTTTTTTTAAACAGACCCTTCTGGTCGGGGATATTTTTTAAATTTCTGCTGCAAAGCCAGATAGCCAATTTTATTTTATCAAAAGACTATTAAAAGCTTTATAGGCTGTCCAAATTTTATATATAAATGTTGACTTTTAAGTCAGGTGAAATTTTAAAAAAAGATGTATATAATATACACGCTTATTTATAGGCAACAACAAATTACAATGGACGGGCGGTTATTTCGGAACGAGAGGGATCTTTTTTTAAAAAATGAAGCACAAATGAGTAGCAGTGAAAGCGATAAATAATAGAAAAGCAAAATTATAAAAATAAATGTAGTGATTTGATAATAAAAAAGAAAAGAAATTAAAATTAATCTTTTATGAAAGATAACATTTTTCTAAATATATTATTTTGCATTACAATAAAGAATAACAAGGCCCAGAATCATAACAATTTTATGTAGGCCTGACTCCTTTTGAATTAAAAGTTTTAACGTGCTTAATTTTAATTTATGAATTAATCATCATCCTTTTTTTCAAAATTTGATTAAGGATCTTTATATTATAGCAGATAAAAAGATATAAATATATTTTATAAAATCGTAAATAATATACTAATATCGTTTATCAATAATAAATTTCTGTAAAAATAAATAAATAACATATTATATGATTGCATTCCAATATTGTGTTTTAAATTTTAAAATATTTTGTGAATTAGTTTTTTTTTCTTTTCTCTCATAAAAATATTGACTTAGATTTTTAAGGTGCACCAAGGGTACAGTTATCAACATTGACATATAAACCGGTGTACAATAAATCACATCTAATAGCATTGTTAGAAAAGGACATTTCAGCTACTTTGAACTCTGGATTAATAGTTACCTGCATAAAATAAACAAAATATTTAAATAAAAACGAAATTTAGACGAGGAATGTTTATGAATAGAATTAATTATTTATCAAAAAATATGTCATACCTTCTAAAAGAAAAAAATATGTTAAAATCCTTATCAAAATTAATATTTTTAAAATCAGCAATGATATGTTAAACTTTGGAAAAAAAAATGTTTAAATTCTTATCGAAATTCAATATTTCAAATCAGGCTTTCGCTCATTATAACATGATGTTTTGTTTTAACAGAATAAGATAAGAAATAAACAAAATAAAAATAAATATTTGCCAAACCTTAAAGTAATAAAATCCAGGATTCACATCAGTTATATCTATCCATTGGCAATCTATGTTGTGTTCATAAACATCAGAACATCCTGTGGATATACCTTGATCTCCAAAATTTTGACACCTATATTTATGCCTAGAATTGCCTGAGCATTCATTGTCTTCAAGGCAAAAACTGGCTTTATGACCCTGGGCTACTTTTCTGCCACGTCTATCAGTCAAATCGTAATGGCTAAAGACATCCATGCTATGATAGTGCCTATATGGTTGATGGATAGTTATTTATATATAGTATTAACATATCCTTGTAAAATTGTAAATTGTATTTTGTAATTGTTAATTGAAAGTGTTTTATTTAGTATCATGTATGGGTTAAGTATCAGATGGATCTCATCCATCGTTACATTTTTGAAGATACAGATACTGCCGGGTTTTGGACCGATATCTTATAGATTCCTAGTACCAGAGTTTGAAAAAATTCTTCAAAAATTTTTACCAAATATTTTTGATCAAATTTTGCCTAAAAATGGTAAATACTTTTTGTATATAATATATTTTCATGCAATGGAATCAAATTTTTTAAAAAATAATCTTGTTTTTTGTTCAAAAATTTTTTGAAAATTTTTTTCAAACTCTACCTGGCACCATTACTTATAAATCAATATAATAAATGATATTGTATTACAAGTATATAAAGTATTAAAATTTAAAAAAAATCTTAATAAAAAATAAATAATCAATTTAAGATTAATAAAAAATTTATTTCTTGAAAAAGCATTGAAAACATTTTATAACGGTTTGAAAAAACCCGGAAAGCACGAGAGTGACAACTTTTAAAGTTATTTTATATTTTTTAAAAATAGTCGATATTATGATATGAACATCGGCGAATCGCTGGTTTAAATAAAATTTATACCCATTAAATCATAAAAGTACAGTCATACCTGTCTGATTTGGGCTCTTAATAATTTGGGCAGTTCCCTAATTTGACCAAAATTTTAAATCCCAATCAAATTCTTATTAAATACTATTAAAAAAGGCCTTGATAAATTGGACATGTCTACTTTGAGAAATAAGTAGATTGTTTTTTGTCCATTTGCATAAGACCTCTATAAAGTGAGTATTTATTGTATTTTGTTGCATTCATTCGTTTATATTTTAAGAGTTTACCATCTTTTTAAATATTCATAAATAAAATAATTAATAAAGAACAAATATAAAAAATTATTAAAAATTTAAGTTAATTTCTATATCACAATACTCAAAAAGAATGTGCTAAAAGATTTAATATTTAATTTATAAAAGAAACTGTTCGCAATATTCATAAATCCAAAGAAGACATTATTAAATGCCATGCAAATAAAACATGTTGTATAGCAAATAAACAATCAAAGATAACATTTAGTGTTGTTAAACGGGTCGATTTGAGCCAAAGAAAGAAAGTAGAAATTGCTAACACAATATTTTGTCTAGAAAAATATTACGCAAGCTAAATTTCAAAGCTTAGGGAATATTTTTCTGGCTCTAATATTAAGTTAGCCGTTTTTAAAAACGGCTCAAATCAAGCCATTTAACAATAGATTATCTTTGAAAACAAGGAAAATTAATTTTATATTTTTATTGTTAATTTATTATTTAGCCATTTTATAATTATTTTTATTTTGTTTTAGTTTATATATATGTTAGTATCAATGTGTTTTTTCCGGCAATGTTATTTTTTCAACTTTAAATAATTTTTGAGCACGTTTATTAAATATAAAACTTTGATTTTATCGGAAATATATTCTATCATGTTTGGAATACCTACTCTAAAAATTTCAGATAATTTTGTCATGAATTTATATTAGTTTTTCCATAGATTTTTTATATAAATTATAAATGACTCAAAGGTTAACAGCAAAATTGTCTACAATTTATAATATAGGTATTATAAACATGGAATAATTTCGGTAACATTAGATCTTTGAATTTTAAAAAAAACGCACTCAAAAAAATGATTTAAAGTTAAAAAAATCACACATTGCCGCTAACACACATATATAATTTTACACATGATTTTGAAGAATTAATAAAATAAAATAATTAATAGAAAATGTTTGAACTAATCTCACTTTTTGCTAAACCTGATGATAAAAATTTTAAAAAAGTAAAAAGTTTTAATAAATGGGACAATTGTTTAAGTTGGATAAAATCTTAATCCCAACGCTGGTCAAATTAAGCAGGTATGACTGTATATAATACTATTGTTAGAGTGATATTTCTATAATATTTTTATAATATTTTTTAAAATGATATAAGGTTAAAGGTTACAATATTTTTTTACATATAAGATACAATAGAAATCGCAAAATACACTGATGGTTGGGACAATTAAATTATCTCTATTACCCATTATTTTATAAGCTTAATGATCTAAGTAATATTTATCATCAAATCCTAATGATATCTCATTTTTTTTAAATGCATAGCTTCACTATAACATTGAGAAATGCAAATATTTATAAAAGATAATTAGATTTAATAAAAAATATATACATGTGGCAAGAATGCCATTCCCATAGGTATTTTGGTAAATGAGGCCTAAAATCAGATGTTCCCAAGTTAACAATTCTGCTGGTAAAGCGCAAAAGACGTCTAGTCATATATGGCCACACTTTTTTTCGATAAATTAAATTTTGATTCTATTATATAATATGTATAGAATAACTCATATACAATATAAAAAAACTAACATAGTTATCATTTAAAATTTAAGTAAAAATAAAACATAAATAGTAGGGGATTCGATTTAATTACATAATCTGAAAAACATTTATATTTTAGATTTAAGCTTATCAAACTTCTTAAATTGTTTGTAAATTTCACTAACCATATAATAGAGCATATATTAAAGAGATTCTGTTTATATATGATAGATTGTAGTGTAGGGGTTTAGTAAATCTGTGTATTTAGCAAATCTTTAAATCTTAAATTATTTATCACCGCATATTGAATGACCTAATTCGTGTAATCGAACCAATGACATATAATAATACCTAAACTACGGGTTCATTCATTTAAATGTGTATCAATACAAATCAGTTGATGGCAAGCTATTTTAGTTTCTCATATATATAATTTTCATTAAAATTTTAAGAAAAAAATTTCTTTAAAATAAAAATTAGAGTTAATGCACATTGATGAATCACCAGCAGTCAATATAAGCATTATATGATATTGATTCCAACATACAATAGAGTGCTTGCCCCTGCTAATATCTGACAATTTTCTCATGAACCTTAAATCTACATTTAATTTTTTTTTCATGTAATAAACAAAATAAATTGGCGAAATTGTATGAAATTCACAGGATAGGTTTGCTATTGTTGTTAAAAACCTTGATAAAATTAAATTTTTTATAAACGGCTAAATCAGGATTTTAGACAAACAAATATTTCGTATCAAAATTGCCAAATGATGGGAGAGAGGTTTGGCCCTTTTTTGGATAAAATTTTGAGGATTAGGTAATAATTGTTTGGCAAAAATCGTAATTTGGCCATTTTTAATTGTTTTTTATAAATAAAGCTTTTAAACATCCTGGAATACGATTCCGGAAAAAATTAGGTCTTTTAAATTTAAGAAAAAAGGTGCGTTGGTGATTTAAATTTTAAAAATCTGCTTATAATCATTGCCAATAAAGCATAGCCCTGAATTTGCTAAACTTCTATCCCATATTCAATAAATAATATCATTTTTTCTTCTTAAAGCTGCTTTTATTTAATGCATTTAGTAAGACATATAGATATCATCATCTTTTAAAAAAAAATAAGGTAACTATAATATAACTATCATGTAACTACTAGATTTGAGTAACTATAACTAATTACATTTCAAGTAAATCAACCATGCTATGTACCTATTTACTTTTTGGATAAGGTAACTTCTTAATGTAACAAATTACTTTTGAAAAGTAATTTTAAAACACTCAATTAAACTTGGAAAGAGGGAATTTAATGTATCCATTACTATAATCAGTCGAATCCAACGCATATGCTGTTCTAGCTAAGCAATTTTCCTCCATGGCACATCGCAAAAAAAACATCTGTCTATCTTCAATATAAGCTGTGGACTTGAGAAGTTCAGGATCGGGCACTAAATCGGGCAAACCTTCAAAAAATTTATATAGGTTGATCAATTAGAAAAGTCTAAGTATAGTATATAATCTTTGTTTAAAAAAATATATTTAAAAGAAAAATGTCAAAAAGGGATGGTTCAAATACCTGGAAATGAATCCGCAAACGTTTACTCAGGTATAATTTTTGTTTAAATCTTTTAGTTCAATTTAAGTGTTAATCTTAAATCTAAAATCCAAGAGTAGTTCTTAGAAATAAGTAAAGTATTTCTTCCATTTATCAAGTAATCCTAAATATTTTTCCAATGTTACTATCCTTTCTCTCTCCATTATTATTATCCTCATTGGCCTTTATATTATGAGGACTAGCTGCTCAACCCATGACCCCATTAGTAATAAACATACAGATTTGACTCTAGTTCTTAAAAAATGGAATGAAATTCTATTTCTAATACAAAACGTCTGGGATACTCTCTTAGTTTCCCATTCCTACTTACATTTAATTGAGTGAGCAAGAGGAAGCAAACTATTTCATTTTTACCTCCAATTCAGGATATGAATGTCCGAAATTATCCAAAGCTCAAATCTTGTTTTGGAACTTTCCACAGAGCAACCCAGATTAGTAATAGTTTTCTGACTCAGTTGCGATTCTAGCCAGATTGTGTAGATTGTGGGCAACCCATTTGGCAGTCAAGGAATATTATTCTCTACTTTGTAGATTTTCTCTGGCATTCCAGACATATATTAGCTACTAGCATTTTCATCTTAAAAAAACCCAAATATTCCTAACTGTGGTAAGAGGACTGATTTAACCATCATACCTTAGGCAAGTGGCCCATCATCTCGGAATTTTATCTGCGCATATTTTTCAACCAAGTTCAGCCGATCATCGGTTATTGTGAAATCCTTAAAAATAAGTATACCAGCTTGTAGAATATCCTTTTCATCAATAATTTCATATTCACTCGTGGTCCCATTTCGTTGATAAAAACGCTAAATATACATCGACCAAAGAGTACTTGAGGTCAATCTCAAGTATTAAATTACTTAATAAATTGACAGAGGTGCCAGACACAGTATGCTCTTACAAACCTCACGACTATTCTAGGAAGTTCTAACGCTAGAATTGGTAAATTTTAAAATTGAAAATTTCGTTATTGTGATTACTTAGAGTCCTGCAATCTGAGATATTCTTAAATTTGATTTCCTCAAGGATGTAGACACTGCTACTATTTATATCTAAACAACTATCACTGGAAAATGGCCAAACTCGATGAATTATAGAGCTCATCACTCTAAAGAACTTATGAATAAAATCATAATCAACAAAATAAATTTATGTCTAAGATGTCCTAATTTATTAAAATATAAACATTTTGATTGGGACAAACTCTTCGGCCCAAAAATATATTTCGCTTAAATAATAAACCACAAGAAGTTACTGCAAAAACAAGATTCTCTAGCCTTATGCAAACTTAACTAAAATCATCGATAAAAAACATCTCAAATTTCAGAGCAAAAGAAAGAGTCATCTCACAAAACTTTTCACATCAAGAATGGGAGGGCAAAACTAAATCATTATATCGTACTACCAACGCCGGTAAAAGCTACTTGATGAAGGTAACTGATAAATTAGAAGAGAGATACAAAACGGACAAAATATATTATTTTTTAAAAAAAATCCAAAAACCTAAAGAAGCAGATTGTCAGTCAAATTAAAGACCCCTGGTCGTTAATCCACAAACATGGTGGGGGAAAATAGTACCACTAAGTTAAAAAATAAACAATGGCTCAAGAGTTATTTTCTATCAAGAGTTACTGAAAGTTGAACTCTCATTTTTAAAATCTTTATGTTTTACGATATTATAGGATCCCAAAAAATGGTTATAATAATAATAAAAAAAATTTAAATCTGAGGGAGTCAGGCCAAACTCTTGTTGATTTGTCATGCAATATATTATATAAAAACTAGTTATTCAACTCTTATATGGATCAGAAACATGGGTCATAAGAGAATAAACTTCTCGATTCTTGACGTTCTCAAACAAGTTGACTTAGATACATATATAGGCGTTCAAAAGATAAGAATTAAATCTACTTTTTCTTTATACAATCTTACTTACGTCCCTCCATAATATGGCATCAAATGACTGTACTTAAGTTAGTTAAGTCGGTGAACTAGTAAACTACTTATAATCATCCAACCATCTACGAAATACGTGTCAATCCACTGAAAGGCTAGCATGGATAAATAGTAAGCCGAAAATAATGATGACGACATTAGCGATATTCAGAATGATACTCTCGCTCAGAAATTTTCTTTCATCGAAGAGATAGCTACCCAAATGGTATATATTATATTCCACAACATTATCTCTAAAAAAATTATAAATAATTATTTCGAAATAACAATTTTTATTTATCATATAGAAAAAGCCATCATCTTCCCCTACTCCGGTTTTAATAATAAAAATTAGAGATCTGTAGAGGTATCCAAATACAAAACAGAGACTTTACATCTTCCTAAACAAATACGATATTACCTCGTCAAAACTTTACTCCCTATCTATCTCCAAACCCCCCCCCTAACACCATCTACCAAATCGAAATTAGCAAAAAAAAATCCAAATATAAATTATCATTAAGAAAATAAATATTTTATTTAAATAAGGATAGCGACGTCGTGACTACTTACCCTCTTCCAATTTCAATCACAATCTGCGCCATAGGCCTCCCCCCGTCGATATAAGTTTTGCACAAGCCTGGTATGGATAATTAAAACAACATTAGCCCTGCCAAGCCATAGTTAATAAAATTTAATTTTTTGATAATTTTATTGACTCGATTTTTATATTCTGCAGCCTAGTTGACCTAAGATTTTAAAGTAGATTTTAATCCAGATATGTCCCGGTTTCAAAAAATAACGTTAAAGTCTTAGGGAAACTAGTATACCGGCCTGTAATAGGTCTTTACTAAATATTTACTGCGAACGAACTAAAATAGTATATATATATATATAGATAAATTATATAATATCAATTAATAATGTTTATAATATAAAACTATTCGCTTATTTATTTTAAAAAAAATTTGGCCGAGGGGTTTTTCTTTTCATTATTTTATTATGGAAGATTTGTGTCCTGAAAATATTTGTAAAGCGATTGATCGATTGCCGTTCAAATGGGTGGATTATATGATTTTTAGTTATTAGCGTCATTTAAGCTTAATTATAAATTTGAATAGACCCTCAATTCTTTAAAAAAAAATTATTTATAATATAATATAATTTTTTTTAGACAGTATTTTTTTTTAAATTAATTAAAAAGGATGACTTTTAAATTTCCAAAGCAAAATCTCCTTTATATCCCATAAAGAGGCTTTGTTATTAGGCTCTTGCCAATTTATATAAGTGACTATTTTGGCTTAGCAAAAATAACTTATAATAATATACCTCAAATTAAAAAATTCTTAAACCTTCTCCACATACAACTCCTGCGAAGTCATTGCCTCCCGGACACTGCAAATTTGATTCAGCTACCTCCTTGAATTCGCATTCGCTTAAATCTCTTTCGGTCCCTCTGCAAGTTACACCGTTTAAAATAATGTCTTCTCTTCGACCACCAAATACATGTGTCTATAGATAATTGAATAATTATAGGTAAAAAAAATTGAGTATAATATTTTCACTAATAAAACTGTTAAATAAATAAAATAAAAATAATTTGATAAAAATCGGTACAAAATATAATTCTACTATTAAAAAATTTCGAGTTAAAAGTTTTGAAGATAAGACAATTTTGATTAAGGATTTAGCGCTCCCATTAATGGATTCTCATTTATCTAAATGAGTATTAGGACTTTAAGTGCAAGTACAAAATTTCTATCGATTCAATGATAATGTGATTATATATATCATATATTAGACCTGAGGAGCCGCTTTAGCGAACCCAAATCCCAATTGAGTGCAAGTTACATTGGCTTCCATAAGCATCCATCCATCTCCGCATATAAGCCCCCAACGATTATTACCAAACATATCCACTTCAACCCTTCCTTCATGTGAAGAGGAACGCCCACCCACTAGTCTTATTTTCATTTGGGTCCTATCGCGAACAATATCCTATTCAATTAAAAAGTATAATGATTTGTGTAAATGTTGCTATTTTCGTAATAGAATATACTTTTATTGCATTGTATAAAAAGAAAGATTAAAAATATGCAAAAAATCCATAACAAATTGAAGGTTTTGCCCCTTATTTTTGATTTTTTTTTGGAAATGCTAAAAATTTGTCATATTGCCAAGAGCCTTACGCGTCCTCTTGACTACAGCTCTGGTATTGTTTGATTACGCATATTGTCGATAACATATCTTATTATATAATTATGAGGCATCAAAAAGATGCTGAGTTAAACGATTTCTTCTAATCTGCAAGATTTTAAAATGGATAAAACAAAAATCATATAAAATAATTTTTAAAAAAAATATAATTTAAAATAAATAAAGACTGTTTAAAAAATGAATATGGTGCCTCATGCTGTAACTTAAGGTGGGGTGACTGTAGCTGACAGCACTGGCATAAATGAATCATTATGTAATTAAAGAATAACAACTAAAAAAGATTACTAAAATCTTACAAATATTTAAATTTTAGTTTTAAAAATTATTGTTTATAGGATTTGACAAATGTTATTAGTATTATTATCATAAATAATTTCAAGCTTTCATTATTATTTTAAAACATTTACTTATTATAGAAATCAAATATCTATTAGGAACTCTAAAGAACCCAACTGCACACTAAATTCCTTAATATCCTACGATATATATATATATATACTAGAGGTCTGCAAATGACAAAACTTTCAGGCCAGGCCCGATTGGAATTTTTGTTTTTGTACGGCCAACCCAATTTTGTACCCTGGCCGGCTCTGCTTGCTTTTTTTAAATCCAGAAATATACCCTAAAATAATCAATAATGATGAGGATTTCGATTTTATGATTTTCATATTAAGCACTAAACACAAAATGTAGGAAAGGAAATTATTTTTATGAATGAATGATCATAGTAACAGGTCATTTAATCATTAAAATTACAAGCAAATAAAATATATATTATTATAACAGAATAACATTATTTCTGATCTCTAATAAGCGTGTCGGGCATTTTTAATTTTTGCCTGCTCCCGTTAATTTTTTTGCCCGGACCTGCCCAAATAAAATTTTTTTATAAGTTACCAGGCCCGGCCCAGAGAAGGAAAGATGATATTTAATTTTTTCCCCCTTTTAGCAAAATCTTTTCTTTTTTTAAAATTATATAGTTAATACGATAATTATGAATAAAAAAGATCCCCTAATTTAGCTAGTTATGGAAAACAAAAAATTTAAATTAATTTAATATGACCTTTGAAAAAGAGAGGGAATAATTTTGGAATGAATGCAAAGAGAAATTTTACGAGATTTAATATGATTTTGATTTGATACATAATTAAAATCTAATGCATTTTCAAAAAAAAATAAAAAAAAAAACTGAAACTGAAGTTAAATTAAATATTTTAAAAGATTTTCATTAAGTAGCTGTTTCGCCTGCCCTTGTTTTAGGCCACCTCTTGTTAAGATTAAGTAAGACAGTAATCAAATTTTTTTAATTTATATATTACCACATAAAATCATGAAAGTCGTGGTTCTTTATTTCCTTTTCTTCTTTTCCACCAAATGATAAAATTTGTAAAATGTTTTCCTATTATACCTTTTCAATTGTATAAACCTCTTTATATGCATTAATTTATATAGGGTTTTAGGTATTCAATGCCTCTTCAAAAAAATTGATAATATATATAAAATAATCTTTTTAAAAAATTATGACTAAAATATGTTTTTAAGATTTTACAAGTTGTATTTATTATCAAATGTTTTTGTGGGGTAATCCCGATCTTTTATGGTTTCTTCTGATGTTATAAATAATTATACTCCCAAGAACTAACTATATAAAAATTAAATAAATTTTAAATTTTCATGGTCAAGAGAGTGATAGGCTAAAATCGCCTTCGAAGGCTGAGAGACAAAAAGGGTTCTCACATATTGGAATTTGTCTAAATATAAGGTTAACCAATGTAATTTTTGTTCATTATTAATTAAAATACGACACAAAGATGATATTGAACATGGAAAACAATTTACCGAGATTCTTCGCCTAGGAGCATGAGCGAAGTCGTTATCGCCACTCCCTTCATCGTTTAACCCTAAATGTCCTCTCGAAGCGGAAGAAATCTGAATTTTTTAAAAAATTATATGCATAATCATTAGTATGGTTGGTTGACTTTTAAATTAAAATACTAAATATCGATATATGTATATTTTGCATTTTGAGAAGAAAAAATTTAACTAAAAATCAAAACAAATAAAATAAAATTATAGACAAAATTTTTAATATTATGTCTATATAAGTAAACTCTATTTACCCTCTATTTTAAATATCTAACTAACCTCTTTTGAGCTAAATATCTAATTTATATTATAATAAAACCCTTGGAGTCACGACTCTTCCATCATTGTTGGTATTATGCGATTCGGTTGGGTAATTAACGCATTCTACCCCAGCGGCCTCGGCTATAGAACAATCGTGGAGACCCCAGCCGTTGGAGGAACATTCGTGAATAAAATTTTCATTTCCTTGGCAGTTAACATTGTCTAGCCAATACCTTTCTTCAAAATTAATAAATTTAAAAAAAAAAGATTCATATGTAAAACATTTATTTAATAGAGCTGTTGAATTATGAAACTTTTTTTATAAATTATGGAAGGAGGGAAGGAGATATGTCGATATTCTTATTTTATAACTTTCATTTTCATCAAATTAAACAAACTCGTCTAAAGTGAAGAAGTAGTTCTTGAATAAAAAAAAAATTCTAAAGGTGAATGGCATTACTTTTATTTTAGATGAATTTTGAATATAAAAATATTCATTTTTTTTGATGAACATGTTCGTTTTTTAAGTTAATTCATTTAAAAAGTTAAAAATTTTATTTATTTTTTAATAAAAGATTTCGTTTTCTAACTGAGCTGTTTTCCTTCAAATATTTTTCAAAACACTTTCCTTTCTGATTAATGTCTTTACACTAATATGGTTTATATTTTATAATGTTTAAGTTTATAAAATTATTTTAGAGATATATATATATATATATATAATAGTTGAGCTTGGATAATATACTTTGCCATGGCTAATTTCAATAGGTGTTTCAAAGCCATCGCATTTATCACTATAAAAAGTGAAGGTTGCACTTGAGCTATTTGAACTATCTTAATTTTTTTAGAATCTAGCATATATATATATATATGAAGATAAGTGTATTATTTTCTCCATAATACATTTGGTTTTTAAACTCGAATGACCTTGGATAAGGCTTTCACAGACTGAAATAATAAAAAATAAACTAGTATCATATTTAAAGAAATTCGTAGAAAATCAAAATGTATAAGTTTTAGAACAAAGTATCTATTCTGATATCTCTTTTTTAAAAATTTGGAAAATTTAAGATGATTGCCTATCAAAATTTTTGAAATAAAAAAATATAGCATCAAATATTTTCAGAAATAAGACCCTTATTCAGCAAATATAACACTGCAATACCATTCTCTTATATTTATACACGTTATATTCTATTACAAAATAAAAGTATTAAATTCAACGTTTAACATGATGTTTTATGCCTTTTTCAGAGGCTATAGAAGGGTGGGATGGGTTGATTAGGACAAATAATATGAATACTTCAGTTTAGATTTTTATAGTTCACAACTAGAAAAATATCAGATAGAATAGCGGGTGTTTAGCTAATAAACAAGTTAAAGAAGAAAATGGATGGAAAAAAAACAAAAGGTACTCGAAAATGAGGAACAATCAAATTCAAATTTTAAAAAATAATTAAATATCATATACTCAAAAATTTGCGGAAAAATTACAAAGGTAGATGGAAATGAGAAATTTAAGAAATAATAAAATGAAAAAAAATACAAAATTAAGCGAAAAAGGGGTAAAATTAGGAATTATAAAATATACTTAAAAATTGGAGGGAATAAAAAATACAAAAATAACAGAAATCGAACAAGTTAAAAATCAGAGACCGTATTTTAAATTTTTAAAATATACACGGGCCGGGCCGGGCCTGAAAATTTTTTTAAAAAATTTACACAACATGAATTATTATATTCGTCAATTAGATATGGTTATAGTGATTATATATAGTTATGATTAATATAATGTTGGGTGAAAGTTAACACTTGACACTCATAGTATCTATTACATAATATAATTATAGTTTTCCTGCCATGGAATAAATACGCAAAGTATAATAGGTAATATACATTATTATATAATAATAGCTGATAGCCCGTCAAGAATGAAGGATAATCAGAATTTTTTCCGTATGGATAAATAATAAATTTTACCTTCATTTGACGATGGATGAATCAGAATAATAGTCAAATGAGAGGAATAGATTATCCGTATTCATCCTTCCAATATTTCTATAAATTTTTAGAGAAAAGGCCAAATATATTATAAAAAATATGGAAAAAAAATTATGTTGTGAATTATAATATTTATCAATTCTTTTAAGAAATTTTCCACATCCAGACGCAATGGTTTTTGCTCTCTCACTTCGTATAAAATCTACATTCTTCTCAAAGAATCATTTAAATGCTTTTAAAACGTTCCTAAATACTCTTTTAAAAAAAGACTTGCCATAATAGATTCGAATCAATCACGGGGGCAAACCTGATTATCTCACAAACACCGTGGTGGTATCCACCCCATAGCAATGGGCTATTTAGAAGATTATTAGCAAAAATAATTGCCATGGGTCAAAACCCAGGGTCTTAACTTATTAAGTATACTTATAAATTAGGATTTGGTGTTAAGGGAGAAGGCATAGCTTCACATGCTATTTGTATTCCAAAATCCTCCTCCTAGCATGGGTATTTATCAAAGTAGACTTTAAAAATGCTTTCAATAGCAAATTTTGTGAACATTTCATAAATTGTTTTTATCCCAAATTTCCTGTTTATTCAAAATTCCTAGAGACATACTGCAAAATTAAAACTTCTTTATTCAGCCCACATGTCATAGATTCTGACAAAAGGATCCAGCAGAGGGAAAACGTCCTCGTTTTTTTTCCTAGGTATTCATTATCACATCCATTATCTTAAATCTAAATTTGATTTGGATATAATTATTTGGCATCATGATGATGGAACAATCTAGATGCTCTTCCTAAAATAATTGATTTTCAATTTCTTGAAGCAAATTTTAAAAGACTCATTCTAATAAGTCCAAATCCGAAATATGTTTCCATGATAACAATATACAAAACCCTCATCTGGCAAAATTAAATTTTTTATTGAGTACATAAATAATAAAAATTAAAAAAAATAAGGAATCTATATAATTAAAAAAAAAGTATACTAAGTTAGATTAACAAAAAAAATGGATTGCTAGGATTCGAACCCAAAGCCATCAGCTTCGTGAGCGATGCTCTTGCCGATTAGGCCACAGACGCTTTTCAAAGTTGACGATTTTTTATATATTATAAATTGTGACTGTGACTATGACACGGCTTTTATATATATTACTAGTTAATAGCCCGTCAAGAATGACGGGGTAATTACTTAGTTTGTGTATATGGTACTAAATATGCTTTATATTAAAATTTAGGAGAAAAAGATAAAATTGTTGCAATGTAACCCGTGAGCATTAATGGTATTAGAAATATCAAAATTTAAATTTGTGATAGAAATCATGGGTAAAATTAAAAATAGAGATTCTACAAAATTTTTGAATTTTAAATATGCTTTTGGCCTCAAAATTTTGTTATGCAGACACAGCTAGGCCTGATCAAAAAACCACGTCCCATGCAACTTCCCCACAATTTTGCCATTTATTTCTATTGTAATTTAATAATAATGTCTTAAATTTAATTTTATATTTAGAGGAAAATTTAAATTTGTGATAGAAATCATATTGAATAAAATTTAAAATAGAGATGCTTGGAAATTTTTTAATTTTAAATATGGGGTAGACATTGGCCTGAAATTTTTTTGGCAGACATAGCCAGGCCTGATCAAAAAACCAAATCCCATGCAACTTTCATAAAATTTTGCCATTTATTTCTATTGTAATTTATAACAATGTCTTAAATTTAATTTTATATTTCATTTATTTCTATTATTTAATAACAATATCTTAAATTAAATTTTATATTTAGAATAAAATTTTAATTTGTGATAGAAATCATATTGGGTAAAATTTAAAATAGATATGCTTGAAAATTTTTTAATTTTAAATATGGAGCAGACATTGGCCTGAAATTTTTTTTCTAAAACCTGGCCAACCCATAATAATTTTGTAATTTTTTCCCAATCCTGGAGATAGGTAAATCTCTGAAAACCATATTGTTGGGAAAATTTTATCAAGCTAACTAAAGACAATTATAATTTTGTTAGTTGAGATAAAATATATAAAAGTCATATAAAAATAAAATCAGAATATGAAAGTTGCATGGGCTTGGTTTTTCAATCAGGCCTGGCAATTTCTGCAAAAAAAATTTTCAGGTCAATGTCTAGCCCATATTTAAAATTACAAAATTTTCAAGCATTTCTATTTTATATTTTACACAATATGATTTCTATCACAAATCTAAATTTTATTCTAAATATAAAATTAAATTTAAGACATTTTTATTAAATAACAATAAAAATAAATGGCAAAATTTTATGAAAGTTGCATGGAATTTGGTTTTTTGATCAGGCCTAACTATATCTGCAAAAAAAAAAATTCAGGCCAATGTATAACCCATATTTAAAATTCAACAATCTTAAAGCATCTCTAGTTTAAATTTTATCCAATATGATTTCCATCACAAATTAAATTTTGATATTTCTATTACATGATTACGGTATACATTGCAACAATTTTACCTCTTTTTCTCCTAAATTTTAATATTTATATAAAATTTATTAATAAAGTATATTTAGTACCATACACACAAACTAAATAATCACCCTTCAACCGCGTCAGCTAGTATGGTAATAAACGGCAGAATTTTAAAATCAGCTATTAATTAATATATATATAACTAATATTTTAAATTTGATTATATTCAAGTTGGTGCATGCTTAAAACGTACAACTTTGTAACGGGAGGTTTGTGTTACACTCTCGTAGAGAGCAAAAAAATAACATTACACTATATAGTCTCCTTAAATTTTAAATACTTTAGGAAGATACGAAAACGATCATGTTTTGATTATGGAGATTATATATATTAGATATGTTATATTTTTTATTATTTAAAATATCAGTTTTATTTTTTGTATAAATAGAATTAATATAGTATATTCTCAAAATATTTACACAAATTTTTTATAGATCAATTTATAATATACTAAATATCTGTTTAGAATAAAAAAATAAATAAAATATGTAATATGTAGTGTTGTTAAAAGGCTCGTTTTGATCCTTTTAAAAACGGCTAACTCAGTATTTTATCCAGAAAAATATTACGCAATCCTGAAAATTTTGTTCATAGAAGGAGCAAAGGTCTAGATATATAGTATCGAAATTTCGAGGCTTAGTCAATATTTTTCTGGCGAAAATATTGAGTTAGCCATTTTTAAAAATCGGCTCAAAGGGAGCCGTTTAACAACATTAGCTAATATGCTTGTTTATTAAATGATAATACTAGCCAAAAATATGATAAAATACCGAATAGATGAATTTTTTGTATATACCAGGTCGAATATAATTTTAAAAAATTCCGAGCCGGGCTTAAAAAATCCGGGCCGGACAGTGCAAATGGTACCTCTGCAGGTCTCTGATAAAAATCATAAAAATACTCAACAAATGGGGAAATATAAAGTAAAAATAAAATCATAAAATACTCAAAAATCTTATTTAAAAGAAATTCACAAAGCAAAAATTATTTTTAGCTAGTTTTGTAAACTAACAGACTTGTTTACCGCGTTACTTTTTAAACTTTTATTAAAATTTGGCCTAAATTATAAAAATAATTTATTAAAAGATCACACCATACTACGTTATATATCAGCAACTGGCCGTAAAATTGTATGATTTTAAAAATTCAGGTGAAACTTAAATCAAAACGAGCCAGGCAAAATTTTTTGAAAATAATTTAAATAATATAAATTAACCAGTTTGAAATTCATATATTTTCAAATTTGCAATTCCTTTATAAAACAATAAAAAAATTTTTTAATACAATACACTAAAATTATTTAACTGCGAAATGGTCAAAATTTTTAAAATACTAGGATGGCGGCTGGGTCTAAAAAATAAAAAAAATACGAGCTGGGTTAAAAAAATTTAAGTCCAGGCTGGACATAAAATAAAAAATAAAATCCAGGCTAGACAGGGCTTAAATGATTGACATTTGCAGATTTGTGGTGCAAAAATAATTATAATTTTTTAAAAAATATAAAAACTTATCTAACATTGAAAACTTTTAACCATTTGATCATTATAAAATGTCGAAAAAGATATGATCAAATCAATAGATAAAATATATATTTTATAAACAAAAAATGATTATCTATTGGCAAAGCGATATTATTAGTTCTTAAAAAAAGATGACCTTATAATTAATTAACCGAATGAAACATTGTTGCTTCGTAATAAGGCAAAAGAAGAAGGTTGAACTGAACATAACAAAAAAAATTTATTTAAAATTTTTTAATGATATTTTATAATTATTTGATCTTAAACTAGTATAAATTTGTTTTATCAATTTCTTCGAGGTTTTACAAAAAATAAAATATTTATCGACACTCAACCGCAATAGTTCTTTTTTTCGTTGATTTTGAAAGGGAAATTGTTTTTTGTGTGTGTTTTTTTTTCAATTTATTTTTACATTTTGTAAAGGTCATTTTATTATTATATATTTTTATGATTGTATGATGTAATTAATTAATACATTTTTTAGAAAAATAGGTTATAAAATAAAGAATTTCATAAAAAGTGTAAGGTTGTTGTCACATATATATATTGGCTTTTAAAATCAATTAATTTTTTATTATAAATCAACATTAGGGGGGAAGTCAAGAACATATACGTCTTAAAAAATAAATTATTTTACACATTTCATTATCCCTACTCTTTCAACAAAATTTTTGAATGATATTGGGCATGGGTAATATACAACTTCCTTTTTTTGAATCAGGGAAATCATATTATAATGAACATTAGGTTTTTTTCTCATTTTATTAAAACAATATTTGAATATCCAATTAGTGTTGCTAAAATGCTCGTTTTTAACCGATTTTTAAAAAAGGCTAACTCAATATTTTAGCCAGAAAAATATTGCCTAAGCCTAGAGATTTCGCTAATAGATGTCCAAACCTTTGTGACATATATGAACAAAATCTTTAGGCTTACGTAATATTTTTCTGAATAAAATATTGAGTTTGCCGTTTTTAAAAATTGGCTCCAATCGAGCCGCTTAACAACACTATATCCAATGCTTATTAGTTCAGCTATAGGGCCAAACATTTTTGTAGATTCCCAAAAAACCCGATGCGCTTGGGTAAAATAATTTTCGGACCGGACAGGTAAATTTGTGGAGAAATTTATTTTCTTATAGTTTTTAACCGTTATTATATAATGCAAATTCATAATTTTTCCTTCATAAGAATTATTACGAACTGGTCAAATTTTATATCATTCGGCCAGCCCGGGTAAATGATTATAAGGGCCGGACCAAAAATTTCGGGTAGGGCCTGGGTGAAATCTATCCGTACCGATCCTTAGTATAGAAAGCTAAGAAGGGTTAATAAAGCATCTAATTTATTTTCCTTATGGGCGAATCAATTTTAGGACAGTTATTTATATATTAAACTTGCAAGGGCTACGTACAATAATAGTTCTTATATTTTAAATGGCAACGTGACAATTGGTAAACGATTGCGCTAAAAAATGCAAAATTTGTAAACACTATAATACTGAGTATGAATATAATTTAAAAACACTCGTTTATTATATTAATATAAAGAAAAGATTTACGAATCGAAAATAACGTGGAATGGTTGTTTTAATTCTAGCTTGTAACTGGGGCTCATATCTGGCTTTTAAAAATAGCTCTTCTAATTTAATTTAATTTAACTATAAATCTTTGATATATCCAATTTATTAATTAGCCATGCTAAAAATCTTTTTAAATTTAATGGATTAAGAATTGCATCAGGGTCAAGTTCGAGGTTAAATATGTATAAATTATACTTATTATTATACTAAAAAATTATCCAATGTTCAAAATTAATTATTAATTATAAATTATTAAGTTGTCTTAATTTAATAATATACTTAATTTTTATAAAACTCGTTTTAAAATATTATAAATCTTTAAAAATAAATATATAAATAAAAAAACATATGTTCTTTGATTAATTGCAATAGTTATAATTTATTGCATTTAATAAATAAATAATAAATTTCTAAATCCAAAAAATCCATTCCAATATATTTGTCGAATTTGAATCTTCACAATATTAGTTTCAGTTTCAATTTATAATTATAAAAATTAATATTATTATAAAAATTTATAGGGATTAAATAATATTTTATTTATTCTCCTGATTCATGACCTAAGGTCATTATTTTATTCAAAGTAATAATCAAAAGAAAGTTTCTATAAGAAATACAATTTCGGGTAATTATAGTTTGTAAGCGGTATATTTTTAAAAGATTATTAAATTTATAACACTTGTCCAAAATGAATAACTGCTTACAGATTGGAGCGTTTTGCGTTTTAATTCAAATAAAGAATTTTAGATGTAAACGTATAAATTGGTATAAAAGTATTTTTGTTTTAAAAAATTTAATTTTAAAAAAATTCTCAGGGATCCAAACCGGACTTCTAAAAGGCATGCAAACTGGTTTGAATATTTTGATATAACTGTTTTATAGATAATTATCAATCAATTTTTATTGGCCCATCACTGATATTTATATATAATAATAATAAAATAGATAATAGTTTCTTTATATATGGTGTGATAAATTTTTTTTAAAAAATATGCTTCTTTCTATATATTCTAACAAGTATGTACGTGAAAAGACCAAATTAATATTACTTTTTACCCCTAAATCATAAACCGTTATTTTTATACAAACCCAAACCTATATTCTTCAAAGTTCAAATTGAAATTCACTACAATTTAAACAACAAAGTATTTTATAGAAAAACATAACCCTAAACACTACTGCTCTTTATGTAAGATCAAAGCAAAAAATAATTTAAGTCTAGTAATCCCATCCATATAAAGCCTTGAGTTTAAATATTTTTTACTTGAAAAATTTTAAATATGGACATAAACTACTCATATAAACATTAAAATAAAAATTTAAAAAAATTATATATTTTATATGGATAAAATGATTTAGGATATAATATATTGTATATCTTTCATTTTTTTTTCTGGGGGAAGGATAAAATAATACTCAAATTTTTCAGTAAGAAATTGCTCAATATAGTAAAAAAAATATTGATTGTTATCAAAAAATGCTAGCTGAAATGAATATACAGCTATAATTTCGGGCTTTTGAATAATGGAGAAATGCAAAATTATAGACTTTAATTTTATGATTTTTTTTAATGTTATTATATTCATTTTGAATGGAGATGATTAAAATTTTTAGTATAATTGACTTTATACTTATAAATGTTTTATTAGTAATTAAAATGTAATATTTTTTATCTAAGAAAAACCCTTTTAAAACACTAAATCACAAAAGACGTAGGCAATATTTTCATAGAGGTGGATTAATATACATTTTATTAGTGAGCCTTATGTCAGCTTTTTACCCCAAACTACAGTTATCTTTTACTTTTATATAATATGTCGGTTTTATGCTTTTTTTTTTAAATTTTAAAAAAAAATAAAAGTTATTAACTTCTAAAAAAAATTGTTTACAATAAACTTATTTTATTCATTTTTGGTTTGAAGAAAAAGCCTGTGCTTAAAATAATATTTAAGAAATTTATAAATTTGCCACGGGGCTCCCACTCTCTCCCTTTGGCTATGCCTGTGTACATCAAAATTTCACCTAACTTCACATACTTATGTCAGAAATATGTTAAAATCACATTCATAATGGTCTAAATTATATTCTTAAAAATTAAGTAATTAACAATTATAAATTAAGATATATAATGTTGTAATCATAGATATTTATATTATATAAAATCATGGAAAATAGAGACACGAAATTTTTTTAAAGGTATATAAAATCATTGATTATATTTATCACGGCCCGGATTTTAAAATATATTTTATTTATTTTTAAATTTTATAGCTAATAATAGCGATTAAAAATATTTGGTTTTAAAATATATGGCCCGGCCGGGGTATTTTTAAAAAAAATTAATGCCCGGCCCGGATATATTTAAAAAATTAAATTCGCCCGGTGCCAAGCCGGGCCCGCTTGTCTCTGATAATTATGTCAAGGTTAAATAATCTATTTACATTTGAAAAAAGTAAAAATTTTCACAATTTATTGATCATATTGATTATACCTGACGCTTTTCCAAATTCTGAATCATGTGTAGCCCTCCTTGCAGATGGATATCCTAGTTGTCGACAAACTACGGTGGCTTCTTTTATATCCCAATCGTCATCACAAATAGAGCCCCACCTGCCCATGTGATAAACCTCTAAGTTACCTGAATATTGACTTCTAGAACCAGTTAATCTAATACCACCTTCAGATCCCTGAACATCATTTGATTCAATATTAGAAAATCCTTCAGAAATTTGTGGCCTAAAATAGGATCCGGGACCCCTATTATTCCTGGAATATTCAGACCTATCGCCTTGAGCAAAGATATAAGTTATGGATAGTGCATTGACAATTAAAAGTAAAAATAAATTTTTATTTAAAAGCACTGTACAACTGGGAGTAGCATTGTATTTCATATGTGTCCTAGTTATATGTGCGAGTGTACATAAGAATGATATAAATTGAGTCATTGTGTTCGTGATATATGGAAGGAATAAGGAATGAGGAGAATATTTGTGCGGAAGGCTGGATGTGGATTGTGAATGATTCATTTTATTAGAGAATGTTGTTGACCGTTTATGACTTTTTGAGATCTTGATTCTATCGTACAATATTAGCACATCCCCATCACTCCTAAATGCCATGGAATTAATTGGTGTAGGCTCGTGAGGGTAATTGTTATTGGTACTCAAATTACCTATCTTTGGAATTATATTTGATTACTAAATAGGAAGTGTAAGCCGTTTAATAAAAACAATTTTTGTTACCTAACTTTATAGATATTTATAATTAATTTTGAAATCTTTTTTAATCATGCTAAAATATTTTTTTAAATAGAATTTTTATTATTAAAAGACACCTTATGATTGAAATTAACAATTTCAGAAAATATTTAAATTACCTATAAATTTTATTATAGATATAGATATTTTTTCGTAATTTTTATATTTTTATATTATTAATTTTAAATAATAACAGTATTCATTCAATTGATATTTATTTCGAAGTTTAAAATTTTGGGAATTTTTTAAAAAAATTAAAACATTTCAAAAAGTATTTTTTTTTGTAGCTTTTTATATTATTTTTTTTATTTAAGTGTTATCATTTTATATCTTTTTTAAATATTAAATTTAAAAAAAACAAAAGTTAAAATTTGTATTTTATTTATTCGTCATAAAAACTCTAATTTAACATCTGAAATATAATTTTTTTTCTTTTAATTCCCTGAAATTTAAAAAAAAAAATATAAAAATGAAATTATATTTTTGTGATAAAAGTTTTCTAGGTTGTTTGCTAAATATCTGGAAATTTTTATTTAAAAAAATCTTTCATTGAGTTGAGAGAGAAATCATCACTTTTATATAAACCAGCGATCTTAAGTACCGGCTTGGAGCAAGTTATAAAATAGTAAATTACTTAAAATTACAAATTTAAAAATCCTGATGGCCAGGCGGCATCAAAAAAGGGGCTAAACTGGACATGAAACAAAAATCCGGGCTAGGCTTAAAATTTCAGTGGTACCGTTAAGATATATGGATTTATTTTTTTGTTTGTTTGTTTAATTTTAGATAGAATTTCCTTTTTTGCGAATATTTTAGAAATGTTAGTTGGAATTTCCCTTTTCAGGCCAATTTAAAAAAATAAATTTCTATTTTTTTACAGTGTAGGTGTCCCCTCTCTTTTTACAAGTTAAAAAGCTAGCGACACCACACTTTTAAGCGTATAGAATTTGTACACTGATTTAATATTATATGAATTCATTTTGTCGATTTCATAAATGATTTTATTTACACTTGAAACAATAAACAATTTTTAAAATATACATGTTATTAATTAATTATTTTTAATCTATTCTTCAAAAAAAATTTAAATTAAATTGTGCAAACATTTTATTTGAAAAAGGTCGTTCGAAATATTAATATATATACTTAAAACTTTATTTATTATAAATAAAATAAAATTTTAAAAATAGTTACAAATACAACAATATTTATGTGACATGACATTATTATCATCACTTTATTTTTTGTTTTTAAATTTTTGTAAAAACAACAACTCACCTTGAACACATCTTTTTTTTTTAAAAAAATACGTAAAATTAAAACTTAAAAAACAAAATTAATAGGTATATTTATAATTACCAACTTACTTATTCTGATGGTATTTATAGGTTTTTATCTTTCTTACAGTTCCGATTCTAGGCCCATTTGGGGGGGGGGGGAGCGGGTTCCCTAAAAATTTCGCACCTGCCCTCCCCCCACCTCCAAAAATTTTTTTTTAAAATTCTTTTGGTTCATGGAAAATATTTTTTATAAGAAGGTAATGGGGAGAGAAATAACTGCTGTTCAAACCATTAGATATTAAAAAAACTATTTATGTCTGCTGAAATACCTAATAGCGCTAACCGCACCAATATTGTAATTAGGAACAAGAAGAAAATGCAAATATATTAATTTGGTGGGTGAAAGGAAAATTATCAAGGTGCCAAAATTCAGAATAAGGAAAATGTTGTGCTTCCAAAAGGAGAGGTTAGATTTTTTATTATTCTTACATTACAAATATTTTACAACTGATTTAAATCAGGTATTACCAAATATGCCATTTCAAAAAGAAAATCTTAGAAAATATTTTTTTTCCTACTAACCGAAATTTTAAAATGTATCGTAACTAAGGATTTTTTGCTGCTTTTCAGCAGGCCAACTAGGATTTTACAATAATATCCGAAGAGCAACAGGATAGTACACTAGTTAATCAACCGTTATAGAACTTATAATTAAGTTAGAAAGAATAGCCGGTGAAGAATTAGAATTGAATAGATTAACTATATATCCCCCACATGATTTTGCATTTTTTGACATATAATTTGGAAACAAAAATTGAAACAAATTTTAGATTTATATGTGCCAAAATCTTCATCTACAAAATTTGTATAGCTTTCTGCCTATAATACTGTAGGAGCTATAATTAATTATGCGAAGTGTGCCCTTTTGTAAAATGATTAAGCGCCAGGGTAAAATGGTTAAAATAAAATTGAACATAACATTATTGTTTTATTGAATAAAATGTTGCCATTTTGACTTATTCATCACTTATATTTATAAACTAATCAATACAATACGGTAAGTAAATTATTTTATCAAAAATATCACATTTTAAGCGTGTCCATTTAAGGCATGTATACATTTCAATATTCTTCCCATTTGCTATTATTTTTAAAATTTTATTCCAAATAACATACAAACCATTTGTTAATGTTCCTTTTTACTCAAAAATATTTTTTTATATAGTGTAGACATCAATATTTAATAATTATCTTGTTACAGCTTTAATCAGATGGAACATTTTAACCTTTTTTTTACCCAACAAATTTACTCCTGACATCTAATTAAGAACTAAACTTCGATAAGCTTTATTTTATAGTTATCACTTTACTTATATTCAAATTTTGAAATAATATATTTAGCTAAAAGCAAAATAAACTAGAGGGTAATTTTTATAATTTTTGGGTAAAATATGGGTTCTTGGCAAAATGTCAAACCAGGAAAGTTTTTCAAACGATGAACATTGGTATAAAATTAGATACAATAATATATCTTCACACCAAATTTAAGGTCATCACGGGTTAAAAAGTTATTCGCGTTAGCATTGTTACCATGTCATTCGATGCAGGTCTCTCCTATATATGAAAAAATTTTGTTTATAGATTATTAGGACAATGTGATACTCAGTATAAAAAATACCTAAACCACATTAAAAATTTTATAAATAATTTCTCAAATAATTTATATGACAATCTATGCCTATTTGACCTATTGACAAGGTCAAAGCTAAATAGACCTTCGACCTGGGCTTAAGAGGACAAAATAGTGTCATGCTTTTAAAAATATTATTGGATATGCTTATATTTATATAAGTTATTGGTATTTAGACTCATCTATAATATAATTTAATATTTCCAGTTCAATTTCATTAGCTTAATTAACTTTAGTAGAGATATTATTAAAACAAAAATAATCATCCTCTTCAATAAAAGAGGATGAATTTGTAGGCTTGCCAAATGCATTAACCTTGTCCTTAAAAATAGCATGTGTTTTATCAAGCAACAGACTTTACAAAAAAAATTTATATTAACTTTATCAACCTATCTATTTTAAAAAAATGATTTAAAGGGTGGCTAAAAGTTCATTATATTTTCATAATTAAATTTAAAATATTTCTAAATCTTTTATTCAACGACCTTGCGTACCAAGGGATACATTGTTTTAGTATATTCCTCAGAATAATTCTTTAAGCTTTTATTGGTGCTGAATTGAAGCAGAACGATAAACATTTATTGAGATCTATTTGTTTAATATTAATATATTACCTTAAATTTTTTTTAACAAATTACTATTTGGGGAAGACATCATTAGGATGTTAATAGTTATTGGTGGGAAATTTTTAAAAAAATGTTTAATAGTTTAACTCGGGTTTAAATTAAATATTTAACCTTTTTAATTAAATAAACATTTAAATATATTTAAAAACTAAAAGTATCTATATCTTTGGCATATTAAATAGTTAAAGATATAGATACTCATAAAAAAGTATTTAAGATATGGATATAAAATACTTTTTCCAAAATGCACGAAGGATACAAGAATTTGCGATACTTCCTTAGCCCTGTGGATTTGTTAATAATTAATAATTTAACCTTAAAATAATTTGTATCGAAACTTTATATCGTATACATTTAGATTTCCATCGCTATTGACAGACCTTTTAGAATTTGAATCGGCATGCTTTTTGTTACATTTTTGAAAATTTCAATTCATATCCTATGCCGCAAATTCTACTTGATAATTTAAAATATTTTGAAGGTTTGATGTCCGAATAGTCAAATCGTAACAGAAAATATGGGAACCAAAGTAAGATTGTTTAGGCCACTGTATTTGTTGGTTTTTCGAGGGAATAGGGGCATCCCATCATCGGGTCTAATTTGATCGTCGGGACTTACCAGAAGTTTCCAGTAAAAAATGAATATTTTTAGGGCTCTTAAATTTCTGATAATTGAATTGATTACATAATGCTGGTTTAGTCTTCTTTTGTAAAACAACAATAGAGGGTAGTGGCCTAGACTGCGGATACAGGTTTTATACAGAACGCATATCGTTGTTGTTATAATTTCACAGCCTAATCAAGGACTTATAGCTTTAGTTTTAATCACTTATTTTATTTTTTTAAATTTTAATATTATTTTTTTGTATTAATTTGGATAAAAATTAAAAACTTGTGATTTTTTTTTAAAAACATTTGTGATTTCATGAAAGATTTTTATGCATGAAAATTACAAAAGATTTACTTATAAAAATTTACAAAGATTTGGGCATTTTTAGGTAAAATTAATTATAAATTTTTCTCCTTTCCTCAAAGATTGTTGCTCAAAATATTTTAAGATTCTTTAAAAAAAATTTTGTTATCATCTTGAAAGATTTTTTTTATGCATGAAAATTACAAAAGTTTTACTTATAAAACATATTTTTAAAATGTTTTTGGCATTTTTAGAATATTTTAAATTCTATTTTTTATAATAAATTTTTAAGGAATTAATAGATTTGAGATCTAAGGACTCATTTGTTGAAATAACTAAATTAGTGAAATGAAAATTTAAGAGATCATTATATTGCTATCTAGTGTTGTCAAAAACTTAATTTAAGAGCTTTAAAAAAACGGCTAAATTAAAAATTTCACCAAAAATATTTCATATGCCTTGCGGTTTCGCATATAGATGGCAGAGGGCTTCTTTTAACCAAATCTCGAGGCTTTCTTATGTTTAGGCTCTAATTTTGATTTATCCCTTTTTTAAAAGCGCTTAAATAGAAGTTTTTGACAACACTTGAAGATATATTTTGGTTGTAGGAAATCTGGGAAACAAGGATGATAACCCTAATAAAATGATTTCCTTTAAACAATGGGAAGTGACGAAACTACGATGGGACATTAGATCAGCCTCCTAAAATATAACACTTTTAATATAAATCATTTAAATTTATTCATTTTAAATTTAATCGATTTTAAATTTAATCACTTTACTTATAAGAGTATCAAAAATTTAATTAAAAAAATATATAAGTAATTAATAAACAATTAATACAATTTTTTTAAATAAATTTTATTTCTTTAAATCGATGCAGAAATAAAATGTAAGAATTATATTTCTAGAAAAAAAATAATATATCTATAGAAAAAATTACCATCTTTAAAACAAGGGGACGACAGATTCAAGCTCCCGCACAATAATAAGTAAAATATACAAAAGTTAAAAAAATAATTTTATTACTTCTTTGACACATAATACTTTGATATGGATCAGAGACCTGCAGGCCCAGCCCTAAGCCCAACCCGGGTACCAGGGCCGGGCCGTATTTTAAATTTTTTAAAATACCCTTTAAAATACCCAGGCCGTATTTTTTTTTAAATTTATACAACATGAATTATTATATTCGTCAATTAGATATGGTTATAATGATTATATATAGTTATGATTAATATAATGTTTGGTGAAAGTTAACACTAGCTAACACTCATAGTATCTATTACATAATATAATTATAGTTTTCCTGCCATGGAATAAATATGCAAAGAATTAAATACATTATTATATATATGTTATATTTTTTATTAATTAAAATATCAGTTTCATTTTTTTTTATAAATACAATTAATGTAATATATTCTTAAAATATTATTTACACAAATTTTTAATATTATCAATTTGTAATATACTAAATATCTGTTTAGAATAAAATAAAATAAAATATGTGTTAAACGGCTCGTTTTGAGCCTATTTTTAAAAACGGCTAACTCAGTGTTTTATACAGAAAAATATTGTGCAAGCCTGAAAATTTTGCTCATAGAAGGAGCAAAGGTCTAGACATATAACATCCAAATTTCGAGGCTTAATCAATATTTTTCTGGCGAAAATATTGAGTTAGTTAGCCATTATTAAAAATCGGTTCAAAACGAGCCGCTTAAAAATATTAGCTAATATGCTTGCTTATTAAATGATAATACTCGCCGAAAAATATGATTAAATACCGAATAGGTGAATTTTTTGTATATACCACGTCGAATATAATTTTAAAAAATTCCGAGCCTTGCTTAGAAAATTTATTTTTTAAAAAATCCGGGCCGGGCCTAAAATTTTTAAACCTGGGCCGGGCCGTAAAAAATTTTTGAAAAAAAAATCCGAGCCGGGCTGAAATTTTTTTAATAGGGGCCGGGCCGTGCAAATGGTACCTCTGATTATAATATATTAATTTGTAGTACACTAATATAAATATAATTAAACGTTTGATGTATTTTGGTATTTTTTTTTGTGTCCAGTTTAACATGATATAAATTGATATTTAACAACTAATACTACCTAATTCAGTCATTTGTTCGAATTATTTATATTTCCTATATTATATACCATACATTACCGGATTCATATTTATAACTGCTTATTCACGAATCCCATTTTAAGAATTTATCAAAAAATATAAAATGTAATGGTTTTCGGGAGACTTAGGCATCCTGTCTCCCTAACAATGCCACTGAATCTTCTGCCCTTATACTAAAGGATAATGATAGATAGAGTGATTCAAAACGATTGAAGTAATTTTATCAAATCAAGTTTATTCAAGATTTTAAATTATTATAGAACACAAAAATGAGAAGCTATTTCTACCCTTAGAGTTGAACTCTTTTCCGCCACTTTTACATATATGGGAAAGACATATATTGGCACCCAAAACATATTGTCACTCTCTAGTCCTCATTCGATAGTAATAGGCCATGAATCGTATTAGGAATAGCGTCAATTTAAAATGGTAATGTGTTTTCTTAAAGAAATAATACTAATAAACATTTTAAAATCATCTGAATCTGATAAAGGGTCTTCAATTAATTAACTTTGAAAAAGGAAGGGTACATTTTTCCTCCATATATTAATATCACTGTAGATAATTCTTCGGAAAAAATTTCCCTAATAATCTTTTTTAAAAAAAATTAAAAATAACCATGGCATTTCTCAGAAAAAAAAATATGGATTTTTTTCTAGAGAGGCTTAAGTTATTTGGTTAAGGATGGGCATAAAATTAAATATATTAAAAAATATTCCTTCTGTTAAGTTACTTCCGTGCTCAGGAATACCTTTTTAACCAATTATCGAAAATTTATTTTAATATCATAATATTTAAAACACTATAAAATTAAACCCTATTAAAATAAAAATTTCATAATTGTGTTCCCAAAAGGAACCATAATTAAATCTAAGTTTTCTTTTTGAATTTTATAATGTATATATAAAAATTCTCTGGCTTCGTTTGTAATATGAGAACTTTGCTGCCAATATTTTTTTTAAAACTTATAGGTAAATGGCGAAAAATGGCCAATTGTGAAAACCACTATTGCAATAAATAGGAAATTGTTGAGATTTTTGTATTTATTGATCTTTTTTGTTTTTGATTGGGTTAGCTTATTAATATTAATGTTTGGGGAATGAAGAGACGCTTGTGTAGTTCCATATTAGTGATTGCTAAAGAACAAAGGTATAGTTGTAAATTAAGAATTTAATATAAAAAAAAATTAAATAATTCCTCCTTATTCTCAGAATTTTTTAATTTGTTTTTACTTTTAATTACAAAAAAATACATTATGGAGAAGATTAGTTACGTGATTTTAAATTGTGTTTATCATTAACGAATATCCTTGATATTTAAAAAAAAATAATGCAATTAAAATTTTTAAATAATATATATAATCACATACTATATAATCTACAAGAGAAGAATCACTGTTTTTTTTTATTTAAAAAACTGTAAAAACAAATATACTTTTATGATTAGAAAAGATTCCCAGTTTTTGAACCCCCCCCCTCTAAAAATCGGATTTATATATTAATATAACTAACCCTACCCAACATCAAGCTTTCGTCCATACATTGTTTTGGTATAATCAGACAGATACTAGCCCACGTTAGACTTTATTCCATGCCTAGTTTCAGCTAAAATCAATCATTCACTTAGATCAGTTTAATTTTATAATAAAGCATTCAAAGAAATATTTAATCATAAATCTTAACACCTATTATTGCCTCCTTTTTTTAAAAAAAAGACTCGAATCCCCCCTTCCAGTACTTTTAATTTAATTATAAAATGCTTATCTACATAATTAATATTTCGATATTTTTTGAATAAAATATTAAAACAAAAATTGATTCCTTTACATTGTGGTATGATTTAAATTGGATTCTCTATTTTATCTTCTGGAGTTTCAATCACAAAAAACTATCTCAATTTTTGAATAAATTTTTACAATTTTTTTGGTGCAATCCTATTTTATTTTATATTTTTTATTCCAAGATTTAATATGAAAATGCAAACATTTATATAAATATTTATTCTTTAATTATTTCAATTCTCTTTCTTATGTTTTTAGTTAGGAAATATTTATTCGTTTAATCATGTAAAAATTAATTTAAAATGTATCATTTGGTGATTAAAAATATAATAATCGAATAATAAATTTCAATATTTTTCAGTTTTGAATCGTTTAGGCCATAATTAAAAATAACAATTACATCTATTACTTACCAATTCAGTCCTGATTCCAATGACAGTAAAATCGATTTGAATTTCTATATGGTTATAGAGAAAATATTCTAATATTACATTTGGTCTTCAAATATAGTCACGACGACCTTTTTTTTACTTTCAATGCCAAGAATTGATTTATCCTTAAGTACATTATCTTGGCATTCAATTATACATTTATATTTAAAAATTATTTTCAGAAGCTAATTTGAAAAACACACTATCTAAAAGGTTATGTATATATGGTTTCCAAGATACTGTTTTTATAATATAATAAATCATAATTACTTTTTGAACAAATTTAAAAAATTTTTAACGTTATAAATTATTTTATTGTTAATGTAAAAATAATGAAGCATCATGTTACAAATTATATTTACTCTTTGTAATTCTGATTAAGTCCATCCCCTACAACCATGGTCTTTATAGTTAAATTTCCATATTTTTAGTCGGATAAACATAGTTGTCAGCCGAAAACTATAACTTTAACTTCGGACTTCTTTGCTAGAAATATAGCTCAACTCCGACGAAGAAATTAATTAACTCGAGCTTTCGAATAATGTTTTTTGCTATTCTATTGTTAATATTAGTATAATTTTATTTTGATGTTCACGATTTTAGAAATAAATATTACTTTTAAAATGTTAAATTATCATAAAAGATTTATTAGTGTATATAGTCAATTTTTTATTTTTAAAATTACAAGTATATATTTTTTGAGAAAATTAGCGAAATATTTAATGCCTACTTTTAATTTTGAAAGGATTTACTGGTTCATAGGCGTATCAAAAGGGGGAACTGAAGATCCTCTCATGGCTAGCTCCTAAAATTATCTTCTTAGACCTTCCTAATGAATAAAATACCACATTTTTTATAATAATGCTTAAAAAAAAATTATATTAAAAAGTCAAGGATTTGGACCCGACAAAATTTTATCGGGGTTTGGTATAGGTCCAAAATTAAAAAAAAATAGAGTTTAGTCCGGATAAGCTGAACTTAGATTCGGGAGTTTAAATAAAAATTACTATTTTATTACCCAAACCTTCGATCGAGTAGAGTGAGGTATATAAATTTATTTTATAAAAATTAGAGTTGAAAAAAAAGCTTTCAATTGCCATTTTTAATACATCTAAAAATTTTACTAGTAAAAAATATTAGAATCAATCATATAATAACTAATATTCCCCCCATGTTCAAAAAAATTAGACTCAGTTTGGATTCATAAACCTATATATATTTGGGTCCAGATTTTTATGGATTCAGAACATAGGTATGAAGGTGAAGGTCCGGGTTAATCTATGAGATAAGTTAATCGTTTTTTAAAATAATGCTTGTAATGGACATTTTTCAGAAAATAGTGTCTTTAAAAAATGTAACCCGATCAAAAGCAGGCAAAAACGTGCATAAATCCCTTCCCCCCGCTACTCCTAAGCTCTATTTTATATAAATTATAGCTTAAATTATAAGTTTGATATTTTAATTATAACATGAGTAAAAAGGCATTACTTTAATAAATATTTTATCAGAAATCTATTTTCGGAGAACGAGGAATACATAAATTTAGATGGGAGGGGCACGGAAAGACCTCTTTACCAATGATTGAGCTTACACTACTCGAATAAAGGAAAGTTACATTGTTATAAATGATAATAATATTTAAAAAATTAAAATATGCGCCACAGCAGAGCTCGCCATCAATATATTAGGAAGCGGCTAACATAGGTGTGATGACAAATGCCAAAGAAAAAAATAAAAATAGTACAGTCGACTCGCGCACAATCTAATAATAATTACCATTGTTGCTTATTTGCGTAATTTATTTTTATATTTAACTTTATGTGCTAATTTCTATAAAAATGTATGTTTATTATTTTTAGAAAAAACAATCAGAGTTGGGCAGTACCGTGTTACTTGTATCTACGATACAAGATCACTTTGTATCTTTTTGACATTTTTAATAAGATAACCTAAGATAATTTGTATTCAAAATAATCTTGATTTTTTTTTGACAAAATGATATACATTTTTATTTTAGTCTAAAAATTTTAATTTAAATGTTCACTTTTTATACTTTTTTCCGCGGATTCTTGCATTTATTTTGTTGTTTTTCTTTCATTCCTATCTCTATATTTTAGTTTAATATTTTATATTTTGGCCTACCAGAATTGTTTTATGCAAATTAAATAAGTCAATTATATGATTTCTTATCCATATTTATATTAATCATTGTATTTAACGATCATTTATTTTATAAGGTGGAATAAAATATATTTATTTTTATTTCACTAACATTTCGGATTGCCCTTTTGACCAGTATACTTGGTTAAAATAGTAATATTTAGGCGATTTCGTTTTGATTATATTTAAAATTTTTCTGAGAATATTTTAATCGTAGAATGTTTGCTAGGGTTTTCGACAATTTTAAATATTTTGGGATAGTTTACACTGGAACACACCATATAATTTCGAGTTATTTATCTTTTAGCTCGTTGAAACAATCAACATTTTATATGGTATTTCTGTTAGTTAGTTTATACATTCTCAATTTTAACTTATACATTCCTTTACTATAGTTAAAAGGAAGCTATAATTTTTTGTTTGATATCTTTATCGACTAAATGGCTACTTGTGCAGTACGCTTAATTATCAAAATACCATCTCAATCTAAGATACATTTTTTTATAAAAATCTGTAACCACATTCTTAGATTACTCAACTCTATCAGCATTAAAATATTTTCTAATAAATTGTTAATTATACTAGTATTTCAAAATTCTTAGAATTATAGCAATCATATTTTATTAAAATGTATTCGTTCAAATAAGAATTTGTACGAACAAATCGAATAATATTCTATACGTATAATTTATTCAAATAATCCTAATACTCGTGATTATTATTTGAATAAAGAAATATTCAGATCGCTAAATTGACGTAATAAAGGTCCTAAAGGATCTTTAGAAATATTTGAATTTTAAGCTATATTTCTGAATTAATAAAATAACCTTGCAGGTATCAAATTATAGCGATGCAAACAAATCATAGAATGACTTTGTGAAATGACCATACGTAAATTCAAGGCTGAGAATAATATTGAAAATATGATAAAGGGGAAAAATACAATAAATTATTTAAAAAATTCAAGAGAGAATACATCTAACATTGTTGAAAGAAAACTTATAGGTTTGTCATAGATTATTTATTATCCGTCGATGTTAAAGCCTTAATAAGGAAATGAAAAAAACAGATAGGAGCCAAATACACATTATTCCCAAAAACGAGGCACGACGATTTTCATCTAAGAAAAACCAATCGTATAATCTTGATTCATGCTGAGAAGATGAGTAATCGAGATTTTTTAATCAGACTCCCTGTCATCCAGATGTATTTTATATACCCAACTCAAATGGTAGATCAAATAGTCATTGGTGTTCGGTGAACTAAAAAGGGTTCTGGCTTTTACAAATTTAAAAGTGGTTACTAGGTTCTGGTTTATAGATTTGTCCTAGTTTCGAGTGTTCCATCTACTAATTTACTTTTTATTCTATAAACCTAAACAGTTTTGAGTTCAAACTTTGATTATGGTATTTTATATATCATAGGATATAAATTAAATTTGGGATATATATTAATCAAAACATTGGTTATACGATAGAATAATGGTATTAACTTCTTTTTTTTAAAATTCATTTTATCCTTATAAAAAAAAATCCAATCAAAGAATATGATAGTAGATAAGGAATGGATGATTTTTTTTTCATAAAGCGTTTTTAATTATCTTAGCCTAATTAATATAAAAAAAGGCGGCTAAAAAACGAATCCTAATTACTTTCAAGGATTTTTCTTATATTTAAATATAATGCATTTTTGTATCTATAATGTTGCCTTGACCAACCAACCATATCTACGAATTTGTAAAAAGAATTAACATAAACACGATATTATTTCGTGAATACGATTAACTTAAGTAAATAAGGTGGTATATTCTTAAATAAACATCGATACATTAAAACCTGCTTTTAATATTAAGCGTTAAAATAAAATAAATTAATATACATTTCAAAATATATTTTACGAAAAAATAACTGTTATTATATATTCTTAAAACAAATAAATATTATATAATTTAAAAAATGTGTTGAAAAACATAAATTCAAAAGGAAGAAATGATTCATTATAAATTCGTTACTATAAATTTTATTGAACCCAACTTATTTTAAAATATATTGTGCTTTATTTTCTTTTGTATTGTTAATTTTCAACTCCAAGGTCAATTATATTATTACTTAATCAAAAATATTATAAATAAAATAACCCCTCCAGGCTCTTTTCAGGCCAGCTCAAAGATATCAATTTACTCAAATATGATATATTATTTGTATTTCCCAACCTAATTAAATGGTCACAAATACACCATTTTTAAATAGTTACTTTATAATAATTTTATTGTATCTCATTTGTCATACAAAATGAATAAAATATTTCTCAAATTATAATAATTGAGCACTTTCATCAGTGTATACAGAATTTTCGTAAGGGAAGGAGACTTTTGAATTGATTGAAAAATTTGTGCCCTCTTTGAGATCCTTAGGGCCGGATAAAATATATTTTTTATTAATACATATTAGTTAAAATGGAATTTTCAAAAACTAGCAAATTCCCTAAAGGTAGGATTTTCTGCTTAACCCCTCCCTTTCTTTAGTTATGCCAATGAAACTTTTTTTAAAGAAATACTATTTATATAATATAATATTAGTACAAAAAAGTAATCGGTCATATCAATAAATAATTTATAATAAATTTATACTTTAAAAAAACCGGTCGGATATAAAAATATATTATATAATATTGCATTTAAATTAATTAATACCTCGCAAACTTAAGATTTATGTTAATATTATAAAGTTATATATATTATATATTATAAAGAACTAATTAATTATTGACGATTTGAGGTCAGGATAACATGCTAAACATGTTCGAACTGATTCATTTATACCGTAATGAGGAAGAGATATGAAATTGTCGGAACATTTGGAGCAAAAAATCTAAAAATAAATAACCATTTTATCATGTATTATAATAAAAGTAAACCTTTCCACAATTTCTACAATGATGTCTCCTTCGTAATATAGTGAATTTCGATTTGCAAGAGTGACAAGAATCGCAAACGTAATCGGGCATCCATAAGGGTGGTTTTGCTATAAAATCATATATTTGTTTAAAAATTAAATTTTTTATCTACGAATACTCAAAGTTGCAAAAATAGTATAAACAACTGAGTAATTATTTTCTCGAAAAATGTTCACAACACTACTAAAGTAACTATTATAATAAAAAGTAATGTTATACATTACATTTTTGATCTGAAATTTTATGAATCCTACCGCTTTCAGTGGCATCATCATGTTGGTTGTTCTGTAGTTAATGAATAAAAAAAATGAATAGTAAATTTTTATTATAATATTATATATCATAAATTCAAATAATAAATATAGCGTTAATATTGTCGTGAAAATGAAAGAGTTAAACAGGCTTAAATTGGTAGAGATAGTAGAGTATAAAATAATCAGCATAAAGGTAGTTAATAAAATATGTTACATTATCAGTACAGATATATTGGTTTTGGGGTATCAAGAAATTCCTATTTTGAGTTGATTCGTCAATATAAAAGGTGGGCAATAATGTGTCAAATAAGTCTTGTTGTATGTTGGAAATCTCGTTATTTCCTGTAGGAAATTGGCAAAATTTAGCAGTGTTTCTCTAAAAATTAGTTAAATAGAAAATGAAATTTGATATTTGTTATTAACCTGTAATAATAACATTATAAAAATTACCGTAAATCATGGTAAGCGGAAAATAATTCACCGGAATTGATTTTCTCAAAATTTTTAAGTATTTTATTTGGGAATTTTTATTTCGTGGATATATATATTTATAGGAAATTTTTTTTCCAGGGAATTATTTTCCTAGATTCGTAAATCATTTACTCAGTTTACAGAGATCTAAACTATTTACAGAACTTAAACCCAATCTAAACCGTTAAAAATTTTATCATCCGAATCTTTAAAAAGTTATACCGGTTGGAATTTTTTATATCTTCCTCTTGATATTGTTATATATTGCTATCTGAAATTAAATCATTAGATAAATAAATTTATTCGCACATTTTCAGCAGGGAAATTTCGACTCGATTCATGAACTATATCATCGCTTTCTATATTTTCGAAAGTAATGCTGGTTGATGGGGATTGAACGTATCCAACTTTTTCATTGTTATGACTCGGAAGATCAATATTCGATTCTTTAGTATGTATATCGAAAACGATTTTTAGAATGTACCGAAAATCAGGAGCGAAATTGGTTTGTAATTGATCGGCAACGCCTGGGCAGAAATGTGACATTTATGAAAATAAATGGGTATTCATCATAAAATATAAAATAAATAAATTACATTTTTATAGCCCAAAAAATCAAATTATAAATAATAACAAATTTTAAAAATCTACAATAATTATAGGCTAAGCTTAAAAAAGAGATTATTCGAAAATGTAGCAATTACCAGATATGCAAACAAAGAGCATGTGCAACATTTCTTTCCTCGTTTTGAGCACACATTCATAATCAGATAAAGATTTGGATAGCTCCCCATTTTGCGATTTATTCATTTTTTCATTTTGATTCATAAAATTCATCATAGACTTTGTAAGCCTCCTATTATCTCTATGTAATTTAAAAACTTTTCTGATTTTGTGTTGATTCCGCCGACCTATCCGTAATACAAATTTCAAATTATCGCTTTTAATGTCGACGTGTGTTTTATTGTTATTATCGGTAACTATTTCACTGTTAATCGTGTTCTTACTATTAACATCAATCCTTCTACCATCTTTAATAAAGCTTTCATCAAGCAAAAAATCGGGCTCTTTTCCCCTATGATTGCGCGATGATCGATTATTAAGGTTAGAAAATCCCCTCTTCTGTCTAGAATTATAACATAAAATTATCCTGATAGGTTTACGATTGTTTCTCGTTCCATTGGCACTCCTCAAGAGAACGCGAGACTGCTTTAACATTAATTCATTGTTACGATCGATACATTCTTCCTTTTTCTCGCTGAAATCTGCAAATGAATCCTGTTGATTATCGCTAACTTTCAACTCCAAAGACTTCAATTCCTCATCCGAAAGGATTTCTATAAATTCTCTACAAAATAAAATTAAGCGGTTTAATGAATTTTGGATATAGTCAGAACAATCTTTCAATAATGATAGATAAATGTCACTTAATTCATGTTAATAAAATATTTCATATTTTTAAAATGGCTTTATGTAAAGAACTAAATGTCAATATTATTTAAAAATTTTAGTGTATATTTTTAATTTTTTTGAGTGTCTAATTTATATATTATTATTTATAGTATATAACTTTAAAAAATAAAGATTAATTCTAATTCAATTAATTTTTAATTATATTATCTAAATCAGACATTTGCACCCGGTCCGAGCTGCAAAATTGTATCATTTCAAAATCGGGTCCAGGCTACTTTGTTTTACAAAATCCAGGCCGAGCCGATTTTTTAAAAATAATTATGAATTATATTGATTAATCAGTTGGGAAAATTATTTAGTAGATAATTTTAAAAAAATTAATCGCAATTTTCACAATTTACAAGATTATTTAAAATCAATAATCCGGGGCATAAAATAATGAATTCAAAAATATAGGAAGGAAAAATAGAGAAGGCTCGGTCTGGGCAAAAAAAAATATCCGGGCCAAGTGAAATAGGGAATTTTTTTTCAAATCTGAAATATAAAGGAGAAGTGGTGACTGGCCATGATTTTGCTTTTTCCAAAAAAAGGGAATAAAAATTTAGCTTTATCAAACAAATTTAATATCAATGTGTAGCTCAACCCAACCCCTAATCTTTAAAATATGATTTGAATCAAAACTCTATCTATAATAGTTTTTGAGCTAGATGAGGTTATGTGAAAGTTGTTTTTCTGGCCAGTCTAAACATGGTATGTTTTTAATGGTTCATATACTATGTTAACTGTCCATAATATTTTATAATATAAAATACTTGTAAAAGGACCAATTTTAATATTTCTTCATTTTTTATATTTAAAAACCTAATTATACACTTTAATTAATTTTAACATCTCAATTTATCATCAGACTCATCTATTTAATGATAACATTTTATATATTATTAACTTAATTACCTGTATGCTAAAAGGCGTATTTCAATATAAAATTAAAAACTCAACTATTTAATAATTTTATAAATTATTAACTTAATTATTTACAAGATAAGATGCTTATTTCAATAATTTAACCATTTAACCATTCATCAATTTATAAAATTAATAATATTTAATAAACTTAATTATACATAATTATAATATATTATAAATACACAACACAACAACAATCAGTTATTTTGTTAATATAAATGAGAACATTATAATGTGTATTTACATAAATAACAAACAAATAAATCATCATTATTGACACATTGAACATGAGCCATTCTTCACAATGCCTGCACTAATTCAGTATTCCCATTTCTTGCTCTTTGAATATTTCTTCTTGCATATAAGGCATAGCCAGTCATCCTTATTCTTTAAATTTAGAAAACTTTAACTCATATTTTTTTGTTAAATCATGTGCAAATATTCTTATCTAAAAATGAATGATTTTAAAAAAAAAATATAAAAATTTACATTATTAAATCTATGATAACTAATTATCTAAAAATTAATAATATATATTAATATCATTAAAAAATGCTCCAAATATTTATATAATTAATCAATCTACAACTAATTATCTAACAGATAATTCTAATATGTAAATAATATTATTAAAAAATGCTTTAACATATTTATAAGTTTTAACTATTTGAATGATTTGCTAGCTTGTATTATATAATATTTTGAAATTTCCCCGAGGTTTGGTGAATATTAATCTAGTTGCATTTTATCTCATATGGGGAAATTAGAATGCCTCTTTATATTTCTGTATTACTCTAAAGTTGTTCGAGGAATATAAAATTTTATTAATACTGATAGTGTGGAATTTTTACTAATGATTATATCATCAATTGCCAATTGAATTTGTTCATCATTTGCATTTTCACCAAATGTTGTCTTGCCTAAGCTTTTCATTTCAATATTAATGTATGAATATTGGTCAATACTAACCTTTCTATCATCATTAAATGCCCTTATATGTATATTATTGTAAGCTCTGATTTTTGTGTGAATAGAATAAAGTTAAATGTCTAAGGATAATATTTATATAAAATATCTATAATTTAGTAATTTTTTCAAAAAATAAAAAAAATGTAAAATGTTTTTTCTAAGAGAGGTACTAAAAACAATTTTTTAAAATATATTTTATTGGATTGTTTTATCTGATAAATGAATTTATGTAAGGTATATATCATAAATATACCCATTTTGACCAATTGAGAGAAATTAGTCCCATACCATTTTTCCCTATCATTAAAATAACAATATTTCACATTAGATGAATTACAATACTGCATTAATTATAGCATAGCGTTTCAAATTTGTGTTTATTCCTTTAATTCAAAATAAGGGATAAAAATATTTAATTGATCAAAAAAGTTTTATATATTACATATTTAACAATCCTAGAGCTTAAAGATTTGACCTATGGAAGTCACTAATTTAAATCTACTGTATTATATTATAATATAACTTTATTCTTGATAATAAGTTACGAAAAGGTTTGAACATGCCAGCCAATTCTCCCAAATTTTCATCCAAATTTAAGGGCCCGTCTGGAGACATCTTTAAACCGCTTAACAAATAAATATTAATAGAATATTATAAATATATTAAAGTGGCCACATTGATATAAAATTTATAGGATATCTGGGAAATTAATTGGGGGCATTCCATGTCAAATGAGCAAAGGATTCCGGGCCCCTTTCAGTTTGTATAAAAATTTAAATGGATTTTATAAGATAATAAAAACAAAATTTCAGCTCCCTTAACTTATATATTGTATGAGAAATTTTTAATAAAAAAGATTTGATTGCCAAAGCAAGTAAAAAATTGATAGAAATTTAAAAAATAAAAATTGAAGAAATAAAAGAATGATCAAAAATGATAAAAAGACTTGTTCAGGTGAAAAAAAGAGTCGTTAAATATTACAAAAAAATAGAGAATTGAAGAAAGGTGACAAAAAAGATTAAAGTGACATAAAGAGATCTCAAATTAGAAAAATAAAAAATAACTAAAAATGAAAAATGAAAAATATTTTTAAAATACACAAAAGTAACTTTTCTTTTTTTTGAATGAGAATTTTCTTTTTCTTGTGGAGCTTTTCCTTTTATTGATTAGATCAAACCTATTCCTTTTTTGATTGACATTTTCCTTATTTAATTGATCCGTTTCATTTTTTGATGGAACTTTTAAATTTTTGTCGAGGGTCATAAAGGCTTACCTCCAATTATTATTGTACTCACATACAATGGTAATATTAATGTTATTCCATAAAAATCAAAATAACCTGTATTCTTTGTAAGTGTTTTAAATTCTGTTCTAGGTAAGAGATGACCAAAAAATTATAAAATCATATTTTACATATAAATAGAGCATATATATTATTATATTAAATTTATTATTTACTATTGCGTATTTTCAATCATTTAACTGACACGAGTATATTTTATGCTCTCACTCCTGGTATTTTTAAATAAAAACCAGGAGGCTAAATTATTGCTAAAGTATAAGTTATAAGAACCATGATTGCATACGAAATTTCGGTGGTAGATTTGACATGAAATGACCCTTTAGAAACCTTTATAAACTACTTACAACATCGAAATATTATAAAGTCAAAAAAAATATTTTAACCTGATTTTAAACAATGCGGAAATTATTAAAGATCCATAGAAAAAAATTTTACTTGATAATCGAAAGGCGAGGTAATGTGAACATAATCGTTGGATCGTATGCTTCTATTTGTTCTAGATTGATGTATCCCTTATTTATAGCTCTGATTTTAGTTAAATAAATTTATAATATTATAATGTGATTATTTCTTTTAAAATGATTTATATTATTTATGTTATAATAACTTTTCTAATGTTTCCGAAAACAAAACTATAACGTCTTGAAGAAAATTGTATTCCTTTACAGTTTTAACAGGCACCATATTACTGATATATCTAAAATTAAGGTGTATAAAAAAATTAATAAGACATATAATAAGCGAGTAATTTAGTCAAGCCTATTAAGTTTAAATAAATCTTAGAGATTAGAATTGGGAAGTGTAGATATGATATCACAACAATTAGTGAAGATCCCGGTCCGGATCGATATACACAGAATGCACCATCGTCCTCAAATAAAATACCGGTCACGAGTGTGGTCCTAAATAAAAAAACCGGTATTTTAATTTATTTTGTTATTACCTAAGTTAATTCTTGTTTTACCATTTTATTAAATATAAAAGTATTTTATGTTAGCAATATCAAATCAATTATGAATAATATAATTAATAATATAAAAATATAATTTAAAAGTAAAAAGCTTTTTTGACAAACTTTTCGTTTTCTCAACTAAAAAAGAAAAAGAATCAGCAAAACTAGAGTAACTCCTCTAGGAAAGTAATATAAAATAAAATATACACAAAAATTATATGAATTGGATAATACAAGCTTAAATATTAATAAAAGATCGGTCCGGACTGAGAAAGAATTAAAAACTCATCAGAACCGCGGTCCTCGAAAAAAAGACCAGTCTATCAATCGAGTTGTCCTTCACTAATAACAATTATAAATAGGTGCATATAAATTATAAATAAAAAAAAATAATATTGATTTTAAAACAGAAACTTTATAGTAAAAAGGAAAACTATATTTTTCTTACATGAATTCAAATTTCGCGAAGATTTTATCGAATATCAAAAGCGCGTTTTTAACCTAAAAGATTTATATGATATATCATTAAAGGTAATCTGAAATGGAAATTATTTTTATATGCTTCACTTCTTACTGAAAATAAAGATGATTCTTGGACGTATTAAAAGAAATTCAGGGGATTAAGCAAAAAATGAACATGGAAGTCCTGTGGGAGACTGAATATATAGACGGTAGTCGTGATTAGAGATCTGTATTGGGCGGGTTTTTGGACCAAAAGCCTGCCAGCCCAATGATTTTTAACTCGCCCGCCCAACCCGCCCATAGTTTTCAAAAAAAATATACCCGCCCGTTCCGCCCATTTGTCTAAAATTTTTTACCCGAACGCCCGCCCGCCCATTAGCTTAAAATTTTTACCCGCCCGCCCATTATTTATAAAAAATTTTAACCCAAGTCCACTTATAAAATTTAAAAATGGCCAAAATTTTTTAAGCACCTAATAAAAATATTTCAGCATTACACCTCTACTAAGCATAAAAAAGATATTCAATTTAAATTATGAACAATTTATTTGATTAAATAGATTATTTATGAAATAAATATAAATATAAAATTGATATTATATGTAATTATAATGCAAAAATAATAATGAATCGACATTTTCTGGATTCAAACACGTTCTTCTTTGTTCTAAAAACCTTCCAGCAATGCTAAATCCTCGTTCAGGCACTAGTTGCAGGAATTGCCAATATTTTTCTTGCTAATCGTGATAGCTTTGGCAAATCTCTTGTCATTTCCACCAAAGTAGGATATCCGTCTGAAGTATATCCACTTCCTCAAGTGGGATCCGGATGTCCCGTATACAATATATGTAAAACTCTTTTTTGAAGTAATTATGAAGATTAATCTACCATTCCAAAATAAAATACCGTGCAATTTTCGTATCATGCTATTCGGAATAGTAACAGAACAAAATACTATACAGTTTTATAAACCAGACCTCGAGTTAATATTAGAAACAGATGTATCTAACCTAGTATTTGGAGCTGTATACATGCAAAAATATGATATTGGTAACGAATTTCAAATAGCTTATACCTTAAGAATTTTACAAGACGCTAAAGAATTATTTTACAATAGACAAAGAAGCAAAAGAAATAATAAACGGCGTAGAAATATCTCATAACTTTTTGTGTGGACGAAAATTTAAAATTTGAACAGACCACAATTTTTCTTTAGTTTGTTTTTAACAAAAATTTTTTTCCTTAACCCGCCCGCCCATTGTTTAAATTTCTTAATTCGCCTACCCACCCGCCCGCCTATAGTTTCAAATAAACCGCCCGCCTGCCCATTTTCAAAAAAATTATTACCTGCCCAGCCGCCCGCTCACTTAGATGGGCGGGCTGACTGAAATCCCGCCCAATGCAGACCTCTAGTCGTGGTGAATGATATGAGGAAATAGGTATTGCCAAACGAGGGTAGGCCCAGAGTAGTGAAAGGGAATAATATTTTGAGGGAGCCATTACCCTAGCCAGTTAAACTTGAATTTTACATTTTAAACTAAACCATGCAAATGTATTATGTAGTCATAACTTTATTTAGATTAAATAATTCATAATCATAAAATAAATCGAATTTAACAAAAATATTTTAAATTACAGGGTTTCCCATTCAAAAAAGGAAAAGTCCCATCAAAAAAGGAGATGTTTTAATCATAAAAGGAAAAGGCCCGATCGAAAAAGGAAAAGGTTCAATCAAAAAAGGAAAAGGCTTGATCAAAAAAGAAAAAGTGCCAATCAAAAAGGAAAAGTGTCAAACAAAAAAGGAAACGGTTCAATCAAAAAAGGAAAATTCTTAAAAGGAAAAGTGTAAATCAAAAAAAGGGAAATTCCCATTCAAAAAAGGAAAATCGTAATTTTTTTAAAAAAAATTCTTAAATTTTTATTATTCCTTCTTATTTAATTTCTAACTTTTTGCGATTTCCTTACATTTTTAATTTTTATTTTTCTTACTATCTTTTCTCAATTTATTTTTCTTCTCACTTTTGATATTTCATCTTTGTTTTTTTAAAAAAAATTTATAAATTTTTCCTGTTATTTTTCTTCACTTCTTCTACTCCATTTTTTAATAATTTGCTCTCTTTTCATCCCATAACAATATTTTGACTTTTTACGATTTTTCTCCTTATATTGTAATCTTTCACATACATTTCTAACCTTTCAATCTCTCTAAGTCATTTTTAATTTTTGATAATTCTTTATTGTAATTATTTTTAATTTTCACTAAATTTTATTTCTCAATGGCAGACAATTTATTTATTAGAATTTTTTGCATATAAAATTATTTAATTACAATATGTAGTAAGAAACAAAAATTTGTATTAATCATTAATAATTTCTCCTCTTCAACATTTTGGAATTTAGAATTCCATATTTCTAAAATAATTCTTTGCATTCTCCTCAGATATTCCTCTCTCTTCATGCTCTATAAAACGAATTAATTACTTCTCGTTATTGGGATTTTGATTTCTGACATAAATCCTTCCATTGAAAAAACACATTTTCAATAAGATTAAGATAAGGACTGTGGTGGTAAATATTTTATTATATGTTCTCTTCTTTCTATATATTCCCTAATTGTATGGTTAAGATGAAATGGAACTTTATCCATTCATAAAAATCATATTCATCATGTTACCTTCTTCAAAATGATTTGATATTTCACCAGGGATCCAAACCGAACCTGAACCGTTAAACCGCTATTTTTATCAAACCTAAACCGCTAAAAAAATTCTAGCTGAACCTAAACCGCTAAAATGCCTCTGAACCGGTTCGAGCGAGCCTCGTGATTTTATGCTTATAAAATAATATGTAAGTTATTATTGGTAAATTAAAAAAATTTCAATTATATTCGAATTATTTTAAAGATTATCATCAATCACATTTGATTGATAAGTGTCGGTCATAATTTTTATAAATTTTAGTATATTGTCATTTTACAACATTTTTTAAATATTTTAAGCTTATAAATTATAATGCTTAGAGAAAAATTTAATCCAAAATATTATTATAAATGACACATCAAATCTGATATCATCATATTGGCAGAGTGTGGAAAGATGTTTTTCAACAATAAAATTTATACTTCTCCTTATAGATGTAATTTGGGTTAGACGAATTTTGAAAATATATTAATTGTGCGGCTTAATAAAAAAAAATTTAAGAAAAAAATTAAATATTGTTCATATAAAAATTAATCGTTGATATATATTTTTATATTTATAAATTAAATTAAATATTATTTTATAATGTACAATTAATAAAAATGAAGGTTTTATACATGTGTTTTTTAAATTAATGATGAAATAAAAAATATTTTCCCTATACATAATTCAAATGTAGGTTTGAATACAAAAGTGTTCAAACCGGTTTTTAGAGGTTCGAACCAAACCGATATTTTAATTTTTTACGAACCGAACTTGAACCGTTATTTTTATCTAAACCCGAACCGATATTCGTTTAGGTTTGAATCCCTGTATTTCAATGATAGTATAATTTATTGTTTGTCCCTTAAACATTTTTAATAGTCTTTTTATTTATTTCTGAATATCCATATAACCGCCTCAATGATATTGAAAACGCCCTCTCATCGATAAATATAAATTTTTCTTTCATATAGGCTACATCTACAGATTAGGTATTTTCTCTAACTGAACTTAGTAATACCTCTTTTAAAGCTATACCTAAATCCTGATAGTAACCTTGATACCGTATTTTTTGATATTTTCACATCATATCTTTCTTTAATCATTTTACATAATCTTTTTAAGGATAAAGTGCAATGCAAATATATAAAATTTTATATATATTCTTCCTGTTCTGATTTAATTTCTTGGAACATGTGAACATCCTTTGGGTAAACTATATTTTATTCAATATTTGAGATAGGAGTATTTAATATTTGTCACTGGTTTATAGCTTACTTTAAAAATGATGCTAAATTTTTGATACTATCCTTTTTAGCGTGTCAATTATCTGAGCTTTTGTTTATGTTAATGTTTTTTCCCCTTGTTTTTTATATCTACATATTTTATTTTATAAAACAAAAAAAAAATCTTTTAAAATATATACTAAACAAATGGAATGAATGACAAAAAAGACTAAAATATTAGATTATAACATTTACCACATTTTTAAATTTAATTATTCATATATCAAAGAATATAGTATTAAGGATAATTACAAAAAAATTATTAACTTGCTCAAAAGTATTGAATACTTCTTGCATAAATATTAAAATTTTAAAAATAAGAATTTAAATATGATTATATTTTATTATTTACATATCGTTTGGTATTATAGTTCAAGCTTATTTAATTTTAAAAAGGTACATTATAACCAAACGAATAATTTAATTTAATTTGATATGCAAAAAATTCTAATAAAAAAATTGTCTACCATTAAGAAATAAAAATTAAGTGAAAATTAAAAATAATTACAAAAAAGAATTAACAAAAATATGAAGAAAAAAAATTGAGAAAAGATCTGAAAAAAAGATTAAAAATGACTTTAAGAGATTGAAAAGGTTAGGAATGTATGTAAAAGATTACAATATAAGGAGAAAAAATCATAAAAAGTCAAAATATTGTTGTCAAATGTAAAAAGAGGAAAAAATTGTTAAAAAATGTCGAGTAGAAGAAGTGAAGAAAAATAACAGTAATAATTTATAAATTATTTTTAAAAAGACAAAAATGAATTATAAAAAATGAGAAGAAAAATAAATTGAATATAGAAAAATGAAATTAAATATGACTTAAAGGAATTGCAAAAAGTTAGAAATAAAATAAGAAAGAATAATAATAATAAATAAAAATTTCAGAAAAATTGACAAGGAAAAAAATTTATAATTTTTGTAAAAAATATTTGATTTTCCTTTTTTGTTCCTTTTGGGAATTTTCCTTATTTGATTGACACTTTTTCTTTTTTGAATGAACCTTTTCCTTTTTTGTTTGACACTTTTCCTTTTTGATTGGCACTTTTCCTTTTTTGATCAAGTATTTTCCATTTATGATTGACCCTTTTCCTATTTTTATCGGACCTTTTCCTTTTATGATTGAAACTTTTCTTTTTTTTGATTGGGACTTTTTTTTGAATGGGAAACCCTGTATTTTTTTTATTTAGATTGAAATTTTAATATTGAATAAGTAACATTAAGTAGGAACTGTCCGATATATCGGATCGACACCAATATTGATTATTTTCGAGAAAAATTGAATCGGCCTGATATCATTTAAAAACCAATCCGACATTTTTTTTTTAAATTGCGTGATAAATTTTATTTTATCCTTGGAACACCTATTTTCATAAAAAAATGAAAATTTTTTTGTTGATTTGTTATTAATATTTTTTATAGGAATGAGATTCAAATAAAAGCTTTGAATTTGATTTTATAATATAAAATAAATATTCATGAATCATAGTTCGATTATACATTGTTTGCAGTAAGATTGAGTTAATATTATCTGAAATAAATTCTAAAAAAAAATTATTTACTTTATTTGAACATAAACATCGACCTACTATAATTTAAAAGAAAACATTTTAGAATTAAAATAGAAAAACTAAGAAAAAATAATAAAAGAATATTCTGATTGATTTTATATTTAAAATGAAATCCAAAAGTTTATAATTAAAAAACCGGATCGGTTTTTAGATAATTATTCAATATCGAATTTAATTTGATAGTGATCGGTGAAAAATATTGAGAATCGGAGATCTCTAGCATTTAAGTACCGTTTCGGGATAATGCGAGGGGTCTATTAAGGCTTGTGTCTTCAGACATTTTCTGAGAAGTTGAATTGTTGTTATCAAACATTTTGACAAAGAAACAAGATGCTGAATATCTTCCAACCTTTGCAATCTAGCCAATGAGCCTAAGGCCAAGCACTTAAAAGATAAATAATACAAATATAAATATAAATAAATTCATCATTTAAGTATTTCAAAATCATGACTGTGGTCCAGTTTTGACAATCGGTTCAGGATAAATTCCTCAAATACTTATTTAAAAAATTTTCTCATTAATTATTTTATTTTTTACTTTCTTGCTTGGCTGGAGTCTTTCTAAATCCGAAAAATAGAAAAAAAATTTTTTTTAAAAATGATAGTTCACGTTAAAGGTATGCAAATGGCAAAATTTTCAGACAGGGTCTTATTGGAATTTAGATTCTGCCAGGTCCTGCCAAATTTGTATCCTACCCCGCCCGTTTTCATTTTTTTTTCTAAGGCTACCCAGCCCGGTTTTTAAAAATATATAACCCGAAATATATGTAATTAACACCAAAATAAACAACTATTTATAATATTAAAGAATGATTTGATTAAAAACATTACACTTTGGATTATGACTTCTATCAAATTTCATAATTCATCAATAATCTAGCGGAATAAATTTTTTTATCTAGCCCACCTAAATAAAAAATTTTTAGAAGTTACCCGGCCCGGCCCATGCTGAGCATTGCAGAACTCTAGTTCACGCTAAAAAAAATCGAAAATTTATAACAACAAAAAAATGATCACTTTATATATTTTTTAAAGTTCATTTGACAAAACATTTAAATATAATGGAAGCGGGATTCGAACCTACACCTAAAAATTGGTAACCATATTTATATTAATATCACCCCTACCCACATAATATAATTTCTTCATAAGTGTCAAAGTCAAATGTACGCAAATATCTTAAGGTAGGGTTATAGGTATGAGCAAATAACTTTTGGCATTAATTTATTTAAAATGTTTTTCCATCTCAGGAATACTAATTTAATCATAATGACTTTAGTGGAAAAATAAATATGTAATAAACTAATACCTCAGCTGCAAACCAAATAAATCCCGGATATAGAGTTGATCCTGCATTGAAATTAGGTGAAGTGGAGTTTGTGTTGATTGAGTCAATGGAGCTATATTCAAACGAACTTGTGCGATCATTTAAAATCGTATTATGATCATGAATAGGATCTTGCAACAAATTAGAGTTTGAATTAAAACTTTCTCCTTCGTATGTTAAATTTATAAGATTATCAAGGAATAGGTAGGGTCTCATATTCAATTCTTCAGGGTATTTAATTCTAAATAAACGACCGTCAAAATCGGGATTTGATATTAGACTTTGAGTGTTTAGTCGATCACTATCGTTTGATTTATTTTGTGGGCTTTGGTGTTTTTTGCAGGCATTGTCATTTACATTTGTATTTATAAAATTTTCCCTAACCATAGCTTCAATATGACCTAATATATCGCATTGCTTATGTCTCATCTCTCTAACTACTTTTGAACATCTATCTGGGTCTTTTTTACCAACAAAACTTCCTAACTCCTTCAAAATTTCTTCCATTTCTTGATCTGCCCAATAAAATTTAGCAAGAGGTCTGGTATCATTGGGCTACGATTTTTTTAAAAAAAAAACGTTATAAATGTATGTATCACAATATTTAATATTGTCTTATTTTTAAATGGATTATAACTAGTACGTAAAGTAACGTCGTTACTAATGGCGTTACCTTTTTTGAAGAAAAGGAAAGCCATTCGTTACCTTTTTCAGTTGCTAAACACTATTTTTAAAAGTAGCGCGCTTGCCTATAATGTAATTTATAAATAATTAAATATAGTTAGTTTTGATTATAAAAAAAATTATGTAAAAAGACGATAATTTATGTAATAAAAATAACTATTTAAGGTAATATTCATTTTTTATTTATTTAGTTGCATTTTAATAATAAAATCATCTCTATACTATCATCCCCAAGTCTAGAGCGACGATCAGAAAGTGTAAGTTTAGCCTTACTGAATAATGTCTCAACACTAGGACATTGGCATGCGCAATATTGCAATATTAACAAATTTAATTTGAATTTAATTGGTCTTTTTGGATGTAGTCACCCCTAAACTAAAATTATTAAGATTTTTTATCTCTTTTAAACTGTTAGCATGAACATTCTTATAAAATAAATATTATTAGGATTTAAAAATGACGATTACCTTTGTTTTTTGAGGTTATAGCTACTAGATTTATTTAAGGATAAATTTTGTTATATTTTAAACAAAAAAATTTGTAACCACCTTTTGTTTTTACATTAATTTGAAAATATTTTTCAAATTTTGAAGATGGGAAATGTGTATTATTGTTATCAAGAACATTTTCTTCCAGGGTACCTTCCATTTCATTAATATTAATTATATCGATTTGGATATCCATTTTAAATAACTTACACCAGATGATTTAAGTTTATAATGCAAATTGAATTTATAAATTAAAAATATAAATTTCAATCTCAAAATAAAATAATAAATCATATTAATTATGATATCATGTTTAAAATTTCATATTTTTAGTTACATTCATTATATTTTTACAAAAAGGAACGCGCTAAAAAAAGAAATAATTGGAAAAAAAGTAGCACGCTATCGCTACCAAAATTAACTCTGCCTTTTCCTAGAGACAAACAACGGTAACGCGTCTCTTTTTTTAGGTAAACGGTAACGCAAAACGTTACTTTAAATTACTTAAAAATATTGAAAAAAACATTTTTTAATTTTGTAAATAATTTAAGCTGAGTTTTTAAGTCAGATCAACCCAAATTCCTTCATTTTTATTTTAAATTTTCAGTCAATATTGTTAATCTAATTAAATCAATCAAGATATGTTAATTTATATTTTATATTATATTCTCTAATATTATAATTTAATTTATAAAGAATATTATGTCAATTGTACATATTTCTTTAGATGAAAATGATATAATCTGCCCTGGCCCCAATATGAAACATTTTTTATAACAATAAAAAATTAAGGGTACAAAGTCTTGGCTTTATAAAATTGTGTCCCAACTCAATTTCCTCAATTGTGGAATAAACATGGGCAGTCTCGAAAATGTGCAGCCATTTTTAAAGAAAAAAAAGGGAAGGTATCTGATTAAACTGGTTATAACAAGGTGGAACTATTTTTGTAACTCTATGAAATTAATAGTCTTATTCAAGGAGAATAACCAATTTAACGAATCTTGAAATCCGAAATGCAGATTTTCAGATAATGACAAGTCGTTCATATATATTTTGTATGGTTAGTGTTAATTAAAAAATATATGTATATAAATGTGATTTTATATGTTATGGATGCTAAGGCTCTTTCGATTTTAGAAAATTAGGGATATCTCACTCCCGCGATAACTATTTTATAATATTGAAACTTTAAAAAAATTGCTTTAAATAATTCCAAGTTTTGTAAGGCACTTATTAATGCAATCCTGTAGGACAGAGTACAATTTATTTTGATTATATTTATTTTCAATAGATTCAAACAGATCTATAAATATGAATATAAACTATCATCAATAATTCACCCGCTACTTAAATTAGATTAGCCCTGGATATAATAATAGGTCAACGAAGATAGAAATCTTAACTTATTTCCAGTTTGAGAAAATACTAGTGTTGTAATACGCATTCGTGAACGAAGATCGTTTTTTTTGAAAATTTGATGAACGGCGTTCCTTTTTTTTGACGAACGCTTTCGAATTTAACGTTCGTTCAATTTTAAAAACACTATATTTTTATTTATTTTAAAAATTTAAATTTTTTAAGAAAAAAGTCTTATATTTTTTTAATCAGCTGTTTTTAATTTTTCATTTTTCATATTTCAAGTTTTTAAGCTCCATTATTAAAGTTTTATATTGCTTATATTTTAATAATTTAATAGGTTAGCATAAACATGGATATTATAATTTTATCATCATCATATTCTGAAAATTCAATGGCCCATATATGAAAAATATTTTACTGCTAGTTCCTATTGAAGGAACTAATTCAATACTTATCAAATGTAAATGTGTCCCAAAAGTATTATATTTTCAAAATCTTCAAGTTCCAATTTAAAACAACATTTGATTGTAATATTAATTATTTTATATAATATATGTATAACTAAGTAGCCAGTTAATAATCTATTTTATTAATTATTCTAAGTGAAAATCATTATATTATATATATACATTAGAATTTATTTTTAATTTTTTGAATTCTAATTACTATTTTTTTTATTAAGGATTTTATATTTTAATTGTTTAACACAATTTGAAGTATAAATTTATATATTGTAATATAAAATTTTATTATTAAATTGCTATAAATGATAAATTTAATATTTTTATAAAAATATTTAAAATAAAATATAATGATTATTGAATAAAAAGAATCTGCAAATATTTTAATATAAATATTAAAATTGAAATGAATCCTTACAATAATTAATAAAATATTTAATGATTAGTTAATTATAATAATCAGGCATTTTAATATTAGTATTAGTTCATTTTAGCATAGATAAGGAAGAGAGACTGGTATTTTTAATGGGAGCTAATTTTGGTTGCCAATGTATTTAAAATATTAAGCTAAAAAAATATAGAAATTAAATTTAATACAAGTTTCCTGTAGAAAATAAGATATATACTGTGATATGTAAAATTTTAAACTTGAATATTAAAAAGCTGTATCTTTTGTCAAGAAGATGAACAAGATAAGATTATTTTCAAGATAAAGTATCTTAGATACAGATACTATTATCTTATTAAAAATGTCAAAAAGTGAGTACAAGATATACAAAAGGATCTTGTATCTTAGATATAAGTTTTAGTGGTACCACCCACTCTGATTTTAGATAAATTATTTTTTAAGTCATTTACTTTGCTATTACCAATCCGATAAAATATATCTGTAGCATAATTTATCAAAAAATTCCTTTATTTTTACAGAGTTCTCATGATACAATGGTATAAGAAATTATTGAACATTTAACAAATTATAGTAATAAAAATAATAAAAAATTAAGAAATTTAAACAACAAACCCTCTTAAATTAAAAAAAAAATGAATCAAACGTGATTCATTCACAAGTAGATGATGCAATTCTCAATTTCGTGATAGAAGAACTAGAGCCATTTAATATAGTTGAAAACCCTGCTTTTTTAAAAATGATAACCACTTTACAACCAAATAAAAAGGTTATGTCACGCCCAATCCTTGTAGCAAAAATATCTAAAGTTTATAATATCATGATAGATAAAATAATAACATGCTTAACCAAACAAACAATTCTTTGTATTACAGCAGATTCATGGTCATCATATCATCGCTATTTTTTTATAGAATTCTTTGAATCTATAAATTTGTTAAAATATATTTATTTATTTTAAATTTAATTTTGATATTTAAATTATATTTAGAAATCTGCATTATAAATCTAGTTTTCAAAATATTAGTTCATTTTTAGAAATGACTGTCCACTGGTTGGATGCAGTCACTTTAGAAAGAAAATCGGCATGTTTGGCTTGCCAACGGTTAACTAGCAAACATACATTTGATTATTTAGCAGAAACAATTTCAAACCTTCTCAAGAAATTTTAAATACAGGTAACATTATGTGTCAACGATAATGCAAGAAATTTCTTACGCCTTTAAGTATAAATAAATTGTCTATATTTTAATTTTTGTTAATTTTTAAAAATATTATAGATTATTTTAAAATATCTAAAGATGAATTTGTATCATTATCATTAAATGAGGTATTTGAAAATCAAAATAGAGAGGAAAACTTTATTTATCTGCCCAAACATCACTTTTTTGCTTGCCACAATCTTAATTTAGTGGCAAGTGTTGATGCTGAAAAACATTAGAAAATTTATATTTTAAAAACATATTAAAAAGTGCATTTGATAAGTGAAAAAATTTATGGAATAAACAAAATCAATCTAAATCATTTGATGCTGATTTAAAGAATAATTTATCAAGGTTGTTTATAAGGCCTATCAATGGCGTATCCAGGATTTTCTTATAGAGGGGGAAAGGGTCTTATGTTTTAGCTATTCTATTAAATTATTCATAATTTAATAATAATTATATTTCTATTTTTAACTTTTATTTACTAATTCGTGCTTATTACAAGCCTATTTTTTATTATTTCAAGTTAAGTATATTATATTTAATAAAGTTTTTTTAAATGTAATGGTTTTTTTAAATGTAAAGTTGAAATAAAGTGTAATGTCTTTATATAAAATTTGCTTTAAAAACTGGCCTTAGCTTAAATTCTCATACAATATAAGTAGAATATAATTTTTTTTTATTGAAAATGTGGATATTTAACAGAGCTACCCCATTTAGCCGAGATTCAGTACTTCGTAAATATGTTTTCAACCTTTTCAAGTTGGAAAAAGATTCGTACATGTTGTAATAGGCAAACATGCATGAATATAAAACAAATTCAAAATATTAGGAAATTGAGCCAAGGTTTCTTTACACCAATTGAGCGCATCAATAGCATGCTCAGGTAAAATAGCTAAACGTAGTAAATATTTATACCACAATTCGAATTCACTGATTAAATTTATTTTAG